GGCTCAAATGAAAGCCCTGAAGCCATACTACAATGTGCTATAAGCATGTCCTTGAGGCATTTGTTCGTTCTCACACAATATCATAGATAGTGAAAAATGTCAAAACATGCAGACAGTTTTTTGAGCCACTGTAGGATTGATTCCTATAGTCTATCTGTATCTGCCTCTGTCTCTGACAGTCTATTACCATTAGTTTCTAGTCTGGACTTGTCTGGATTAGCCCTACAATACCTATCCTGCATCCGGAAGTCATCCGGATCTGTGACAATACTCGTCCAACCTTCTGGATGTGTTAGTCTTGCCTTCCTGAAATAAGGGGCAATACTTGGGTAAGGGGCACAGTGCATGAGCTGAGGCTGAAGCCCTTCAGATCCAGTTATCCCTTGAGTATGACCTTAACAGTTGGTGACAATGATGCACCTCTTGCTGCTGAACAGGATGACAAAGCTGGTCTAGGTATGTAAACTTATTGTTTGCATTTGCATAGACCTTGATTAATTTTCACTCACAGATGCACTCAAGAAAACTTGGCATTCAGCAGTCTATTCATTTTTTAAGCTTGATGCTGTGACTGTCCAGTATCACAATGGCATCTCTAGTAGATGAGCTTGATGACTATTTGTGTTGGTCATACTCGGGGGATAACTGGATCTGAAGGGCTTTGGCCTCAGCTCATGCACTGTGCCCCCTACCCAAGTATTGCCCCTTATTTCAGGAAGGCAAGACTAATGCGTCCAGAAGGTCGGACGAGTATCATAATGGATCCGGATGACTTCTGGATGCAGGATAGGTATTGTAGGGCTAATCTGGATGAGTCCAGACTAGAAACTAATAGTAATAGACTGTCGGAGACAGAGGCAGATACAGATAGACTATAGGAATCAATCCTAAGTCTTGGAGGGTGACCAGAGTGGAAATACTCAAGTCCGGAGGACAGGAATGAGTAGAACTAAGATTATATTCAAACTGAGGTACTACAGAAAGTTACAGGAGGTTATATACTATAGGTATCTAACGGAATGATCAATCAGCAGAGTCTAAGGCTATGTATGAAGCATGTGGATAGTCTATTGGTAAGTAGAAATGGATCACAAATCATGAAAATGGAAATGAAACATAGGTAATGGATCAGGGAGCAGGACGGATATACAGATAACCGAAACACTGGAGTTAGGGGGTTACCAAAAGGAGACAAGCGCTGGTTGTGGATTTGGATGAGTTGTGGACCAGACTGGACAAGTGGACAGATTGAATGATGAGATGTTGGAGGGAGATAAGATGTGGATAGGATCAGAGATAAGATGTGGATCTGAGATGAGATAAGGGTTGGATCTGAGATCCGGATATGCGGATATGACACCAACATCAACATCAATTACCTCCAGAGCAGTGGATTGCAACTCAGAGGGGGTTGTTTTGGAAGGACAAGCTTAACACATTTTGCAACATTGTCCACTATGGGCTGCAGAGATAACAATACATCTGAACATGTTGAGGTAGAATCAGCAAGTGAGGCTGTGTTATTGGCAGTAGACTGATTAACCATAATGATGGAATAGATGGGGTATTGAGAAATGTAGAGTCTGCATGCCTCACTTTATACTGTTGAATCACTGAATTGTAATCAGTAATAGTAATGTGTCTCCAAGACAGAAGAATCTGAACTGGTAGGAATATTGAAGCAGCAAGAAATAGGATCAAAGCAGCAGGTCACTGTTGCAGTCAATGACCCTCCAAAAAATAAGGATCATAGTGGGTGGCGAATCCTTGTCATGTCCAACATATAGCACTGTGGAGAACATTCAGAGATAGTGCAGCTACCTGTGAACATACCCTTATACCGTGCTGACAGGTACAGTATGGCCATGGGTAGCACATCTCAACACTGTACCCATACCTGCCATACCCATGACCCCCATACCCATGGTGTGGCCCATACCCATGCTATACCCTAGATGTGATGAGCCATTCAGAACTATGAGAACAAAACAGACTATACATCACCACCTATACAGAATGCAACAAAAAGTGAACTTGACTAGACAATTACAAACTGAGTACAACATCTTCAATAACAAGTGGTGAATTAAATTTGATCTGGCATCCTACTGGTGCTCCTGCCAGTCTTGCATAGCAAACACTCTTTGATTCATTTCCGACATTTTGATGGGCTATTAGAGGTGTCTGATTTGAATGTATTGTTACTATTGACCAGAAACTCATCCAAAGTTCACTTTCTGGATGTGAAGAGTGGCCAAAGCTTCCCTTGTTGAGTGCTGGGAATTGGAACCGATGGCTGACAACCATTCATTAGGCTTTGAATTGAAGGTTCAAACTGAGGATGAGAGAGAATTAAAAATGTTTCACGAAATGAAAAACAAGTCAAACCTGAAGTGAGGCAATAACCATTACAAGTTTCTGTCCCTCAGATAAAATATCAAGACAAGATCGCAATCCCTTCAAACACCACTGCCATTCAAGCCAGGAGAGGAGGTGACAATTCCAGAAAGCATGGAATACATGGTTGAGAGTGTCATCCCATGGATTTGGAGCATGTGATAGGTGAACAACCCAATTTTGAGATGCATACTTGAGAGCACTGGAAGACAATTGACTTCATTTCTGTGCTTCATTTACAAAATCCATAAAGAGATTCATAGCACGAATGATCTCCCTGTCAGGAACTTCTGGTGATGCAGAGGTGAAATGATCTTGGGGTATCAACACCAGGAACATCAGAAACATCAAGAAATCTGGTAAGCTTTTGAGCTGCTGGACTACTTTGAAGGTTGGCAGTAAAGCCAAATCTGGGACAATCATATGGTTGCTGATTGCTTCCAATGTATTAGAGAATTCTTCCATAGTCGCCCACACAGACCCCGTGGGGGTGGATTGCCACACTCAGCCATGGGATGTCTGGAGCCAGTTTTGCCCACCCAAAGTCTGGAGCCAGTGTCATCCTCCCTTAGTCTGGAGCCAGTATTGTCCTCCCTCAGTCTGCAACCAGTATTGTCCTCCTTGGATCTGTAACCAGTTTTGTCCTCCCTCTGTCTCCAGCCAGCCATCTCCCCAGCACTCCAGCCAATCTTGTCCTTCCTGGGACTGCAACCAGTTGTGTCTGCCCTCAGTCTGCAGCCAGTCTGGTCCTCCCTCAATATCCAGCCACTCTTGTCCTCCCTCAGTCTGTAACCAGGTTTGCCCTCTCTCTGTCTCCAGCCAGTCATCTCCTTCCCAGCTCTCCAGCCAATCTTGTTCTCCCTGGGACTGCAACCAGTGTTGTCCTCCCTTGGTCTGCAGCCAATCTCACCCTCTCCAGGTCTGGGGCCAATATTGTCCTTCCATGGTCTGCAGCCAGGGTCATCCTCCCTCAATATCCAGCCACTCTTGTCCTCCCTCAGTCTGCAACCAAGTATGTCCTCCCTGGGTCTGTAACCAGGTTTGCCCTCCCTCTGTCTCCAGCCAGTCATTTCCTCCCCAGCTTTCCAGCCAATCTTGCCCTCCCCAGGCCTGGAGCCAATGTTATCCCTCCTGGGTCTGCAGCCAGTCTCATCCTCTCCAAGTCTGCAGCCAGTCTCATCTTCCCTGGGTCCACAGCCAGTCTTGTCCTCTCCAGGTGTCCAGCCAGTCTCATCCTTCCTGGGTCTGCAGCCAGTCTTGTCCTTCCTGGGTTTGCAGCCAGTCTCACCCTTCCAGGGTCTGCAGCCAGTCTTGTCCTTCCTGAGTCTACAGCCAGGCACAGCCATCCATGGTCCCAAGCCAATATTGTAAATCTGAAGCATGATCTCCCTGAAGCCATAGCATACATATGAGAACTGACAGTGGCTCTGGTGGCCGAACAAGGAAAGATAGCGATTTTTGTAATTGATAGGGGTCCCCAGGTTGCATAGCTCAGCTCTGTTTCTCCAATTCTGAGAGTGCATCCAAAAGGGTCATAGTTTCTAGAATATTTTTCATCATCAAGTGAAAAGAGGAATCAGCAAGTAGGGAGTGAGGTGATGGCATATCGTGTCCACATACTTGAGGGAGGTTGCAGTTTGAGGGGTTGGAAACATAGTTGCAAATGGACAAGTGATAGATATTCACAGGAAGAGTACTGTCTGTAGGAATGTCCATGACAGACTGTTAAGAACCATGCTCAAGGGAGAGAGAGACTGACTCAGAGGGGCTTGGCCTCAGCTTGTATGCTGTGCCCCTTACCTGAGTATGTGCCCTTCATTTCAGAAGAAGTCTGATGATGGTCTGATGAAGTCCGGAGGACTTCCAGAGGCTGGCTACTCTGGTGGAGAGTGCGGGAGGACTTCCAGAGGAGCACAGGAGAGTTCCGGAGGAATGCAGGAAATGCTCAGGAGAGTTCCCGCTGCAAGGTAATACTTCTACAGGAAAATAGGATGGAAGGATAGGAGGTCTGGAGGTCTGGAGGTACGGAGGGCGGAACATCCAAAGGTACGGAGGGTGGAACATCCAAAGGACAGGATGTCCAGAGGTATAGAGGACAGGAGGTCCGGAGGTCCAGAAGGAATAGGGGCTACATCGGACTTTGTCCGATGTAGAAGCAAACAGAGATAGACTACCCTAAGGTAGAGTCGGAGGGACAGGAAGTGGACCTAAGTCCAGAAAGAGGGTAAGTGCTGGAAAGGCAAGACTCTAGCCTAGGGAAGCAATCCCTAGACTTGGGACAGAGACATAGGGGACAAATCCGGAGGTCTGGAATTCCGGCCTAGGAAGTCCATCCCTAGGCCTTATGGAAAAGGACAAGACTCAGATGGACTGAAGTCCAGAAGATGATTGGCAAGTAGAACAGGATCTAAGATGATAGAGTAGGAACTAAGATGATATTCAGACTGAGGACTCTACTGTAGTTGTACAGGGGTTATATACTAGAGGCTATCTGAGAGGATCAGTAAGCAAAGGAGTAAGGCTATGTATGAGCATGCGGAAACACATTGGTAAGTAAGATGGAACATAAGTAAATGAACTTGGAGATGAAACTAGTACAAGGATCAATCAGCAAGACGGAAACAGAGATAACCGAGAACCGGAAAGGCGGAGATGCCTAAATGGGGATAGGTGCAGGATCTCGGATAGAGGGTGGGAATAGGTCCGGAGATAGTACAGTTAATATCCGGAGGTCCAGAGATCTGGGGATCCAGAAGGTAGGGCGGAAACAGGACTGAGATATGTGAGGTGGTGGATGTAGTCCAGAATCCGAGAGGAGGTAAAGTCTGGATGTCTTGCTGGATGGAATGTGCATAGGGTGGACAGGATAGGGGATCCAGGAATGAGTTGGATATGGGGTCCGGAAATAGGTCCGGAAAGCGTGGGAATATGATGGGATCTATGTCTGGCATATGGGATATGACACAGACCGTAACTGTACCAGCATTGTTTGCACATCCCTGCCCAAACCAGGGCCAAGAAGTGATAAGATTTGTGAGATGGGAAGAGGGTCTGCGAGTGCAGCAACAATGGACAAGTGCAGGTATGCCCACTTGGGGTCGGCACATGTGGAGAGGATATGGTTGTATAACTTGTATACCTCCATTCCTGCTAGCAGTTCACTCATCAGCTCAAGCATCAGCTGTAACTGATCACAGGGATCCTTGTCTTCACTGTCAATAATAAACTTCACCATTATAGATGCCATGATGAAGTGTCTGCCAGCGTGGCTCGCCAGCTGCATGAGTTCATCCCTCATTGGCTGAGGAAAATTGGGATGGTGACTTGTCAGCTTTGCAAATGAATGCCACAAGAAAACATAGATATCTGTGTTGACATCAGTGCCATTGAGCAAGATGATAGTAGCAACGCCCTCCCCAGAAGTTTTCACTGGGATTTCACACAACAACAGGCACACTTCTTCATTCTGAAAGGCTTCAGAGATATGGGTTTCCAAGCAACTTGTGAGCAGAATGTGGGTCACAGGAAGACCAGGGTCATGAAGAGCCTGTGCAAGGGAAAGGATGAGATCGGTAAGCTCAGGTTCAGATGTGCATTCATCAAGGGCATCAACAACAAACATCAGAGGTGGACACCCACACAACCTGAGTTGAAGATTTCAGAGAGGTTTGAGAAAGAGAGCCTCCATCTGGTCACAGAGAAACTTGTCTGGGTCTAGTAGTGCAGGATTGTCACAGATAGCTCTGTTCACATCCTTCTGGATGCTGGGAAATTTGGTGGCAAGCTGATAGACAAGAGTCATGAAAAAATATCCAGCTGTGCAATGTTTCATATGCTTGCATGAAAAAAAGAATGTTCCCCCAAGCCGCTTTTCAACATTAGTCTGCCCTGTCACTTTTAGACCTTTCATCCTCTCAGCTATGGTAAACACAACAGCAGACTTCCCAATGCCTGCTGTGCCATGCAGCCAAATAAGTCGATTCTTCTTTGGGTTGTCTAGCAATTCATATATGTAGGAGAGGAGATCTACCCAGGTTCCTTCCAAACATTTGGGGTGGAGCTGATGTTCTCAGGAGTAGGGCTGTTCATTGTACGCCATATGATGGGACTTTACGGGGCTGTAATACGGTCACCGTACCCGTACCATTGGCTGTTTAGACCTTCAGTTGATGGTTACTGGTTACAGGTGTAAGGGGCCCATATGTTGCCATATTACTATGGCCGTAATACGGTGTGAGTATGGTTTGTTTATTGTGTATAAACAAATAGACTTAGCTTGATACATGCAGTAGCCATATGTCTTATTTCGCAACAAGTCATTCTGGACCTGATCCTCACACCATGGAAATCCTCAAAGTACTGGTGCATCTTCTACTACAATATATAATCAATCAGATTCTAACATGTACTATGTCATGTCCAGCTATGTTCTTCAATTCCGTTGCTCCAATTCTGGAGGAACCATGACACCAGTCAAGATATCCACCAGCGCTGTTGCTTTACTCTCATTGCTTGCTGTCCCCCCTTCCAAATCTCATACAATTGCTCAATGTCATCTGATGCTCCCACCACATGTGTACCTGCCAAGGATCAAGCCTTTCAGGAGGTTCTTGGCCATGGGAGACTGTCCCAAAAATGTCAAGCGCATGAACACTCTCATCTGAGCTGAAGGCAACCACACTGATAATGATCAGCCCTCATGCCGCCAACACTGTTCTTGTCATGTACCCAAAAAAAAAACAGTCACTGTCAACGGCAACAATTCTTTTTCTTGCCTCCCAGTCAAGGAGGCCTCGGATGCAGATGATGGTGATTTCACAGCCTCTGATTCTGGCTCTGAGTCTTCCTCATCAGGCTCAGAACCCAATATTGGTTTGATTTCCAATGAGGAGGCGAGTTTTTACAATGACTTACTTTGACCATTTCTAACTGTGCAACAGCTCGCAGCTGTGTTGCCTATGAAGACCATCCCAATTCATGGTGGTAACACCAATCCTAATGCAGCACTGTCTCCACAATAAAGGCAGCTCGAAGTCTAAGCAGAAGGCTACAGGAAGCTCTTCAGTTGCTGATGTATCAAAACGAGCTTAGTGTTGATGACGACAACACCATTCAACCATCGTCAAGTCAAATCCCTGCTGTGATGAAGTGCATGCAAAGGTAATTCTATGACCATTAATGACTATCTAGGCTGAGTTCTCTTGTTTCTAGCCACACGGACCAACCAATCCCATCTACCTCTTTTATGAAGAGGTATTGAAGAATGCTCTTGGTGTCGAGGGCAACTCAGGAGATAGACATTATAGGTGTCACCATGGTCAGTGCAAAATTCTGACCATTACAAGGGTGATGTGAAGTAGCCTCAATGGTTAGTGTTTTTTAATAGCTTTCTGGCAGCTTCTCACTCAAGTCATGAATGACAGGTCTTATCAGCCACATCAAAACACATTTCCCAGCCATGTATTGACTATACATATATCTCAAAGATCATCATGAGCCACCCACTGAGGACAAGGTAGCGATCACATCCAGTCAAAAGATTCTTGACTTGACCCTGGCAGCCAAGTATCTACTTAAGCTTGAAAAGCTTCAAGCAGTATTGTGGATGTGTTTGGCCACCAAAATCAAAGAGCTGCAGTAATTCTATTCATTATTTATCCACTTAATCTGATACATTGGACTCAGGAAGCTAAATGGGATCAAGATATGTTTGAGCAGCTTCTGGCTGAGTGGATGGTCGCTTGTGATCAGCCATTTGAGGAAGTTGATAGGCTCAAGTTCTGCGACCTCCTCGAGTACACTCACTTACAACCATCACTCCACATCCCTCACCATCAATCTATGAAGTAGCATGTGATGAAGATGGGGGAAGACACTGTCAAGGAGGTGAAAAAGATGATCACTGAACTAGACTGCAAGGTTAGCATTTCACTGGATGGCTGGACATCCAGCAATATGTATGGATTCCTGGCCATTGTGATGCACTACATCACAAATGGCTGGCAACTCAGCAAGTCCCTCACCTGTGCTGTTGTTGTAGGGTATAACTGATTGTCAGATTTGTCATGCAGAAGAACTTCTAATCAACTTTCATGAGCTTGTTGGTGAGCATTCAGGTGACAACATGGCTCAGGCAGTGTTCAAAACTCTGGAACTCTTTGGGCTCAAGGGTTAGGTGCTTGCAATAATGGCTAACAGTGCTTCAAATAATGACACTATGTGCGAGGCACTGCAAGAATTGTGTCAGAATGAAGGTGTGACATTTAATGCACACTGGGGTCGACTGCAGTGCATGCTGCATACAACCCATCTTTCAGCTTTAGTGGTACATGGTTCACATTAGTATTTGTGTTGATACATCTGACATTTTTTATTTCAAGCTATTGGAAGGCATTGGTGCCATCAAGGCTAGCAGTATGACGAAGAATCACAATGCATACCAGGACTGTGTGACTGCTCCACTTAGTCGAGAGTATGACAACAATGTTGCTGGACAGGAAGATCAACCAGATGAAGTATCGAGTGACAGTCTTCATGAAGTCCTCTCTGCAGTTTCAAAGGTGAGTTCAAGTTAATCAACAGAGTCAATTTAAACTCACAGTTACTTCTTTTTCAGTTACAGAAAATAGTGTGTGCCATTCGTTCCAGTCCTCAATGTCGCCAGGCATGGCTCTGAGAGGTCAAAATATCAATGCAATCACAGGACAACACGTTACCACAGACAGCTTTGATGCTGATCCTTGATGTCAAGACAAGGTGGTCTTCAACTCATCAAATGCTTCGTACGTAGTATGCTTAGTTTCATATTTAACTTTCTTAACTTATATCTCTCTCCAAAAAGGTCGTGCACTTGATTACCACAAAGTCATTGATGACTTCATTGCAAAGACGTGGGACCTTCACAAGTACGAGTTGACCCCTGAGGACTGGAGTGCAATCCACTTAGTCTCTGATTGGCTGAAGGCTTTCCATTCAGCAACAATGCAAATGTCAACAACAAAGTGTTTGATGTTATCATCCACTCAGGCCATTTTCTGTGGATTGCAAGAGTCTCTACAAGAGTCGCTGTGCAAGTTGCCCAATGACACGCCACCTCATCTCAAAGACTCGCTCATCAAAGCACATCAAAAACTGAGTGATTATTATACCAAGTTTGACGAATCACCATTTTACATATGGTCCTCTCGTAAGAATTCTTTGTGTACTATCTACTGGTAACTGCACTTTACTAATTCGTTGACAGTTCTTGACCCCCAAATTTCATACAAAGGCCTTTCCACTGACTGCAGTGATGATGACCAAACACTACATGATCACTTGGACAACACAAAGGACCAGTTGCACTGGTATTATCAAAACAATTACCTTTCATTGCAAGCTTCGAGTTCCCCCACCATCATTCCTCAACCTGTGGCAGCAGAAACCCCATCTGGATCACCACAGAAAGTGAACTTTACAGCTCAGTACAAGAAGCGCCCAACAACCTCAAGAGACGAGCTCGAGGAGTACTTTAGGCTGCCCATGGAGAACTTTGATGCCTGTGACCTGATTCAATGGTGGGCAGGCCACTGCTCACAATTTCCAAACCTCTCACATCTGGCTTGGGATATTCTTGCTATTCCTGGTGAGTTCAATCTGCTCAACTATTGTACATAGGTACACTAATTCCCCACATGTTGTGCAGGCTCCGCTGTTGCTGTTGAATGCATCTTTTCCACTGGCCGTGACACTATCTCTCTTTGGCATGCTAGTCTCCAACCCAACACTATCAGGACATTGATGTTGCTTAAGCAGCATCTGCGCCTCGCTCGTAATGCTATCACAGTGATTGATTGATTCATATTTGTATATACCTTTTGCTACATGGTTAGTACTACTGTAATTCGATGTTTTTTCATCTCCCGTATGACTGTATAGCCAGTCATATGACCATATGATGACCCGTACCGTACCGTTGAATGTTTTGAATGTTTTGTATGACATACAGTATGGTATGGGTAGTACCTGTAAGCCCACTGTAAATTGTACAGCCATAACCGTATATGGTTATGGTGGCCAGCCCTACTCAGGAGTTATATTCAGCACCATTTACAGCAACCTGGGACAGCCTCACCCAAATTCCTTCAAACGATGGAAGAACTGTCAAAAAGGTCAGAAGTCAAGAGAGGACAAGAGAAAACCAACATTGTTCCTTGCTCATTCGTGAAGGTTGTGATATGCGTGATGAGAGTACTAGCTGGGTGTAGTTAGAAATATCTGGGCAATATTTATCTCCAGGGACAATGTACATCAAAGTGTGGATTTCTTGGAGCTGATGTAAGTTGTCAATAGTCCCAAAGTATGGGATGGAAAGCTTGCTGGAGGGTGGTGGGTGATACAGTTCAAGGACAAGTGCTGGGCAGTGAGCATTGGGCGTTCGTCTGATTACAGGAGGTCACGAGGTTGCTGTGCATGCTTTAGAGTGACTGAAGTTAATTCCTCATCCCAAGTGTAAACCCACAAGAGGCAGGACGATGGACTTGGAGAGACAGTTACACACTTCAACTTGGGAAATTGAGAGTTACATTTTGTGTGACTGCACGAGATGCGGTGCGCACGAACTACTAGTGATAACTAATAGTATGTTTGAAGTACTCCAAGACCGTGGGCAAGGCCGGTCGGCGGTTGACTGTTCACGCTCAGCGTTGATTGCACAATTTGATCAAATTCAACTTTAACGAGTCCAGTGTCCACCTTATCAATATAATGGAGCCCAACAGCGCTGCTGAGCTCAGGCGATGGTCCACCTCCTATGGCGGTTTCATTCACCCGCTTGTCTCTTTGCCCTGATGTGCTCGATCTACACATAGACACTTCATCTGCCTTCAACCGTTTATTTTCGCCATCAGGCAAATTCAGACCCCCCGCTGTTACGCAAGACACTATCGATGCTGACACTATGATTGTATCTTGTCCTTTTTCACTGACCACCGTGACTGACGTGGAGTGTTCTCTGTATATTTGGCGAATCGTCTCTCGTTAATTTGCAGTCATGGTTGGAAAGGCAGCTGATTTGCACTTACATATGCTTACACTATGGGCCCGCCTGACAGAAGTTGAGATGAATAAGATGCATTCATCCCTCTGCTCTAGCTATGTCCAACCTCCTCATTAACAACTGACATAGTATCATCTCAAATACAGGCCTTACAGCCGTTCACGCACGCCACACTTATCGGGTGTGTTCAGTGCTCTCTCACTCCCCAATTTACGCGTACTTATATTTGCAGTACATCAACTTGGCCCCACGAGGAGTCCAAGGTGTTTCTGACACAGTCAGAGCGGAACCTCGTTTTCGGTGCTGTAGTGATCACGACAGAGGGACGACGAGCAGGATATGTTGCCCTTATACATAATCTGATCAAGGTCTTGCTAAAAGACTACTATTCAGCAAATTATTATCACCAAACAGATTGTGATTTCACTAAATGTTAGGTGACGTTACTGAGACTTGAAGGGGTTTCGTGCTAGCTAATCAGGTGGAATACAAAACGTACGTACGCAGCGTATCGAATAATGGTACAATGAATCACCCAGCAGCCTGAGTCCGCTCTAACATCTTATTCACCGCAACAGGCCTCCCAGAAGACGCGAGCGCCATATCCGACAACCTGTTCTCCCTCATCCTCATCAAGACTTGCAGTAAAAAAGTCGGCGTGGCACCATGCGGCCTCTGTGCATCGTCCAGGTTCTCTACAGGCGTAGATACCCCGCTATGGCTCGCTCCTAGTTGTGCCTGAGCATGTCCGTGGAATGCACTCTTTGCAGAATCGACGAGATCAGAGTCTTCAAGGTACCGCTCCCAGAGTGTGTACAGCGAAATGATTTCTTGTGCAATAGTGGCGACTAATGGCATCGAAATGTTAAGTTCAGCAAAGAAGGCAACAAAGTCCTGGGAGGGTTTCTTTGCGTGACCCAATGATGTACTAGAACTTTGCCGCGATGATCTTCTCGGGGAGCTGTGGACTGGTGTCACTTCAACTGAATGAGACTGCTGTTGCAAGAGCTCTCTAGTTGGACCGTGTAAAACCACAGCGAGATAGAGTGCCGTGATGGCGAGTAGATGGGGAGGATAAAGCAAGCAAAGATCTGAGCGATATGTGTCGTTGATGATAGACCTACAATTAAAGTCAGTTTATGAGACGCTCATCCTACAAATTCGCTCACCAAGCTAGCTGAAACGCATCATCTGGCAACTCGAGTTGCCCATCTCCACTTCCCCAATACCGTGGTCCGTCATCCACTCCCACTCCCACTTCACCAGCTTCTGTCTGTAAGTCGTTCGAGCTCTCCTTCTTGCAAATGGACAGCAACGTGCGATATGGATGGAAAACAGTGAGATCACATTCGAGATCCGCAACGAGGTAGAACTCCATCTCGGCAAGTTTGGAATTATCAGAAGGAAAATATTTCACGCCATACGGCTGTTCTGTGCAACTTGACATCAGCATTCAAACAAATAGACTTGGTGGTGAAACGCACGGCTGAAGAAAAGGCGAGCCTCTGCTACCATATTCTTAATGTGCACGGGCGACTCCTCCGCCTTCCCAGCCACGTAACAGCATGCTGCGATGACAATAAATGGATCGGTTTCGCAGTACGAGTTTTTGATGTAAAATCTTCGAAAAAATACAATGGCTGTTGCGATGACGCGCTGCCTGAAGTTGAGCTTTTTTCCTAGTTTCGTTATAACTAGAAGGATTGATTACCATTCCTCATTCTGCAAGTGTGTTGAACTTACCATTGGCAAAGAAAATTGCAAAAAAATCGAGGTACTCTGGATCGTCTACGTATTGTAGGTCATCTGAACGAGACTCCTTCAAGGTAGCCCGATCTACTATCCATCGTTTGCTATGATGCCCACCATAAGCCTCTTATGCCTCTTGTGACTTTGATCCTCCTCACTAGTGCGAACTGGCCCAGAAATCAGTGGCCATATGAAATCAACAGAGAATGCGTTTCAATCAGGGTTGAGCGTTGAACAAGGAATGCGGGACTGCTTTGCAGGTTGCAGGACTGCCAGAGTATCTTTACAGAGGTTGCAATGCCAAGACTTTTGCCAACTCGGAACAACCTCTTCAACAATTACGGTCCATTACGTGATGCTATAACATCCGGGGTGCAGGCTGTTTCCTTCTCCTGTTCATCGCGCACTGACATCATATTTAGCTCGTTGCAGTACCCGGTACATTCAGTGAATAGCTCTTGATCAATCGCGCAGCCGCTGCAAGCGCTACTAGCATCGATATTTCTAAAATTCGAGAACGGATTATGGTCTCGCAATATCCCGCCGGATTCACCCTACTTTTCCGTCCGCAGGCGAGCGGATTTCTTGCTTAGAATTTGCTTATCTGTTGCTGACTATTCTCCGGCGCAAAGGGCCAATCCGAATAACCTGCCGATGTGAGATTACCGGCCATGTACTATGTTGCTTGGTCACCCCGCCCAAGTGCGATGTCCTTCAGCAGGCGGATTGGCAGATCGGGCTAGGAAAGGGGTGCAAGTCAGCTACTAACAAGTCCGGGAACAGATGGCTTCAACCCCTTGCCAGATATCACGGAGGAAATCGCTATCTTCTTCAGCAGTGATTTCGGCAGGTATCGGCTCCACGACGTGGATATACGCGAGTTTGTGTTTACGCAGCTGCTCAACCACGTAGGAGAACTGGGGTTTGGGGTCTACCATGCCCATACCTGCACCACAAATCAGCTAAACAAAGATCGGTAGTATTTCATGATACACGTACCGCTGTATACGCCCCACGGGCTTATTCGGAACCCCGTCCTCTCAGCACCAACAGCTTCCACAGCGGTATCTATTACTTCGAGTATAAACCTTGCGCGATTCTCGATGCTTGCGCCGTATTCGTCTGTACGTTGGTTAGTAACGTCTTGTATGAACTGGTCGATCAAGCAACCGTTCGCGCCGTGAACTTAAACGCCATCGAAGCCAGCCCGAATGGCATTTTTTGCGGCAGCGGCATACGTGGCAACACACTCTTTAATTTCATCCGTGGTGAGCGCGCGTGGCACTTCTGTTCTTCCCGGAAGGGGATGGGTGAGGGACTGACGTAGGGACTATTGTTCTCTTTGGCAAGAACTGACTGTTTCTGCGGCACGACCGAGTGCCCAGAGTTGTAGGAAAATGAAAGAGCCCTCGCCGCGAACTGCTTCTGTTACCTGCAGTCCGGTGCGTAACTCAGTACCCAGCTCTCATCCAGTGAAATCATTAAGCGAGACACAACCATTTTCCATCCGTTCATATGGGCATCGGTGTATATCCCAGGGGCATTGCCATAACCCCCAGCGTTCTGCCCGCACGGGTTACCCATACCCGTGCCATTGCCTACTCCTACTTCCTCGGCAGATTCCATGAGTCTTCGACTGTCTTTGATTCAGGTATGTTATCACCCCATGCATCATCCAGAATGCAGTCAGAATGCGACCAGCTAAAAACGGATGGTAAGTATAGTCGTTCAATACAGGATTAGCTATTCTCAATTGGATGCATATTGTTGCTCATCATGTCATTTTGTCCTCACATTTTGCACATACCCTGCTTACCTTTCTTGTCACTGCTTTGTGCTTGTTGTTGTGCCGCTTCCCCGCTATTGTGTTGCACATCGCTGTCGCTATTTTCCCGTGTTGTGTTTTCTGACCACAGGTTGAATCATCTGTTAATATTAGTTTACGGCGTAATCTACATGAATAGAATTGTTTTTACCGTGACACTTGAACTGAACTGAAATATGGTGCTCATATTCTTATGATACCCTACAACATTCGAGAAGATCGCAACAGATGCGAAACATTGTATTAGTCTCCACAACGAATCTCTTGCACCTATACTTCCCTTATTTCTTTCTTAGTAAAGAGGTCAGATTAAGAAACCAGTTGCTCATCTGCAAGTGTGCCTATATCGTAGCTTCTCTTCACATATGAACCGTATTTTGTCCAATAACCCGATGCCGCTCGCGCGAAATAGTCTGCTAAGTACCTATCTCATGACAACCAAGTTGCACTCTCAAAAATGTCAAAATTTTGTTCGGGTGCAGAAATGTCTCTCTGACGGAGAATCGAACTCCGCTCTCCCGCGGGCTGCTTTTTGACAGGCGGGTGTACTGACCGATATACTATCAGAGATGAAATTTACGGATCCCTAGTGTACATAAATAGCTCGACGTATTTGTGCTTGTTTACCAGCACCTTCAATTTCTAACAAGAACAAACAATTCGTCATCTACTACCACCGTGACTGGGCAGTAGTTCAGAGCATGAATATTCCTGTAGATGCCGCATATGCCACCGGGCTTTGCTATCTTTTGGCCCCAGCAGGCTGGCAGCCAGTCATAACAACCGTGGTCATACTTCTGTTCACTAGCCGTAACACTGTGCAGCCTTTCCTAGCAGCTCCGAGCGTTTTGCCCAGATATGTAGCGCTATCACTTGAGAAGGCCATCGAGCTCTCGATATTGGAGTATATTGCATGGCTGATCAGCTGCTCAGTTATCATGTATTCAGCTCACTCATTTTGGGAGAAACTCTTCATGGTCATCCCCGTCCTCGCCTTTTCTGGATGTATCATCTCGCGATGGGCAAGTCCCCGCTATCGTTGGTTACAAAGCGAGACGAATGTGCCGGCGCGAGACGTATTTGTCACATTCGGTGACAACCACCCAGAGTTGCTGTCTTTAGACCACCCGTTATCTAAACTTGTCGTGAATACCAAAACTGAGCTCGCAAAAGCCCATTCCCTCCTTCGCTCTTTTGCTGCTGCCTCTGTGGATATACACGGGCCTCTCGATATTACCTGGGCTGTCCAAAAATACTCCCGCCTCATCGGCAATCGACAGTCACAAATCATTCGGTTCGTGTCTCCTCTGCGATTCAATCCGAATAGTCCAATCTTCCCCCCTCCTCTTGGTCCGCGCTATGCAATGCTTCATAATGAAGTGGACGTCCTGGAAATCCCATGGCTATCGACGCGCATTCCTAGTGCAATATGGATTGATAGACGGTTGGTAAATATGTGGGAAGATGAAAGACGAACTGAACTTCCGCCACCCCCAGGGTATAATGGGTATGCCCCCTTTCTTGATCTCGGTTGTGAAATACACTTAATGGTGATTCTAAGTCAATGCGATCTTTTCCTCAAAGCCACCATTTGTCATGAGATGTTGAGGGCAATCCTTTTGGACGTTGAGAAAACCGGACACCTTCCAAATGACGATTAAACTTGTGCTGATATCACGAAGGAATATGGATCATGCCCATCGAATATCCCATCATCTACATGGTTGGCGATAACGATCAGTTGTAGATATTTGGAGCCCGGTAAGATACTGAACTCTGTATACTTCTATATGTTTCCCTTGCTTTTCGGATATCATCCTCCGACGGTGGTTGTTCTACTGGAGCTCTGCTATAATATTTCTCAGCACTAAAATCATGTCGTCGTGCGTGACAGGATTTTCCGGGAAAGTGACAGACTTGCTACCATTGGGTCTAATTTTCAAGGAGCCTGGAGGCGATAGCTTTGAGGCGAGATGTGCAAGACCTTTCACAATAGGCGGATGGTTGAAGTAATTTGAAAAGCACGAACTGCAGGTGAAAGTCCAGTCCTTCACCTGGAATCTCTCCTGAGATATGTCTAGCCGATACGAAGGCAGGAGATCTGGCTGCAACCACTTCGGTACCCAGCTAGGTAGTCTCGTGCGTCTTTGGCTATAAGGTCCGCTAAAATTGATGCAAATAAAAAGCATGACCCAGAGGAATGATTCCAGATCGTGTCTTCGTCGTGGCGAACAACTCTTGTGCCACAATATTTCTGTTGCTAAGTATTCCTACAAAACCTCTAGTCGCTGAAATAATACAGGTCCTCAGAAGCCTCACCGAGAGTCTGTGAAGACTGATCATCTGGTTTCCAGGGTTGTCCATGTGTTTTGCGAATCTCCACCCGCGGAGCATCGCTTGCCGTATGGGAGGTGTTCCATCCGAATTCCAAAATGGTATGACATTCTCGTCACTTGGATCATTCACGTTCAGACAGATAGAGTGCGGATTGATGTCATTGTGAAGCAGCTTGTGCGAGAAATACGCAGTACGGTGGGCTATTGTGCTCACTTAACATCGTGTCGGACTGTACAACGCGTCGTTACTCACTTTCTATGCATGATATTATTGCCAAGAAAAACTCCTTGCGGGATGAAAAGTAGGTGATGTCGATGAGATGCTCTACAGTTTGGATGACGCTCTCAACTATCAGATGCCGTGGACCAAACAGTCTCTTCTCGTGGGTGATCGTACAGTCAATTGTCATAGATCGATATGCCTCTATTTTTGGTACCCCCTCGAGATTTTTCAGTTCATCCAAAAACTGTGCATGGTCCTGAGGGGCGGCACCGCAATCTACGATAAACTTCCATTGGAAGGGGCAATTACAAGGGAATAACGATCCGTCAAAGGACCCGAAGACCGGTGGTCTTGTTAGTCTGACGCGCGTGTGATGATCTGCGCTCTGGCGCAAATGGGCAGCTCTCCGATAATAGGTCGTCTTGATGGATCGAGAGGATACATCATCAGGTTGAATAGGAGCAGAATTAACACTGTGATAACACCCTAGATGATAGCTATCAGACGTGGCCAATGTGTCGATGCAGCCAAGGATTGCACACGGATGGCGATGGATGTGAAACGGGGTGGTCATAAAACCGTATCGATCATACTTGACTAGGTGCATAGTGTTTGATTTCTGGATCGATAAACCAAACAAAAAAGGGCGATTATATCGGGAGAGAGAGGTGCTGGCGGTCGACGGAAGAGGCTGAAAGCCACTTTGATCATGTGAGACGTCATGATCAGATATAAGCTCTGCGATTGCATGCACCTCATCCATGGCCGATACACCACAAGAGTCATGATTCACGAGAAGCAATACCTGATGCTCGGAGATTTTCACTGATGATTCAGTCGGATGCATGACCCAAATGCGGCGCTTTGGGAGCTTCGTCTTGGAAGCTGGCACTGTGGAAAGTGCTGCATATGACCGTTCTGTCAGGCAGTTCAGGAATAGTAGAGCATCTGAATAGTGGCTGCGATCCGTCCATCGACGCTGATCTCGGTCGTAAAGGCCATCTTCACATATCCTTTCGAACATCACGTCAATGTTGGGTTGGTTGATCGCACTGGATCTGTTCAGAAACTTGGTACAGACGTGTGTAAGGGTACCATCCGTTTGATTGGGTGGCGTCCCGAACTCCTTGAGGTAAATAGGGGGGCTGTTCCCATTTGTCACTGAGCATGGTGCAAACTAGTTTTTCTGTTGAGTTTCCACGACAAATAAGATGTCATTTCCTGATCTCACGGGTAATTGACATTTCGCGTCCATAATCGACGAAAAAGGCAGAAGCGGCTTTAGCCTGTATAACTGTCACGATCGGTGAATGATGTCTGAGGGGAGACTTAGCACTCACAGGCACTCACACTCAGAAGCCTCGCGGTCTACATACAGGGGTGGCAGCCACATGCAGCAAGCAAAATGAAATTGCTAAATGGAGATAATATGGGGCAGAAGATCATGTTCAATTGGCACTTTCAAGTTTTAGAGCGAGCCATAACAATCATTCTGGGCTCTTCAGAGACAATTATTAATGATCACTGCGAGTATCCCTAACAGTTTACTTCCTGCAATGAATACTATTCTAGTTATACCGCTTCACGCTTCCGAGGCGTAGCACGTAGAATATCATCCACCCTGTTTACATCCAAGGTCAAAGGAGAGCTCATTATCCGAAAGGTGTGTTGCATACCGTATTATCATCTCTGCTGCTTCGCTTGCACTGATGACAACCTGCCGCTTCAGTTTATAACTTTCCGTAACACCGAGTTGCCTCATCGAGCCAATGGTGCCCTGGTTCATATCTGAAAATTTTGTAAGTTCGGAATCAACCTGAAAATGAATATAATCATACCAAGTCCGGCATCTGACTGCCCCTCATAGTGTGCTGCTCTTAGTCTGGCAACGAGGTCGCTAGAGTCATAGCCAGCGTTGTCCGCGAGGATAGTAGGTATCTGTCTCAGCGCACGGCTAAATGCCTCGGCAGCTATCGCCTTCTTGCCCTTAACCTTACGTGCAGCCTCCTCCACAGCACAGCTCATTAACATCTCAGAACATCCACCGCCCAAGACAATCCGTGTCTCTTTGACTGTCTGCGATAAGACAGAAAGCGCATCATGCAACGAGCGCTCGGCCTCGTCGACCATCTGATTGGTTGAACCACGTAGCACAACAGTGCAGGCTTCGCCTGCAGCCACACCAGAGAATTTTATGAGCTGTAACTTCTGATCAGCGCAGGATCAGTAAGTAAACGATCGCGCCGACCTTATCCTCGCCAATGATAATTTCCTCGATTAAGTCGCATTTCCCAAGTTTGACTAGATCTGGCTTATCAAACGTGCTTGCAATTTCACCGCCAGTGACGAGTGATAATCGCTCAACACCCTCAAAATCGGCATGTTCAATCACCACAATACCTTTCTCTGTCAAGAGAGACTCGGGGTAATTGTAGATGAGCTGCCGGTTGACAAAGCAATTGATGCCATGTGCGGCGATCGTGTCTACTTTGGCTTTCATTTTTTCCTGCATTGCGTCGTTAGAAAATCGATGAAGCAATGCAAGCGGGTAAGTACCAGTTCAGCCCGCTCGAGCTCAGCAAGTTTTCCTGTTGAGTCCACTTTTACTCTGGCTCCAAAGACCTTAATCTTGTCGGTGTCCATCGCTTTTGATGGACCGTGCCTCAGTTCCAAATCAATACGAGATAGTCGCACACATACAGGTATTTGCGATCAATATTTTCGCGTTCTCTATCCGTTTGGGCGAGTTCACAGCAATAGTTTTGTCAAGAATGAAACCTTTGATGAGTATGCTCGTGAGATAAGCAAGATTGGTTGCGTCTCTCGGCCTACCTTCGTCAAGGTATGAGTCTGTGAGTTTGCCTCCGACCTTCTTGATGATCTGGATGTGCTCCAAATCTGTTGAACCCTCGAAGATAGTCAACACGAGCGTCGGATACAGCAATTACAACGTACCTTCAATCGAAGCACAGCATCCACTGCTAGGTTGGCAAAGTAATCTTTGTCTTGTGATAAGACTTTTGATGACAGGGTCGTACGAGCAATGTTGAAAAGATCCCGACGAAACTGGGCAGCATCAGAGCTATTTGAGAACAAAAACCAAGTCGTTTCTGTAAGAAATTTCAAAGTAACGCGCGAAAAACGCGAAAACTCACGCGTGATCGACTGCTGCCTTCTCTAGTGCGGCAAGGGCAGCGATGCTCGCGACCCGGTATCCCTCCACAATCGTCTGAGGATGTATCTTCATAGCAATCAACCTTTCTGCTTCCCTCAGCAGCTCTGCTGCTAGCACACACACGCTCGTGGTTCCATCTCCGACCTCGTCGTCTTGTACTTTCGAGATATTGACGAGGATCTTGGCTGCTGCATTATCGAGCTGGATGGACTTGAGAATCGTTGCACCATCATTAGTCACATTGATATCTCCCGAGGATGCTGATTGCAGAATCTTGTTCATGCCCTTTGGCCCAAGCGTTGATTTCACTAGATCGCCAAGGGCGAGGGCGCCGACGAAAGAGGATAGACGGGCATTTTCAGCTTTTTCCTCAGTTGCCTGGATAAAACCTAGTGACGTCGAGCACGATAAGCCATTAACCTGTCAGACTTACCTCGTGGCCGAATATGTGCATGGACATGACTGTAGTTTTGGAGTTTGCGGGACAAGTTTATCGGACTCTGAATAACGTTCACCGCCGCCAACCCCCACTGACTCGCTTAGAAGTTCTTGGCATGCTTTATGTCCATCGTCTTTTTATTTCATTTTGCGTTGGCAAACGACTGCTAATCCTATGTGATTCTACTGTCAATGCATGATGTTCTTCGACTCGTAGACGCCGTCCATCTCGGCTAGCCAAGTGGTCGACTCAGAACTCTGCACAACAATATTTTTCCTTTCACCACGCCTTGAACATTCACTTATGAATGGATCCTTCGAAGTCTATTCTTAAATAGTCAGCCAACTGGAATCAGAACAGATTAGAAATCTGCTCTCTTGGATGGTGTGGATTCGAAACCTGTCGACAAATGATTTCCCCTCTTATAATCGCAGGTTCATCCCAACTTGGGAGGCGTCCTGCCCAAAATGGTTAACACAGCAGAATTGAAATCTGTCTCTTGATCGAACAGCGCAGGTCTGAAACCTGCCAATGACAACATTTTTTTCTATTAGAACACCTTGATGTTCACTCATGGATGGTTTCGTCGGAGATTCACCAGTGTTCGTACCCAAATGGTTACCACAACAGAATCAAAATCTGTTCCTCTTGACCTAAGCAGGTTCGAAACCTGCCGACAACAAGGTATTTTCTATCGGAACACACCTCGACATTCACTCATGGACGGTTTCCTTGGAGGCTCATGTTAACTGGTCTCAGCCATGTGGTTACCACAACAGAGTTTCTCTTGGACTGCAGGTTCGAAACCTCCTGAAGGACAGTTTTTTCATCAGAACACATCTTGACATTGACTCATGCATGGTTTCCTCTGAGACCCATGTAAGTCGTCTTATCCAAGTGGTTACCAGAGTCAAATCTGTTTCTCTTGGTGTTGGTTCGAAACCTGCTGACAATATTTTTGCGGTGTATAGATCTATTTTACCTAGGCCCAGTCATGACTGTCCTTGTGCCAAAACCTCCTTTTTATATGATAGTCTGTTCGAGATTCACTACCAAACGAAAAATATTGAAGGGGCCGGGGGCCAGAAGAATGCACGCAAGCTTAAGACTGACAGTCAGGAAAATGATGTAACCTCCCCACCTTTAGCTTTCACGTCACCCTCGGTTGCATTAAAAGAGCCGACGACGTGTCCATCGATGAAGGCTGGAAGTATTGAAAGTGGCAGACCGAGCCGTATCGTTCTGATATGCATAGTTTGCGTGTACTCCTGTTTTATGTTGATGCTTCCTTTCGATTGCTGCAGCAAGACCTGGGCACCGGACAGAGAGGTCAATGCGAAACTCTAGAACACCCCTGATTGTAATCAAAAAGCCCGAACATGGGCGTAGCCAGCAGAGGTGGGAGACCGACTGTGTTCGACAAGAGCCCTCAACTAACGTTGGGAGTCGGGGATCCTGTAGATCAACTTGGGCTTCGTTCTGTAATCACTTGAAAACGACCACGTAGGGAAGCAGATAAGGAGGGAAAAATAATCTAACCCACTTCAACATCTTATTCAACGTGTCAGGCAACGCATGCATTATATCCGACAACGTAAAGTGAAAAGATGCACATTAGATCACCCACTTTCGACTCCAACCAATGAGGACGTACTACCCTCCATGATGAATTGGTCTTCGCGTCGACTCATGTGTCCTTTCGGCCTCACCACACCAAGAAGGACAAGCAGATCCCACAAAACGAAAACATTGGATTGAAGAACACATCGGGTGGAAGTAGTAACGAGCAGAGTTGAAGATACGTGAGCGGTGGAAACAGGATATCAGCAATGAGACTTGTACGTCCGGAGGGAAAAGGTTTGATCTAAGCCTCCTTCGGTGCAAGTGGCAGCTAGCGGAGGGACTGCGTAATCCAAGTGGCCAACGATGGGAAGGTTGCGACCATGCCGGACCCGGCGTTTTACCCAGCACTGAAATGCCTCATCACTATCGAAATAGTACTCCGGCGTGTCCATCACACTCCCGCTGAACCGAAGGTGAAGGCTCAGCTTGGACAAACATCTGCACGTGAACATAGAGAGGGTGACACTGGTGGGGACGTATGCAGCCCAGAGGTCATTGGTAGAGGGGATGTAGACTTTGATGACCATCATACCATTCTCGGGTGCCCACCGCGACTCTTTTGGGCTCTCGGAAAATGGCTGGATCTCGATAAGGTCTCTGCGCTCGGTCAGTGTTCCGGAGGTGATCTGATAGGAAGCTGCTCGGGAGCGACGGTGTTTACCGTGGAAGCGAACGACCGCAGAGGGTTCCAAGCAAGGGTAAACAGATGCTGATTTCACGAGGACCCCGTCCGACTGTGGAGTGGCTCCTGGTGTGGTGTTATGATTTTCACTCTCCTTGCTCGCACAGGTAAGGTCGGACTGCTGGCATCGACTGCCATCTTCGATGAACTCTAGAATTATATCGGAAGCGTGGTTCTCAGTCTCGTCTTCGCTCTCCTTTCTGAATTTTGGAGAATCTTCGTGAGCCACTTGGAAGGCAGGTAGTCGACAAACAGGAGCAGAGAGCGCGTCAGTGTACTTGGCGATATCGACGACATGAACACTGTGTCGACGAGCGCCCTGATGAGAAGGGGATGATCGAGAAGATGAGGTGCGTGGCCAATATCTATTGGGCAGTTCCAAGAAATCACCATCACGGACAGAAGCACCGACAGACGTAATATTGAAGTCATAAGCTTTCTTAACGGACGTAATACTATCGTCGGAGAGATCATCGAGCACGATCCTCGGAATGGTCGGCATTGAGAGAATATAGGAATGATGTTCAGAGTCCAAAAAATCGGACCCAGAGAACTGGCTCCATTTCTGAGATATGCTGGGACTCTCCAATCTCACCTTGAAAGACAGAACGCGACTGATTGTGTTCCATCGAAGCTGTAGACTAGTGAATATTGTGAGCCACAAATTCAGCGGCCTATGAAAGTTGGTATACCGCATGAAGATGCCACAGACTATCTTCCATTAACATTGTGTGGGTTGTGTCGCTGCAGATATTCGAAAACTCCACCTCAGGAAGGACATGCGATGGAGGACATTTCGACTGAGGAATGAAGTTGATAGGGACTACTGACTTTCAAAATAACAAGGGTCCAAAGCAGCATTGGTAGATGATACAAGACAAGGTGCAGATATATTCCTCGCGAGCCGTTCAGCAGCAAGTCTAGCTGGAGCATCAGAATTATCACAGGTGACGACAGTGGGAAGAGGTGATTGTGAAGACCAGGCCTGAGCATTCGGGCCTTATTCTTTGAGCGGTAAAGAAATCCAATGGCGGAGAACGCAACGACAGAGAAACAGAAGGAGCCACCTTTGAAGTAGACATCTTGCGGGATCCCAGAGCCCGGCAGCCCACCCTGCGAGGTAGAAGGACGTAAAAGTAGATGAAGGAGCGACTGAAGTAAGATGAGTGGGAGGTATGTTGCGAACGTTCCTGACGGCAGGAGCCATGAGAAGAGAGGCAAAGGAAGATCATTAATTGTTTGAGAACTGGAGGTTCACGGTCAGCGGCTGACGTCGAAGAAATTGCGCGAGGCTGACAGCCACTTGGACATTGTTTGTTGCAAGAACCGAGAATAATTAAAAGCGTGCGCGAGGCATGGAGATATCAAGGTCATGGCTATTTCGAAACGCTAGCGGTTGCCACTAGACATTGCTCCGAGATGCGAATAAAACACATCTGCAGTACGAAGCAACCTGCACATCTGCAAGACATCACAGTGTGAGTGCTAGTTCAGCGGCATCGTTCTTGACATTTATGTGTGTATCTTACTGGCTGGCATGTCATGAGACTCGAGAGTAACTGTGGGGTCAGTTGAACACTTGAACTTGAAACTTGGCGGGAAATCGCGTGCACGTGACGAGTCACGAGATAAGTACCGTTTAGGCCTCGCACCACGATCGTCCGAGTCAAGCTCTCCATCAGTGCCAGCATTAAGCAATGGCAGCGTCAACGGCGCCGACGTCTCAAACGCACCCAGCTTCGCTACCGCCATCAGTATTTACTCTCCCCCAAACAGCACAACTCGAGGCCCTGTACACCATCATCCGCGATAAAACCACAAGTCGAGGAGATTTCTTGTTTTACTCTGACCGGATCATTCGTCTACTTGTTGAAGAAAGTTTAAATCATCTACCTGTGATCCCAAAGATAGTGGAGACTCCAACGGTATGTCAATTCTTTCTTGACTGCCTGGGTTGAGGAAGAAGTTGGATCAATTTCCCCCTGACGTGTTTCTGCTGAAGGGCGCCACATACGAAGGTGTTGGCTTTGAGGGAAAGATTTGTGGAGTATCAATCTTGCGCGCTGGCGAGGTCTGTTGGTCATCATTGTACGAATAGCACATAACCTGACGAGTAGCAATGCTGGACGTAACAGGCCATGGAAGCTGGTCTTCGAGAAGTATGCCGTAGCGTGCGCATTGGAAAGATTCTGATTCAACGAGTATGATCATGTATCTGCATCGTCTGGTCATAAATAATGACTTTGCAACCAGGATGAGGAGACTGCTCTGCCGAAGCTCTTTTATTCGAAGGTAGACACTGTGCGCTGTGACGAGCATTGTGTTGACTGCTTTGGAAATGTAGCTTCCTGAAGACATCGCATCCAGATACGTACTTCTCCTTGATCCGATGCTAGGTATGACATATTCCTCTTGCGATGCACATTCTTCTGATGAACACTCTGAAGCTACTGGAGGCTCCGCTATGAAGGCAGTTGAGGTTTTGCAGGAGCAAGGCGTCCCAGAAGAGCGAATAATATTCATTAACCTGGTTTGTTTTACTGCGAGTTTCGTTCGAAAGCAAGTGTTTTATCGCTGTCTAGATTGCTGCACCAGAAGGTTTGAAGAGATTCTGTGGTAGATTCCCATCTTTGCGTGTGGTGAGCAGACATTTGCTAGTAAAATTTGATCAACTTAATGCATTGTTCAGATCACCGGATGGATTGACAAGTGTCTCAATGAGAAATCTTACATCATTCCAGGTTTGGGTGACTTTGGAGAGCGAAGGTGTGTTCGCTGTGCATGTTGGTACTCATCATCACCTATCGCGGATCTAGATATTGCGAATGAAAAATCGTCACAAGTAGCGTCAATCATCGCACTTTCGATGTACTTTCATGCCCTTCGTCAATTAGTTGCGCTTCTCCTAGCTGAGCATCTGGCTTAACAGCTGAGCTTGTAGAAGTGATCTCGTTGCTATGCTAGTACTACTAAGTCGTTCGTGACAAATGGACATTAACCAAAATCTATACTAGTCATGTATCATGTAAGAGGAGCGCCTGCGTACCTCAGTTGGACAGATAAAAGATTACCCAAAGAGTGATGGTATTGACCTGTTCGCTGCAGAGGCAACCAACACTTCTTCCTCGTTCTCTTTACCAGCCTTCTTTCTATGCCTCGCACTGTCCGGTACCATCAATTTGACTGCATGTGCTTTTGGTGTTGGTCGCCAGAACAATGGTGGGATTTGACGAGGAGTGTTGATGGAAGAAAGATGCCCTCCGTATGCAAGTGGCATTGTCACGTGGGAGGTCATGGGAGATCCAAAGAGTCCAAGGTGTGCGAGCAGGTGTCTGGTATGTAGGCATTGCTCGCATGTGATTTAAGAGAGGGGGCGCGTTCCGAGTGAATAGAGGAGTATTTTGAATGTCACGGCGAAATAGCGATGTGACTTGAGGCGAAGATTGCGGAAATGCCGACCATGGTGTAAACACTCTGTAAGGGGCTGCGGGGCTGGGCACGGCTGGGGTAGGTCCCTAGACGCGGAGATTGATTTAGGTGAGTGCTGCGTGGCGGGGTGCAAGGTGAAGTCGCGTCATCCTCTTCTTTCTGCACGCTTTCTACCGGATTTGCTTGAACATTGTCGTTGTTCTGTGAATTCCATATCAATATTACCGATATCGTCCGTTATGACTGAAGGTGGTACTGACCCGGCTCTTTATCATGTGCCCTACCCAGTCCTCTATCAGTATGGCTATACCTTGAAACTCCTTCAATGCGTCAGCAAGACTGGCGATGCCCCTCGAAACGACTATGGTCGTCAATATCAAGAGACATGAGGAAGGCGCCCGCCCGTGTGAGCAATGTAGTAATCGCTCTCAGGACATGACTATATGCAGCGACTAGTTTGTTGTTTTCCGATAAAGAGAGTGGTTTCATATTAGCTGTGGGTTGTATAGTCTTGTAACCGCAAATGTGGTTGCAGAATAAGCTAAAGTTGGAGCTTATTTACTTGTATTGACGCGACAGATCACGTGCATTGATTTTGGCTGCACAAGCTGGTGGCACCGGCGGATATATTGATCTTTGAAGATCCGGGCAAATCATCAGCTGCGCCCGAATCTATTGTAATGATTAATAAGTATCTTCACATTGGGAGACTAAGCCGAACCCATGCATACCAGACCTGTTTTCGCACCTTCAGGACTTTGATGTCCGAAACCAAATAGGTCGGCGTTGAGAGCGAGAAAGCCGACGCTGAGCAGGCCTCAAGCGCTCGTAAGTGTTACTCACTATATATCATTGTCAATGTAGATGAGTCAGGTGAAGGATGAAAGTGCCACAGACTGTCTCAAGATTGTTCGCCGCTGTCATCGCATGCATAGCGTAAAGCAGCTTCATCGATATCAAAATGCAACCTAGTATGTGTTTGGTGCTCCGCGATGCTCGGCTAGTTTCGGTTTAGTCTGAGATTTCCCAGATAACCTAGAACTCCTCCAAGACCTCCGCTTTCACACTGGGTGCGAAGTCGACTAACAAATGGGGCCTGGTTGCACTCCACACGTGAGACCATGGGGGTAATTAGGCTTGATTAATCCCCACAAGCTGAATAAACTCTCCCTATCAACCTTGGTGTGCCTCGCGGGCGTCGGCTAACCTTGGGACCCCTCGGATGCTTGGCTTGGAAGTGATAAAGTTCCTCCGACTTCGATTCCCGCGTTATCACTCATCCGAGTCCAGCCGGCGAGATTATCGACTATCACGAACGTTCTGAACTTCGAACATCGAAGTGCAATGTCACTTTTCGCGTCTCTTCACGGTTGCTATTCCAGTCGTTGATGATCCGTCGACTCGCCCAGAGTCTTCCATGTCACGTATGTTTGTTAGGCGAACGCTTAAATGAGTTATCGCATATCCTTCCTTCATCAAATACACGGTTCGACTGATATTCCACGGATGTTAATAGCGCCATTGTAGGGCACAAATGATATTCATCTTAGTGGCACATGCCCCGCCTCAAATTAGAAGACTAGCACAGCTAGCAGGGTACTCATAAGCATGTGTGTATACCGTCGATCTTTTCGATTTGATACCAAACTAATCAATACGGAGTAACCGAATACAAGCATTCGCATACTCCGGGACACCCGCAAGGTTTGCCAATCGCGTTTCCGAAAGTATAAGGAGCGTTCAACATTCTTCCATCAGTTTCCATGCTCCGCTTCCGATTAATTCTCAAAGGCATGGAAGCAGCCTACTTGGGTCGATGTAGTCATATGGTCTCTCAAACGAGCTTGAGCAAATACATTCAGTATGTAATACGCAGGGGCTATTCTATTCATTCTTGCGGAACATCGAACTCTAATGAGACACATTTTTAGTGACTTTCGCCATGTCTTCCCCCTATCGGTTGCCGTATCGGCATCTGGGCTTCATCAGACATTCTGTCCAGATACAAAGCTTGCCATGCCCTCTCCGTAAAGGTTGTATAGGGACGATCTGCTATTATCTGTGGCCCCTTAATACCATACGCAGTCTGGCATGACTTTATAAGAGTGTCATAAGCCCACAGGCTACTTAATATTTATCATCTCAGCTCCACAGGTGACTTCTCTTATCTAAACTGCGCTCACTATGCGAGATGGCAGTTGATGGTTGGTTGATTGAGAGGATGGCTCGATAGCACAACATATTTCCCACTCTTTCCAGCTCATCAAGATTTTCATTTGAGACCTAACAAGCTCGAACAGTTCTTGTGCGAATAAATCTATGATATTTGTGTCTGATTGTGTGAGATCTGAGTGTTGTTACATAGCGCCTTGTGAAAATTTTCATTGCCTATGCCAGACTAGCGGGTACTTGCGGATATACCGAGCACTCAAAACAAAATTGAATAAGTACTTGCGCATCTGATATCCGGGGTTCACCTGCAGTTACATCCAGTCCCTCTTCCCCCCACATCGAATCATGTCCGCCATCTCAGAACTCCCTGCTCGTCGTCGTCGCCATTCTGGATCGACTACAACACCAGCCGCAGTCCGTGCTAGCCTGAGTCTACTCGAAGCACAACAAGATGATGAAGCTATGATTATTCCCCCACCACGACCAAAATCAACTCCCGTTGACGAACGGCCCCAGCGACGACGCAGGTCCGGTTCAGCCGAGTCTGATTCGGAAGGCTCCGATAAGGAGACAACCACCATGCAGGTTGATAACGATTCACCTAGTCGGCAATCTTCATCATCTCCATCACAATCTCAAGAATCTACTCAAAAACGTGGAGTTATCACGCTCAAGTCAGAGAATTCTAGTCCAGAGCGTCCTACTCGTCCTCTACCTGCTAAATCTCGGAAAATGGCCGGAAATTCATCCAGCAATCCCATGCCGCAACCTGCGAACCCATCTATGCTACCAGTTCAGGCTCATGTACCCCGTGGTGGTGTCGCATCGACTCAGAGAAGGCTGTTTGTTGTCCTAGAGCAAGCTTGCTTGGAGGCATACAGAGTTTCAAGTGGAGGAAAAGGCAAAGGCGGCAGGGAGGGCGATGTCAAATACACTCTTCTGAACTGCGATGATCATCAGGGCATCCTCGCAAAGACTGGCAGAGATATTGCAGATGCCCGTCCCGATATTACGCATCAGGTACGCATTATCGGAGCACGACATGCGATTTTTTCATACTAAGTTTACTCCTCAGTGCCTATTGACGCTCTTGGATTCGCCTCTAAACAAGGCGGGTCTACTGCAGGTGTACATCCACACCACAAAAGGGGTGCTCATTGAGGTCAATCCTCATGTAAGGATTCCTCGTACCTTTAAACGATTCAGTGGATTGATGGGTAAGTAACGCTTGTTCATCTTGTTCTCGCCACTCATTTTTTTTGAAGTTCAACTTCTTCATAAATTGTCTATTCGCGGTGTCAATGGCCCAGAGAAGTTGCTCAAGGTAATCAAGGTATGTTCTGCATTCTCTCCGATCTGCAAGCATCGCTTGACCTTGTACTCCAGAACCCCGTGACCGACCACTTTCCTGTCAATACCATGAAACTCAGTCAGTCAACTCATACCTCCCATAGATACTCACTCACCACCGATCCCTTATCTAGCCCTTTCTGGTGATGCTCCCACTATCAGACTCTCTCGTTATCTTCCGACTCTTCCGGAAACGCACTCGATTGCTGTCTTTGTGGGCGCCATGGCTCGAGGCCGCGATGACTTCGCCGATCATATTGTGGACGAAAAGATCAGTATCAGCGACTATCCTCTATCCGCATCCGTCGCATGTGGCAAGGTAAGTGCTTGCGATAATATCTTGAAATGAATTCTCATTTTCCGGTAGTTATGTTGTGGTCTGGAAGAACTCTGGGACATTGTCTGATGTCCTCATCTCCAATATCTCTTGATATTAAAACTTGAAAAACTATCGATATGTTGTATCATGTTGGCCGTCAGGTTGGTTGTACTGGTACCTTAGAAAGCATTCCGTTCTTTTCATCTTTGTTTGCATACTACTTTCCACCACATTCCTCTCTCACACAGTAGCATTTCAACCTGCGTTGCTCCGTAAATTTATCCGCTGAGCCGCATCGTGTACTACTAGTAGATGGATTACCCCCAAGCCCCTTCGCATTAGGAACACGACTCAACTCGTATTCCTGGGCTCTGGAAATAATGATGCGATTCCTGCTAGATTTGTGATATTCTGGCTTTTGTTCCTCGTGTGTCATCGAAGCTGTGGAATGGTGTAATTGGAGCATCGGCACCAGCCACCGTGATAGTGGAGGCTGTTGCTGCACTGTGATCCCGATTTTTAAATTTCAACGCCTACACTTAAGCTTTGCCCTTGACCATGTCTACACTCGAACAAGCTAGTGCCAGTCCAATGCCAAACGGCATTACTGATCCTAACTACCGTCCTCTACCAGGGCGGGTTGGAAACCTCACCGTCCCACAACAACATGCCCTTCAGACCTTAAAGAATCAGCTCCTCGATGAAGGCCATTTCGTCGAGGAAAGAATGGATGACCCGATGCTGCTACGGTATGTCCCACACCTCGATCCGGGAATCCATCGATACATTCTGTGTCGCAGACCCGCGATTTACGTCCGATAGGTCGTGTGAGGCATGTGCTGACACAGTCTACAGATTTCTGAGGGCGCGCAAATTCGATGTCCCAAAGGCAAAAGCGATGTTGCTAGCTGCTGAGCAGTGGAGACGGGATATGAAAGTAGATGATATCGTGCGGTTCGTCGCTTGTCTTTGCCTTGTTCCGATTATCCTGATCTCAGCCCATGCAGGACCTTTGAATTCACCGAGAAAATGCAGGTCGATCAATACTATCCTCAGTACTACCATAAAATGGACAAGGTAGCTGACTTTTTTTCAGACTTGTTCTTTCACTGACTGCTGTGTTGCAGGACGGCAGACCGGTATACATCGAGCGACTCGGCAAGCTCAATGTCCCAGCGCTGTACGGCATCACGACAAAGGAGCGGTTACTCCAGCGTCTCATCCTCGAGTACGAGAAATTCCTCACAGATCGTCTCCCAGCATGCTCTGCAGCTGTCGGTCACCCCGTCGAGACGGTCTGCACCATCCTTGATCTAAAAGGCGTTTCCCTCTCTTCCTTTTACCAAGTCAGAGACTACGTGAACGAGGCTTCGAAGATCGGACAGGACCGATATCCGGAATGTATGGGCAAGTTTTACATCATCAATGCGCCGTGGGGCTTCTCTGCTGTGTGGTCGTTGATCAAACCTTGGCTGGATGAAGTGACTGTGTCGAAGATAGAAATTCTTGGGAGTTCATACCAACCGAAGTTGTTACAAGACATTCGTGCAGAGGATCTTCCTGCAGATCTGGGTGGCAAGTGCAAATGTGCAGGCGGGTGCTCGCTGAGCGATACAGGACCATGGAACCCGGATGAGAAGACAGGGAATGGTGTTGCTTAGAGATAGATATGCTGATAGCGAGCTGGTGGGCATGCTCTGGCGGTAATCTACGTATACGACGTACTTAATGGATTGTCGTTTCAGCATTCAACGATTCTCATTCATTTGACAGTAGACGAAAGTCCGGAGTACGTAGAAATTAGGACTGGTGATGCAAATAGTGTACGTGACCAAAATGTGTTGACGAGCATATGGAACGAAAGATGGAGGTTGCGGAGCGACGAGATGTCATTACTTGATTTTACAGAAGTCTGTCCCTTCAAGTGGGGAGTCGACTTTGTGCCTGAAGAAAATTCAATGAGTAGGGCACGACCGGATGAAATATCTTTTTACTTGTGTTTGATGTGCTGCCTGACACTTTCCAACATGAAACTCCTGAAATTCGGTGAGCTATTGCAGCGTTTGCAACGATAGTCTTTTGTCGGCTTTTTGGGCAGCTGAGGGGGGTAATGAAGAACTTCGTTCCTTGTGGCGGTAGCTCGACAGGGGCCATGTCATACTTAAAGTCGACTCCTTGGATCGGAGCGGCGATTCCATCCCTATCATAGGTGTTAGTAAGGTGGATGAAACAGAAGAGGTGATGGTTACCATCGTAAATGATCAATGACAGCAGCCTTGTCAACTGGTTTTCCGTTATGCCTATCGCACCCGTTACAGTACCACACTGGATCAGTAGCCCTGGGATATTCGGGAGGATGCGAGCCGTGGATCACTTTAAGTTGCTCAGCACTCAAGAGCTCCCAACGAGGCTCCGAGTGTGATTCCTCAACGTAATGGATGACCTAGAATGCAGTATAATTATTGAATACATTGTCAAAAGACAAACACAAGAACGAACACTCCGACGCCAGTCCATCGCCATCCGGTAGGATCCTCCGTTCTCTAGCTTGGGTGGACAGTTGGAGCAAAAAAAGTGATACTGGAGTTGATCCATTGTGGTTGCAGTCGTAGTTTTGGCGTCAAGGTCGACTAAGCTTAACAAAGAGCGGGCGGCAGTAATCCCAGATTGAGAGAGAGAAAATGTGCAAGCGTCTATCCCCATCGACCCCGCGTAAAATAGGCTAGAAGGGCATCTGTGATACTGCACTTTGTCCCATGTGATCAGGGGGAAGGGACGCGATGAAATGCATTGGAAGATAGAAGTGGCTAGTTGCAGTAAGGTCTCGTCAGGGACGTTGATACCCTGATTTCGTCGCGCTAGGGTATCTTGCGATACACCAGTAGAGGGGCCAAGGAGTTTTGTCAGTGCGAGCTTTGTTTGATGGATATACCTGGTACACAATTCGGGCAATTTGACCACAAAAGCACGACAAGCACCAATCTCGCTTTCTCGTTCCACAGGCGGACTGTTGATAAATTCTGCGACATCGTAGAGCTTCAAGAAGGATTCGGAAGGAGGTATGAGAGTTCGCAACTGCCGCACGTAGTTGTCATACGTTTCCAACAGGTGTCTCTTCCGTTCAAACGATGCACTTCTTTGATCCTCGAGACGCTGCTCTTCCTTCAATTCAGAAAGATTACGCTCGATTCTTGGGAGCAAGCGCTTCCACCCTGGAAACTGACGCAGTAAGAGGATAATTCTTTACGATGATGATTGAGGCACTGACGTGCATTGGTAAGTTCCTTGTCCATGGCATATTCACGATGACAGAGCATGCGCGCCACATCATTAGCACCGTGACCGAGTTGAACTAATCTAGCTTTAATCCTGGGAGAGGATCAAGACGTGATGAGATGACGAGTCAATGGAATATACTTACAACTCTTTATTTTGGCTGCGAAGCTCGGTGACCGTCAATAGATGACGTTCGCGTTCCTCATCGACCCAAGCATTACACACCGCAGCATGCTTCGAGGGTGTTAGATCTAAGAAAACTTTTTGAAAAAATCTTACATCAACAACAGAGTCAACATATCTCTTGCGTGATTGCTTGAAGTCTTCCAGCCTTTTCTTGGCGCCTGGTTTGAACATGTGCACATCCTTCTGGTACATCCCCAACTGAGCTGCCATTTTCAGTACGTCGTCCGACCAAAAAAACTTGCTTGTGCTGGCGTGACCATGAGCCCATCCACCGGCTACTCGAGATGATCAGATACTAACAGCTCACAGCAAGAGTGAACCTACTGTTAGTGAATGGTATTAAATCCATGATAATTGGATCAAAGTCAGGAAATTTCGAAGAAAAGTTAGGCTTGTAGACCAAGCTTGACAAATCATTGAGCACATAAGAGCATAGTCATAAAGTAATGCTCACTTCTTCTTGAGGCACGAGGTACATACTCTGCGCCTGATACCAAAGTCTATTCTCGTAATTCCCTTGGTGCCACACACCTGAGATTGTGGTCATGAAAGTGCAACAGGTGAGAACGAAGGATATACATACATAACACTGAGAACCACCAAATAACAGGTTAGCCCATGTGACCTCAGACATGCCAGGCATGCAGTCAGGAACATCGTCACGATTGACGCGGGCAGCTTTCCAGACCGAAACTGCACTGTTAGATAAGAGAATCTTCCGAAAAGCTTTACTTGTGCGTGACAGATATAAAAGATCTGCCGGTTCCAAAAGACCAAAGATCTGGTGGAGAGTGCGGGTCAAATAACACGTAAGGTCCATGGTCATGAACTAACCTCGAGAAGAATGTCAATCGGCATAATGACAATGAGACTAAGCGTTTTCTTTCTTCTGCCAGGACCTTTTGGTGCTGGTGCCATACCAGTATCGAGCGCTTTAGCTGTCCTGGGGCGTTTTTGTGCGGGTTGTTTCTCTGAACGCCAAAGTTAGCCTTGAGTACTGAATTACGCTTGGAGAAATGAAAATAGTAATTACTATATGTCTCTCCGCCATATTCACTACCGCTTGATTCACTGAACGTCTCCTCCGGGCTGCTATACTCGCTACTGTCTTCCAGGTCCGTTAAAGGGGAGTCATAGCCATCAACCATATCATCATCGCTGCCTATTGAAGACGTCCAGTCGTTGACAAGGATAGGCCTGCTGATACCACGAACCACACCCATGACGTGCTTAACTTGCACTGTAGACTCTGGGGTCTGTAGAGCAGTGTAAAGCGAAACTGAAAGATTTACATATTAATGTTAGTTCAACGTTGGCTTGGCCCAATTTACATGAAAGTTCAATTATTGATCGGATCCCGAAGGTGACGAGATGTTGCTACGAGCCTGATGGTCACCATCAGTGTTCATCCAGTCGCCGAACGTTCACAAAAGTCAGTGAATGTTCACCGGTGAACGTCACTATGTCGACAGGTAAACGTGAACAGCTATGGTACCAGGAGTCCGAGAGAAAATACTATATAATCGTATCTGATTGGCTAAGGCCCGCATAACCAAGAAACTCGTCAGTCATTTTACTCGTCCAAAATCTCATCTGCCTGCGGAAATTCTGGGTCATCAATACCATTGGCATCCAAATCCAACAGCTCATATAACTCAACCTCTGCATCTAAGCCTCGTATGGCTGTTTGGTAGAAGGATCCTAGCCAATCTTGAGCACGAGAAAAATCAAAGAGATCCTTGATAGGAATTCGCTGGAAGTCTGATGGATTGGTAGCTGCCTCTGTAATCTCAGAGATGGTGAATGTCTCTTCATCCTCAACAGCTTGAATCAAGTGTGCAGCAATTTGCTGTATCCCTCTGTGCTCACAAACTTCATTGCTCATCTGCTGGGAATCATCACCAAAGGCATCTGTGTCACCCTCTGTAGGGTTAGCCTCAGTGGTATTCTGGCAGTAGTGCCATTTGAGACGCTTCTTGACAGAGCCTGCGCGAACATGTTCCTCATGGAGGTACATCTTTAGCTCTGTGAGTAGCATAAGACTCTGAGTGGAAAGCTGATTTCACCATTTTGTGAGGATTGCGCCAAAGATACTGAAAAGACACTCGCATGAAGCGGAATTTGGACAGATCGAAAGAATTCACTGAGCAATTTTCTGGAGGGGCTTGATTTTGGAGCTGCTGTGTGAAAATCCATCCCAAATATCGAGAGGATCAACTGGTGTGCCCTATGGGTAGAAATAGGTTAGATATTGAGGAATACAGCTCTGAGTCTAGTAAATATATTACCTGATCCTTTGCGTGAGATACTAAAATCTGTGTATATATATTGAGTGGCTGGAACTTGGGTGAACTTTTCAAATAATTATCGAGATCTGTAAAAAGTTCGAGTGGTGGCACACCACCGTAAAAACGCGTCCAGAGGTGACTGAAAAGGGACATCAGCCCGGCATGTGTTGTCAGGGGAATATTTTTGAATGGTTTGTCTTTGTAGAGTGGGTCAACAATAATGGTGGCAATGAAGACCTCTTGATCAATTTGAGCCCAGTGATGCTTGGCACTCTCTAGGACCGCATTTTGAGCCACATTGTCATATCCCATATGCCAGACATAGATCCTATCATATTCCCACGCTTTCCGGACCTGTTTCCGGACCCCATATCCAACTCATTCCTGGATCCCCTATCCTGTCCACCCTATGCACATTCTGTCCAGCAAGACATCTGGACTTTACCTCCTCTCAGATTCTGGACTACATCCACCACCTCACATATCTCAGTCCTGTTTCTGCCCTGCCTTCTGGATCCCCAGATCTCCGGACCTCCAGATATTAACTGTACTATCTCCAGACCTATTCCCACCCTCTGTCTGAGATCCTGCACCTATCCCCATTTAGGCATCTCCACCTTTCTGGTTCTCGGTTATCTCTGTTTCTGTCTTGCTGATTGATCCTCGTACTAGTTTCATCTCCGAGTTCATTTACTTATGTTCCGTCTTACTTACCAATGTGTTTCCGCATGCTCGTACATAGCCTTACTCCTTTGCTTACTGATCCTCTTGGATAGCCTCTAGTATATAACCCCTGTACAACTACAGTAGAGTCCTCAGTCTGAATATCATCTTAGTTCCTGCTCTATCACCTTAGACTTGCCCAGTCTTCTTCTGGACTTCAGTCCATCTGAGTTTGTCCTTTTCCATAAGGCCTAGGGATGGATTCCCTAGGCCAGAATTCTGGACCTTCAGATTTGTCCCCTATGCCTCTGTCCCAAGTCTAGGGATTGCTTCCCTAGGCTAGAGTCTTGCCTTTCTGGCACTTACCCTCTTTCCAGACTTAGGTCCACTTCCTGTCCCTCCGACTCTACCTTAGGGTAGTCTACCTCCGTTTGCTTCTACATCAGACTTCGTCCGATGTAGCCCCTATTCCTTCCAGACCTCTGGACCTCCTGTCTTCTGTACCTCCAGACCTCCTGTCCCTCATACCTCTGGGCATCCTGTCCTTTGGACGTTCCGCCCTCCGTACCTTTGGACGTTCCGCCCTCCGTACCTTGGACGTTCCGCCCTCCGTACCTTTGGACGTTCCGCCCTCCGTACCTTTGGACGTTCCGCCCTCCGTACCTTTGGACGTTCCGCCCTCCGTACCTTTGGACGTTCCGCCCTCCGTACCTTTGGACGTTCCGCCCTCCGTACCTTTGGACGTTCCGCCCTCCGTACCTTTGGACGTTCCGCCCTCCGTACCTTTGGACGTTCCGCCCTCCGTACCTTTGGACGTTCCGCCCTCCGTACCTTTGGACGTTCCGCCCTCCGTACCTTTGGACGTTCCGCCCTCCGTACCTTTGGACGTTCCGCCCTCCGTACCTTTGGACGTTCCGCCCTCCGTACCTTTGGACGTTCCGCCCTCCGTACCTTTGGACGTTCCGCCCTCCGTACCTTTGGACGTTCCGCCCTCCGTACCTTTGGACGTTCCGCCCTCCGTACCTTTGGACGTTCCGCCCTCCGTACCTTTGGACGTTCCGCCCTCCGTACCTTTGGACGTTCCGCCCTCCGTACCTTTGGACGTTCCGTCCTCCATACTCTGGACCTCTGGACATCCTGTCCTCCTGTCCTCCGGACCTCCTATCCTTCCATCCTGTTTTCCTGTAGAAGTATTACCTTGTAGCGGGAACTCTCCTGTGCTCTTCTGGACGTTTCCTGCGCTCCTCCAGAAGTCCTCCCGCACTCTCCACCTGTTACGGCGAACTAGGATAGACACAATGACAGATACTTGATAAGAGTAATGTCTGTGATTGAGTCAAGACCTCACAAATGTAAGGCTTCTTAAGACAAGTCAGAGAGAGTGTCTCTGGCTTGAATATCGGTATCAGATGACTTAGGATTGGGGGTCCTAAGCGAAGGATGTTTCAGGTGAGAACCTAGTAGATTAAAGTGAAGATCTGCTAAGTACATGGCCAAGCTTATATAGATGTAGCTACTTTAGGGCAGGTACGTATATGTCATCAAGATGAGTCAGAGATAAGGATGAGTCAAAGATAAGGGTGAGTCACCTAGCGATGGTGGTGGTGATCGTGATGTAATACAGATATGGCAAGAGACTTGGTCTAGTGATGGCGCAATGGGGCGCGGTCATGACATAATACACAAGAGAAGAAAGAAAATGAGATAGGGGTAGGCGTGATTGTAACACCACCAGAGTAGCCAGCCTCCAGAAGTCCTCTGGACTTCGTCAGACCATCATCGGACTTCCTCTGAAATGAAGGGCACATACTTGGGTAAGGGGCACAGTGTATGAGCTGAGGCCAAGCCCCTCTGAGTCAGTCTCTCTCTCCCTTGAGCATGGTTCTTAACACACATGATCAGATTCGTCACTGACTTTCAAATAACGGTAGTAAAGAAACCCAAATGAGATTGGAATATGTTCAGGTTTCAAGTGGGCAGCTTGGTGAATATTTGTCATTAGCGCAATTGGTTCCAAAAGATTTTTCCATCTAAATGGTAGTGCAATGTCAGTCAAAATTATGTTATGTCACAACAAGAATGTTCCTACCGAGCCATTGCATGCCAGAATGTTGGATTTTTTATTGTCATAATGGCAGCTGAGGTCTTCACTCATGAACAAGCATCACCTGTAGATCGTATCTCTGCTTCGTGCTTTGTTATCAATAGCTCTAGTGATGGCCGAACATCCAAAAGTTGTTGGTATGCTAAATAATGTGATAACCATTGAGTGAGAACAGCATGAATGATGGTCAATGTCTTTCCCATGGTTGACATTTGCAATTCATGAAGGAGTGTGAGAACATAGGTTTTGCTACAAAGCCATGTAATTAGCTCTTGTGCGAGGTCACCATACTGCCCATAGTCATCCTTGGCTTTGAAGAGATCCCCCACAATAAGGTTAAACTGTGAATAGTAGATGAAGCTAGCTCACATACTATTCTCGCATTGACAACCTACCTGGTGAGCTAGGCAGTCAGGTGTTACCAAGTGCGGAAATTTGGTGTGAAGGAGTCGCTGAGCCTTACGAGACTCTCCAGATGCATCAGTAGTGCATGCAATAATAATGACTCCCCACTTGCTCTTGACTTGATTTATTGATTCGATAATCTGTTTGAGGAGTTCTTCGGCATTGCGCAAGTCACCAGATGCATCATGAACATGGACAGCATGTAACTAGTAAGACAAAGCAGTTGGTTCAGCCATGAGACAGAAAAGCTCATAAAACATCCACAGTGCTTACCTTTCATTTTACAGTCATCATGAAACCAATCAAATGATGGCTATTCTCGCCAGTCCAGCCATCACATTGCAGAGTTCCGACTGCACCATGACATTCTTCTTTTGCAGTGGCTTTGATACTGTGGAGAACTTGAGGCATGACATGTTTTGTGAGAACCTTTGCTGATGGTGCTTTTGCTCAAGGAATAAATCTATCACAAAGTTTCAACCACTCTGGATTCTCAACCCATCATAGTGGTAATCCTGCACTCGCAGTTACCTGCGCTAACCCTGTTTCCCAATCTGCCTGGTCAGCATCAGTCCAAGTCTGGCTGGTTGGCCAATGAGCTCCAACAAGCGGTGACAAGACAGACCCAGTAGTGACAGGCTGTGAAACAGAGTGATATGAACCTGAATTGGTCAGGCACTGGCGCTTCGAGGGAAGCAAAGGGAGCATGATGTCAGAAATTGCGGGACTGGGTGCACGAGAATCAAATGCCAGTAGGCTTGGTAAAGATAACAAGTCCAAAGAGCCATTAGCATGTGGAGATGGCACCGAAAGACTCAGAATGAAGAGACCGAGAGCTGGTAGAGCAGAAGACAGAGGATATATTGAATGTGCAGCTGATGATGGTCCTGCGATCTGAGGGGGATCTTCATATAATTGAGGTATGGACAGTGTAGCATGCTCTGCAGCTATGGGTTGTGTGACTTGATTGAAGCGAGCTGATGCTACCAGATGCAGTGAAGAAGGCGAGGTTGTGTGAGAGTGACATTTTTTCATACATATGTAGCTAGATGTCATCACTTGTGCACTCAATACTATCATCTATACCGTTGAGATATGAATTGAAAAGCATCAGTCAATTTCTAAATATAGAAGATACAAAGGACTCATGGCACCTGACACATTCACAATCAAGTGAACATTGCTGACATTCATCAACTTTCCCACACTTTGCGTTCAGTGAATGAACACTGCAGTCACTGACTGGCAGAACACTGGTCACCATACTTATCAGATACTGTAGAGCTATGACACTAGGTTTGTCATGTGCAGCATGTGATTATGTCATACTCAGTGTCACTGGTTCGAATGTCCATGTGACCTGTGACCACACCCAAATAGATTCGCCCATGGATGCTTCACCGCTTGCAACCATATGACATGCCGCTGCTTTGTGATTGTGACAACTTGCTTCAAGATGCATCACAAATTCGATGTATAATGATTTTTGGTCCCATTAGTGCACAACCTATGTTTTTCCTATGTTTTTTTCTGAATGTCACAAATTAGCTTCGTCCTGCCAAAATTCATGTGATAGTCACACCAAATAGATTCAATTTGTCAAGGGCTGTGACCTGTGACAAACCTAGTGTTGTAGCTCTACAGTAAGGTCTACCACATCAAACAGACTCTTCAGTACTAGTATGCTATGGTATACAGTAATATATGTCTATTGAGTGTTCTAGCTATGAATCACATATGCAATCCCACTACACAGGGAGGAGCTGGGTGAGGCTTAGGCTGGCTGTAACTTGGGAGGCTGATCTACCAATTTACATGAATTAGGACATGTGTCATCAGGAAATTGCCAAGGCGACGGTTTTCGTAGTTGTAGTTGGTAAGATCAGATCAAAAATTCACGCAATTATATGTAATAACAAAAGTAGACAAAATAATATATAAGATAAGCAAACTGGCAGTGAAGGATAAGATATGGCAAAAAATGTATAATTCTGATGAAAATAGGCAAGTGTACCAGCATTTCTCAACTGCATGGTCACCTATGGTCACCAGTGACCACTTGGGATCAAGAGGCTCAGCCCTGTAGGATGCTTATGTAAGTCTGAATTTTTTTTCAAAGTTCAATGTTACAGTCTTCTTACTAGTTCTGATTCTCTCAATGCTACCACCACCACTAAATTACTCTCTGAATCTTGAACTCTCACTCTCTTTGGCCTTCCCTCTTGGTCCCTCCCTTATGGTCCCTCCTCCTTGGTCCCTCCTCCCTCGTGGTCCCTCCTCCCTGGTGATCTCCCCTCCTTGGTTCCTCCTTTGCGGACCCTCCTTCCTAGACCCTCCATGGGCCCTCCTTTGTGGACCCTCCTCCCTCTTATACTTGTTTTCTGTCTTTTGTCATGTTATATATGTATATATGTACTTACATCTTGTTTGTTTAATTACAAAATGTTTTTTTTTTGGAATAAAATGTGTGCACAAAGGTCAAAAAATTAGTTTTTGTTTGAAGCCACCCAACATTATCAAACTTTGTCATGGCTGCCAAGTGTTGGCAACATTTGCTAGTTTGGTGAGAAGTGGCAAGTAATTGCAGGTAGACTATCATGATTGTGCTTTTGGCAGTTTTCATCCAACTTACTCCAGGTATATAAAGCATTTTCTAGTGAACTATCATTTTGATAGATATTATACAAATTTTACGTAAATCAGGTAAAGCTTGACAAAACTTTACCATTTTCACGTCACTTCCCTGATGGTAGTGCTCAGGAATTACCGCTTTTGGGAAACTTTCGGGCGATGAAAAGTTACATAAAACAATACAAGGTTTATAATAATACGTTTACCTGCATGCAATTGAGATCATTTATCGTTTATCGAAGAACTAGTCTAGTGTACTTAGAAGATATTCTTAATGCTCTGGTGCTATAGGACCAATTATCAGAGCCGACAAGGTTTCCGTTGACGTTCTTACGTTACACTGCTGGTAAGCCGAATGGTGGCGGAGTGGTAACAGGGCATCGCACACTCATGCAGACCTAGGACCAGCATTGAAAGGAGGAAAACAAACGGGTTGGGTACTAACATATGACTGGCATTAAATGCAGACCCGCACCCCAGTCCCAAAATATTATGTGAACCTCACGGCCACACAAATGCAGAATACAGCAGGTACATATTTCCTCTGCGTCGACGTACAGGATAGTATACTGTACACATAATATAAATAGTCGATCGTCGTGATGCTCTGTCCCTTATATTTACACAACTTCGGCCTCAACAGGGCTAGCCTCTTCCATCCTAACCCATACCCCGTCCTATGATGGCGTGAGCCACCAGACAAAGAATCAAAGTTAAGGACTTACATGTGCATAGATGGTAAGGTGGCTTTTGATGACGACCTTTTCGATGGCCTTGCGGCCAGAACACTTCGCCCACTCCGCAGGCGGAAGAGTCTGGACATCGGTGGCCAAGGAGACCGAAGAGAACTGCTGGAGAAGTCGGACGAGGAAAAAGGAAACCTCGTTGTAGGCGAACTGGATAAATACAGATGTCAGCATGAATACTTTGAGAGAGTAGTCGGCAGACCTGTTGCCCAAGACAAATCCTGGGGCCTGCATTGAAAGGCACGAAGATGAATGGGTTAGAGGTACAGTATTTCCGGAGGCGGTCGTCAAGGAACCGATCTGGGTCGAATTCTTCAGCTGGTGGAGAAAAATGTGAGCAAATATTCGTTCCAACGAAGCAGTCAATCGATTATCCTGCTCACCATCCGGTCCCCATAAGTCTGTTCGTCGGTGCATCAGGAATACAGAGTAAGGTGTCCTGAGGTATCCAACGTCAGTGGCAAAACCAACCCATTTCTTGATATAATCACCTAGTATTTGCAGGGATGTAGAGCGGTTTCCCCCCATTAATTCCCGGCCAGACCGTCGGTTCTGTACTAGTCCTAATCCATAATAAGCACAGAGACGGACGCATGGGCAGAGCAGTATTTACCTGACATTGAACGGCCTGATAAAATTAGAGAAATTCGATGAGCAAGTATAACAAATTTGAAGGGAGTGAACCCGATACTCACACAGGCGGGAAGAGTCGAAGCGTTTCTGAAATTCCCGTGTCACCTCAAGAGAAAGTAGCTTTTGAGTAGGACTTACCGTTGATGACTGCTCTCAAATATTTCATATTGCGCATATCATCGTAGGTTGGTCTCCTTGAGCTACCCACTTTGCTAAGGATCTCCTCACGAAGACGGCGGAGAACATCGGGATGCTGTGTGAGCATATAGACGACGAAAGTCAGGGTAGCTGCAGTCTGGAAAGAAAGGTGTAAGCATCCTGAGAATGACCGTCCGAGAGAGGTGTATACAGTATCACGTCCAGCAATCATGATGTTAAGAATTTCGTCCCTGATGACGATGGGGTCTAGAAGGAAACAAATTGATGTCATTTGGAATGACACGTCAATGCTTGCGCTGCATACCTTCTGTGTAATTTACCAAGTGATCAAGCAGCGTTTCGCCTTCTTTGACGTCCCTATCCTTTGCGTCGGCCTTCTCGTCAATATTTTCCTTGAGCATTTTGTTCTTTTCTAACGCCTCCTTGAGGATAGGGTCGATGAACTTGTAACAAGTGCCCATGTGCTTCTTAACGCGATCAGTCCAGAACTCAGACAGGGGCCACGCTGAGCCAAACCGGCCGCGATAGGCGGAAGCAATCTGGGCATCACTAAATGCATGTGCAAACTTGTTGGCTGGGTGGTTCTCAGACACGACGTCTTTGGAACGGGGTGATGATGGTGGGTAGATCAGGCCGGCGGAGAGAGAACAGACGTTTTTTCCGAAAAGGAACTCCGTCGCAGAATCTAAGGTGAAACGAGAGACCATGTCCTAAAGCAACGTCAGTGAGAATAAGCATAGAAAAATCATCATAAGTTTACCTGGAAATCCACGGGGTAGCCATCTCTGAGTCTGATCTTTAGCTGGCTAATCGCGTCTTCCGCATGCTTATCAAATATATCAAAATGACTAATCCGGTCTTTGTTGAAGAACGGGCGTGTCATCGAGCGGTGGAATCTGTAGTCACTAGATTAAGCCTGTCGAACAATGAACGGAAATAGATAAGACGTACTTCCAGACATCCCCTGGAATAGACAGTAAACTATATTGTCACGATGGAATACAGGAAACACACTCACCATCGGAATTGAACACTCCGGTGCCAAGGAGGGAGTTGACTTGGTCCGCAAACATAGGCCCTGTTGGTTGAAAACGTCATTGCATCAAATCGGGACAATACTCCGCACATGAAATCGCCGACCTTTTGCAAATGATGTGAACTGTGATACTAGAATTGCCTGTTACGCATGAATGCCTAGGATCATAATACTCCGATGAGCTGCTTACCTTTATGTATTCTGGTTCGGCGGTGAAGATCTGTTGATAGCGGCAGATCAACAATGAAACTCAAGGTGTGAAAGAGTGTACATGCCCTGTTTTCAAAGAGGACTCGCATGTTGAAGGTATGCCCAAGAGTGTCACACTTCTCTTCCATTAATTCCCCTACGATCGTAAGTATCGATAGGGGAAAGTGAAGTTGTTTAGTAGCATACCCATGTATCCAATCTTGAAATTTTGTACCATAGCTGCGAGGAGATCCAGACTGCCAGGCCATCTACTTGGAAACTTGGATGGGAGAACAGCACCACGCATGGCAGCCTGGCGCCTATCACGATAATTTGCTGCGAGCACGCTGCAAGTGAAGAGAGCAGGAAAAGATAACACATATGCGGGAATCTGTGACCATCCTGGCAGGGATATGCCAAATGCAAAGTCGCAGATGCGGCTTAGACCATAAACTATCGCAGGTGGGAATAGCAACTGTGGTAAGCAGGTGATGAGATAGACGATCCCAGGTGGAAATTCCATTGTTATACGATGTGCGTTTGGTCTGAAAGGTGTAGCCAACTTTATAGTCGGAGCTGACAGAATCACATGTACTGTTTTTGTATGTGGTTCCGGTGCAAGAAAAAATGAATTGGCCTCATTATCACACCCACCGCCAAGTATACATGTGTGAGGGGATTACAAATTCCGCTCCGAAGAATATCAGAACGTCATCCGCCGGCACGATCACTTCGTTTCAAACTCCGCGATATTTGAAATAATATTACTTGATGTACGGTACAATAAATAATTTATAGAGAGAGGCAGCGAGTTTATGTGCAAGTAGTGATAGACATGTAGTCAGGCAGAGTCAGGCAGACAAGTAGCATGTTAGCGTCCGTTCGCATCAGGTACATACATAAAATCGATAATCCGGATATGAAACCGCCGAAGTTGCAGCTTACCTCATTGATCGCCGATCCCCGAAAACACTGCGGCGCAGTATGGATGAAAGTCTTGTAGGGTCTCTTAGCTGCTGGCATGCGGCTGTCATTTAATTTGAACGCCTGAACCTCCGTGGGCGGCGGGGGCGCCACACGCTTCAATCAGCCAACGACACATAACTTGCAAGACGTGGAGAATACTTACTAGTGGTGGTGTTTGTCACTTGAAGATCTACTGACAGGTCTGTTTCCTTCAAAGCTAACGCGCATCACATATGGGGTTACAACTTCACCGACGCACAGCCTATACTTGGATTGGTACCGGTGAGTCGGTGCCACAGAGAAGAGGGGTACCAGTAGACAGCACACCGAACACAATCCCGTCGGCGCTTAATTCGGAGCCCAGATCAGTCACGAGGAAGGCGACTAGTTCTCTTCTCCGAATATGTTGTTGCACCAAGAGGACATTCAATTGGCTATTAAACCATAATACCGACTATTCCTGAAAGGTTTTATCTCGAGTGAGATAAGATCGACCAGTGTGTCCGTTGGGGTTGGTTAGGGGCTTAGGCAGGTGTCTGTTAGAGGTGCCAGGGTCATGCCTGGGCCTCGAGGCACTTAGTTATGTAGCGGTTCTGCATCCTATTCACCATTGTCTTGCATTCTGTTTGGTCTGCGTCTGCTAGTGGGAACCTGCGGCCACCTGTGGGGAAGAATTGTATGCAGCAATACCACTATCCTTGGTGTCATCACTGCACATTGTCAATCTCCACAAAATTTTTGTTAGACTATGACGCATCTGTTCGGTCGTCCGGATACTCGCTGAGATTGATGATCGCACTGCTCTGAGAAATAACTCTGTATGGTTTGTATGGTTAGTTATGCCATTCCTATTGACATGCGTTGCGAGACGGAGCTTGACTACCTCCCGCAGTGCATCAGCTTAGTCTATAGGGCCTGACATGGGTAGATTCCCGGGTATGGTCATACCCGGGTGCTACCCACGGGTAAGTTGAGAAATAGGATCATGACCGTGGGTGGTACCTGTGGGTGCGTGGGTCACCCGCAGGTAATTGCTTCGTCAGCGTTGAGAGCCAAGACAACCTCTTTGCCATGGGCATCCTTGGCTTCGTCAGTCTCACCATCACTACTTTGCACCTCCGGCTGATCTCCGGCAACTGCAAGACGTTCCTCGTCAGCTGTTAGCCGCTCGACCTCGACTTCAGTAGCATCGATCACTGCGTCAGGATTCAGCTAGCACCAGGTATGTGCTTGGGAGCGCCGCAAGACTAGGGTCACAGACTTTGCGCAGTACACATCTTCACCTCCTGACAGCGATTCTTCCAGATCCATATTCTTCATTATCGACAAGCAAGGACGTGTCGGTCCTGGAATCGAGACATGTATACTCTCGGACGTCTTGTCAAAGATCATCTCTGTAAAACCGTGTCACCAGGACTTCCAGGAATGTGCGATAACTGCCTGGGAGTATCTGTCGTCAGGAGTCTCGTGGATGGTCGTAACCATGAATGAATTTGAAAAGTAGCGATGATCATCCTACATCAGGTAGGCGTCAATTCATCGCCTCAAACTTCCAAATAAGTAGTGAGCATCAGTGCAGGACAGGTGGAATCGTTTGCAAACTCACCGTGCTTCTACTGAACATAATTCAATCGTGACTAGCAACGGGCTTGTATTTTCTGTAAATACGTCAAGCAGATAACGACCAGGGCAAATAATATCGCTGAATTGACTCATACATCTGTAACAGGAATTGCAGGACATACACCCATTTCCCATCACAGGATTTGATCAGCGATCGAAGCTGCGTCCACTGTTCTGGCACATCATCAGTCTCCCGGCAATCTGAGCAGGACCGAAGTCGGGGAAAAGTGTCCCGACATAATTTGCACTATAGCTTGCTAGGAAATGGACTGTAGTCGTACTTGAATGATCCTGAATGAACTGCCGCCAGTGAATCTGCACTGAAAATCTATAGTTATACATGTGGAAGATGATGACCCCACGCCTGATCAAGTAACCCGGGTAACAGAACTTCATTCCCAGTCACTGCGCCGAATACGCCGACACATGTCGCCAGTAGCTATTTGCGTTTAGCTCAGCACCATGTACGCATAGTATATATGATATAGTACTCACGTGCAACGCTTGAGTAAGGCCATGTCGGTCTTGGAAGTGTAGACGTGAGGTGCTCCCTCAGAAGTCTCATTGAAGATCATCTCTGTAAAACCTTGTCTCCATGTCTTCCAGGAAGGTGTGATATCTCTTGGGGCGTATCTGTGGTCAGGAGTCTCAAATATGGCCATAGCCATGAAGGAATTCGAAAAGGAAGTGATGAACTGAGAATTATTGTATAAAGGACCATCCCTGAAACAGTACGTGTCAGAGTAGGTAGTGACCCTTCACACCAGCTTACAAATACGAAGTGAAGTACTCTCCAACATCATCTCCATGGAGGCCAGGTGGAATTGCAAACTCGCCCTGCTTCTGTTAAGCATACATAATTGTGACTTACCTTGAACTTACCTTCCACGCTCGTTTGCCGAAAGCTTTGAGCATATAATAAGTAGGGCAGATGAACATTGCTAAATCCACTCATGAAATCAGGAGCAGGCGCGAGTTCACCGAAGGACATACGTACATTCACCCATCACAAGATTTGCCTGATCGACGTTGCTTCCCATGTTCTGGTACATCATCGCTGCTCCAGTAATCTGAGCAGGACCAAAGTTTGGGTAAATCGTCCTGATGAAATCTGCAACATCCAATGTCGTTGATTGATTCACAAGGATGTTCCCCTCATGCGTATTCACTACCGCAAGAAGGTGGTTCTAAAAGAAGGGTATGAGTGTTGCTCTAAGATGGCTTCTTTCATCAAACTTACACCATTCAAACGGCCCTTGCTGAGTGTTACAGTGGGTCTTTCCATGATGAAAGTCCCATCCACAACAGGGACAAATGTGAGCATGCCATAGAAACCATCGAGGTTGATGTTAGAGTTCAAGGTTTGCAGCGTATTGATGTCTGCAGCGCGCACGCAAGAGAGGGTATCCGAACTTGAGCCACAGCTGTGAGTTGAGAGTATTAGCTCAGAAACGGCCAAATATTGACCATGAAAGGACTTGCTTTGTTCCGTTCACGACCATACTGTACAGTATCTGGTAGTGGCATTCAGGTCACCAGACGTTAATCTCATAGACAAAATCACCTCCGGAATACGGTCATTATAATTGTACTGTGACGACAAGAACGTGGAACTCGTCATGGCGGCTCTAAAGAGGGGAGGTTGCGTGTTGCCTCCGTGAGCAACAACATGCTGTATCACAGAACCGGCGCCTGAAAAGACGAATAGGAAGCAGGGCTAATGATGACAAGAGTAGTCAACACGACTCACCAGCAGACTGTCCCCAAATCGTGACCTTCGTAGGGTCGCCACCGAAGTGACTTATCTATTTCAGGTGAGCTTCCTATCAGCTGGAATACAAAACACGCAAGTAGATATCTTTGCTTACGTATGCCTGTACCCACTGCAAAGCGTAATTTTGGTCAACTTGAGATTGAGGTTCAGTTAAAGTCTGAAACTGCCAAAATTCGATGAGCACGTACGTAGTCCAGCGTTAGGCGCACCCCCTTCTTTGACCGCTTGTCCAGAAAGAAAACCTACCTGACAGTGGGTACATTTGAAAACCAGAAAGAGTCGCAAAGACATACCGAATAAACCAAGGCGGTACTGGAGCACGACAGTGATGGCACCATAATTCGATTCCACGATTAGATCTGCACCGTCGTATAAACTCGCAGCCCCCGAGATATACCTATAACAATATCAATTTTACTAACAGGGGATCATTTCACACACTACTTACCCTCCTCCGTGAACAAACACGACTACTGGGAGCCCATCCGACGGAGTGGCCACAACCACACTTCCTGGGGTGTATACGCTACCGGATGCAACCAAATTGTGAGTTTTAATGATCGTTCTAAGATAAGGCTTACTTTAAAAATAAGCAGTCTTCCGACTGACTGACAGCCCTCTTGCTTAAAGAGACGCTTCCGAAAGGATTTGTTGAGGCATTGCCCAGGGGTGCTTGATAACATTCATTTAATTGCGTGTTAGCTTGTTGAACGCCTGGGATGGTCGGTGGAGGCTGCGGAGCTGCCCATCTCAAGTTTCCTATGTGTTTAGTGTGTGGGTTGGCATTGTATACGCTACACAAAACTGGACACACCAAGCGGAGGAGCTGCGTACCGTATTCCAAGGAAGCTAGTGGTATTTGTAGCCGTGTCCAGCGAACCTTGGTACTGAGCATAACCCAAGTCAATGATGGGCGCATTCGTGGTGGCCAATGCTTCTAAAGCAAGAAAAGTCTGCGAAATAGCCAGTAAGTTAGCTTTGATCAACATTTTTTCCAATCTCATAGATCGCGAAGTAAGACGCCGCACCGACCAGCGTGATGGAATGGCGGGACCACATTATATACCTTGCGCGTGAGGGGGTCCGAGACGACCTTACTTACTCTCTGTGACAGGTTGATCACAGGACATGATGACCCTCTGGTCCCTCAGGCTGAGACTGACAGTTGAACGTTGAACAGTTGAAGACGTGCGTTACGTAGAGCTTGACGAAAGAACAGATATCGACTTATACTGGTTTGATTTTCGTGATGAAACGACAGCCACATGGTTGAGAGTGATTTGACATTAGTATTGGGCGCATATATGCCTCACTCAAGAGGAAATATTCCATCCAATTGTATTGCACCGCCGTTGGCGGCACATGATGGTGCCCTCGCGGGGAGAAAGCGGCGAGTCGTCGACAGCTTGCAAATAAACTTCGGTCACAGTGTGCTTGAACAACTCGGTAGTGAATTTCCGTAAACAATGAATGCAGCTCACTTGCAAATGAACTTCCGCGGTTGCATTTAGAATGACATAGGTAACAGTGAATCTACATCGCCGAAATTGTAGTTCCCAACCGTGCAATTTTGACGAAGTAGATGCTGTTAGATGCCCGTCTGCAGTGAAGACTCATAGCCACACATCCGAGTCTGGGAGAGTTACGGTAAACAGCAGGGTCATGGTCATTAATCCCTCCCTACTCTTTTCACGACACCATGGCTACGTCTGACCACCAGCTAGAGCCAACAAGGGAGAATGACAGAATTGCCGATTGGTGATGTTACTCTGGTAAAGAGGCTCGTGAGTCGTGAGAAGCTGCCCTAGTGATTCCACCTGCAGGGCTGCTTCAACAAGTGTTATGTCAAAAGAACAGTCTTGAGACTCGGATGTGTGCGGCTGCTTTCGCAAGACTCGCTGACAAATGATGTTGGTCTGCCAGGCACTGTCAGTACCTGTTACATAATATGTTATCTTGTTGTGTTTGTTCACTCAGTAAGTGAGTCTGAGGTGCCGCAGTGCAGCAAGAAGTGATATCCACTCAAGAAAATGTGTCGTAAGACTAGGTAAAAGTAAACTGTAACATCCAGGCTTAACGTAAGTGAGGGCATCTCAAGATCGTAGAAAATCAAAAAGCAATGTCATTCTAGTACAGTAGAAACACGATTCTTTTTCACTGCTTCTTTGATTATGTTTAGAAGCACTCTGTGGTAGAATTGAATGGAACATTGAGATCGATAGGTAGAGATATGGCGAGAAATACGCACTGCGATGGACGATACCGGGACCGGACTCGTCGTACTCTTGCTTTGAACACCACAGGTTCTGGAAAGTGGACAGGGAAGCCAAGATGGAACCACCGATCCAGACGGAGTATTTCCGCTCAGGGGGAGCGACGATCTTGACCTAAAAACGATGATGAATAAGAATTATGTCTCACATCCTACAGTCTGGCACGAACCTTCATGCTTGACGGCGAGAGCGAGGTCAATTCCTTCTGCATACGGTCGGCGATACCAGGGAACATGGTAGTACCACCCGACATCACGACGTTACCATACAAATCACGACGGATATCAAGATCGCACTTGAAGATCGAGTTGTACCTAGGAGGTGAAGTAGATCAGACAACGTTCCTAGCGATTAATATGCTTGCTTACGTCGTCTCATGGATACCAGCAGACTCGAGACCAAGGAATGCAGGCTGGAAGAGAGCTTCAGGTGCACGGAACCTTTCACGATTATATGAGATGATGATCAATGATCGACAGGGAACCGTCTCACCGCTCGTTACCGATGGTGATGACCTGCCCATCAGGAAGTTCGTAGCTTTTCTCGAGGGCCGATGACTGTGCAGCAGTTTGCATCTCCTGCTCAAAGTCGAGGGCGACGTAGCACAGCTTCTCCTTGATGTCGCGGACGATTTCACGCTCGGCGGTCGTCGTGAAAGAGTAACCACGTTCGATTAGGTTCTTGATGAGATAGTCGGTGAGATCACGACCAGCAAGATCGAGACGGAGGATGGCGTGTGGCAGAGAGAAACCTTCGTAAATAGGTACAGTGTGGGTGACACCATCACCGGAGTCCATGACAATACCGGTGGTACGACCGGAGGCGTACAGTGACAGGACAGCTTGAATTGAGACATAGAATGCAGGTGCATTGAATGTCTCGAACATGATTTGGGTCATCTTTTCACGATTAGCTTTAGGGTTGAGAGGAGCCTCGGTGAGCAAGACAGGGTGCTCCTCCGGGGCTACACGAAGCTCGTTGTAGAAAGTGTGATGCCAGATCTTCTCCATGTCATCCCAGTTCGTGACGATACCGTGCTCGATGGGATACTTGAGCGTCAGAATACCACGCTTGGATTGAGCCTCATCACTGGCTAGATGTAAGCTGATGGCGACTATGACTGCGGCGAAGCATACCCAACGTAAGAGTCCTTCTGTCCCATACCAACCATAACACCTTGGTGGCGCGGGCGACCAACGATGGAGCTGGCATTTCCTGTGAATACCCTGCGCATAATGGTGATATAAAATGTGATACGTACGGAAAGACGGCACGAGGAGCATCGTCACCTAAAGAATGCAGTCAGTTGTGTATCCTTACAACACCATGAATCGTATTGAATCACCAGCAACTGCGATAAGATTTATCAGACATTGTGACAGATTAGATCGAGGATGACTTACAGCCAGCCTTGCACATGCCGGAACCATTGTCAATAACCTGAAAAGTTTGATCGTGAGCTTGCTAGAAGACGGTGTGAACGACGGCAATAGAATTGAACTTACGAGGGCAGCTACTTCTTCTTCCATGGTTAATTATTCGTTGTTTAAGGGTGATCTTGATGGCCGTTGGAGATCAAGCTTGAGTTGTACATGTTATTTAAACAGTTCTTTTCAGAAAGCGCAGTCGCGCAGCCGTAAAACTTCGCAGGGCTATGCAATGGCTGTCACGATGGTCACAATCATCAATGTCGCCAGACTTAAGCCTACACCGCAATCACAGGTCATCCAAAAATTTATGCTGTGTGTCCACGGGCGTGGGTCAGTGATCAGTCACGAGAATCGAATCATAATACGCTAAGTCAAGTGTGAAAATTTCCGTGTGTTGGAGTTGACAGAATTGTCAGCCTCTTATTCCCATCTTGAAATCGGAAGGATGTTAAGGACCAAGCTGAGCTGAGTCTTGATCGACTGTCGATTCCATCTATCATGGCACCCTCCAATAACACCAGTACAGCTAGCCTTCCAGTTGCATCTACATCCAGTCCTTCCCGCCCGGCCCAGGTCAATCAAGGCTCGTTTCCTGTCGCAAGCATTATCATTCTCGCAATCTCTATAATTGGCATGGGTGTCCTCGTAGTCTGGGTGTTTCTTCAGCACCGCTCATCAGCCAGGATCAAGCAAAGCTCATCGGAGGTCAACGAAGACGAGCCAAGACCGTTCAACAGACTCTGGTCTCGTATACTCTCAAAGTCGCATCTTTGGCGTTCAAAAACCAAGTCAGCTACCAAGCACAAGCAGGGCGAGATGACTACTGTCAGCGCGTTGCATGCGACATGCACCTTCGTCGCTGCTGCACCATCGAAAATTCTTGCCCCTCCTGTCGTGATGCAGTTCAGAGTACCGGACGCAGAGAAATTTGTTGTGCTATGTTCGGTCGGTTGTTCGCTGTCGGCGCACTATGCATGTGGCGATCCCAAGCCGTGGGTGAGTACGGTTTATTCTTACAACGCAACTACAATTCACACGACTTAGGTGCAGAGTACTTTCGTCGGTATTCCACATCTAGCCCAAGAGCAGCTTCCCGTGAATAATCAGCCATCAAGTATTCCCGAGCGTCAGTCGTATAGCGTCGATATCCCGCCTTCCGATCAGGATCATTCACTTACCATCGAGCTACCCGGCCCCTTTTTTGAAGACCAGCCCCGATCGCCTTCTGTTCCACCAAAGGGGCCGAAGAGGACGCTTGCCTGAAAAGATATCCTAGTTTTATTTGTAAAGACTTCCCCAAGATAACATGTCAGCAACCAGATGCATGAGCCTTACGATATACTCGTTTTATTCCTTTGCCCATATATTATGAGAGGATGTGACTCAAACCTATCAACGTCGTAAGCTAGGATAAATGTTGTTGCTGTTGCCTGGAGTTCCACCGGAGTCGGACACATCCATGTTAAATTAAGGAAACTTATCAGAGGACCCTTGATTTTACTCCCGCTCGGACATGCCTCGGGGAGATATCGAAACCCTGTAATTCTATATATCAATATTACATACAACGCATTGCTATAGATCAGAATGTCCCCCGCTCATGAGCCTTCGATCCATACATTGTGCCGTTTAAGCAGTTCTTCGATGATGTCTTCCTCTATTTCCTTGGGATGGTTAGACGGTTGGTGAGAATCGATTTCTATCCAAAATTCCGCGTATTTAGGTTGAGATACGAGAGCTCCGTCCAATTTCTTTGTGGCGTCTGCCGCCACGGGAGATATCAACACAACGCGGTGCTTACGGTGATGGAGATCATTTCCGATCACCACCTGGTGCCCATAACGTTCAAGCGCTTGTTGGGCTTTCGGTATCAGAATCATCTCGTCAGTTTCGAGCTGGGGAAATACCTCGGTCAAATGACACGGTGAAAATTTGAAGCGAGCATACCTTGAAGGAGACAATGAACCCTTCTGGGTTCCATTCCGACACAAGTGGCTTTAAGATCTTTGGTACTTGATCCATCTCTATGGACAGATTGCCCTTTCCAGATTGTATCTTATGTTCCGACTAACCATCGGTATTGTCAACATCTTTTTCTGAGACAAGGTGTGATCACTTACTAATCTCTGCTGCGGCAAGAAGAAATCGCTGACAGCGGCAGCGAGATAATACATCGCCTTTCTTCCTAGGACGCTCATTTCTCTGCTGACTGCGCGCAGCAGCCAAAGATATTCGTTGACGGTAACGAACGAGACCATGTGTAAGGTCCCTAGAGCATGCACTGCTTTGTATGCACGAAGCACAGAAAACAGTTTGGCGCGCTCAGCTGTGGTTACAGTGATTTGCGGTGTCGGTGTCGTGGGTGGAGGGTCATTCGAGTACGGGAATGCCGAGTCAATAGTCGAGGACGACGGCAATGCAGCATCAATCTCGAGAAAGTTGAGGAATGGGTTGGTAGAGTGGGAATAATGTCGGCTAAAGGGTTGCAGGCTGAACTGGCGATGCAAGAATATGACGGCATAACCAGCTTTGAGGAAATACTCGGCAGACGTTGCACCCCGGGTACCTGCATGATGGTTTGCAAAATACAACGAAATTGGAAATAGCACGTACCGGCGCTGAAATTATCGAGAAAGCGGACGCTGCACATTTAGTAGACGTGAGGTCAGTGACCCTGTGCGGCTGGGGGTGGTTGCTCGTTCTTACACATTGAGCTCCAGTGGTACGGTGGTCCCTCCGCTCTGGTTCGAGTTCAGGGTGCATGATGCGAGCACTTGTGATAATGACTCTCACCGTTACAAGCACGACGGATCGGTTAGCCTGTTGTTGCCGTTGAATAAACTCGTGAACTCCCTCTGTGTCGGCGACGAGTGAAGGAGGTTGTGGTTGTGTTTCAAAGTATGATTCAGCAGAGAATGTCTGCGATTCATGTGTTGTATTAGACATCCTGTGCGAATCAAGAGACCCTGCTTGAAGTACTTGCGATCTCACCACGACGATTGAAGGGAGCGAGTAACTAGCCAAACTAAGTTATAATTAGTAATCGTGCAATTTCACAAAGCGCTGACCCTAACCTTAGCCGCGGGGGGAGGCGGAGTTAGTAGCAACACTGCCACTACTTACTAGCCGTACTAAGTTGTAGCATCTGGTTTGAGACAACAACCACGTGCGACATACATGTATCATAACAAAGTAATTAACTAACGTCGACTGACTCTTGCTTCTATCCTTAGAATATGTCTATTGGTCGCACCTGAAGGTAGCTTCTCATCAGGATATCCTCGACATATCCTTTTAGACACTGTCTCTCTCCTCCGTAGAAAGTTTGCAGATGACATTCAACCATCACGGTGAATCGAGGTTTGACGCTTTTGGGTAGCTACTCGACTTTGAACACAATCTGGACCGCTGTGTCTTTCCACGAGTCGACAGTTCTGACCTTTTAGAATATGGACGCCTTGGCCCCTTGACTTTCCGACGCCACCGCTTCATCCTGTCCTCTATCTTCAGGTTCCTGTGAGTGTACTAACGCCTCCAGTGAACTTGTATTAGGTTCTCCATGGCTCACCTCCTTAGTTTATAGGTCGGTTAGCCGAGTCATGTGAAGCCAGGTCCGGACCATTATCATGGGCCTGGTGTGTGGGGACCTGAGGGCCTGAAGCCAGGCCTACTAGTAGCACATCACTAGTTATAGTTACCACAGCGGCCGCCCGATTTCCAAAATTAATATCAACTTCACTATCTGCCCGTCTGCGGTCGTGCATTTGGTATTACAATCACAGTCATTGCCACAGCCCGTTGGCAGCAAAGAACTGACACTCCGTTGGTGACCAGTCCTAGATGATCACTCCAGCCCAACTTGCACGATTCCATTGCGCCTCAACTATCATCAAGGCTGCCGGCTTTCTCCTTTCAAAGTTCTGTGCAGAGACGTCTAAGTGCCCAGTAGCACAGATTCCGACATGCCATGAGCGCAGAGTACCGGTTACGGCGTGTGACCATTTCTGTCCGACCAATGCTAGTCTGATACTCTCGCACAGCCGATATACTCGGTGGAGGGGCACCGTCGGTCACTTCGGTATTCTTCTTTTTCTGTGCATGAAGAGTTTATTCAAGCCGTTGTGGCATCCAAGCACTAACACCTGGGGTCAGTAACTTGGCTGTTTCGCCATCTGAGTTATAGTTTCGCGGTGCGTCATCATTCTTGTATGCATCGACAGATCATTGTTGACTTCCGGAGTGGCATCTAGGCGACCGGGCTGCTGCTGGTAACTAGGCGCTGAACAGCTGTTTGCAGAGTAATCACGCGCCGACAAAGTCGAAAGGTACCAACTGCTTTGAAACACCTCAAGGCTATCTACTGCTGCAAGATGGAAATTGCGAGAGTATTAGCACACCGATAAAGTCGAAAGGTACCAACTGCTTTGAAACACCTCCAGGTTATCTACTGCTGCAAGATGAAAATCGCGAGAGTATTAGCGCGCCGATAAGGTCGAAAAGTACCAGCTGCTGCAAGATAAAAGCTGCGAGAGCACCCCACCTCCACTACTCTCGCGAAGAACATCGTGAACAATCGCAATGTTTATTCTTTTCCTAGTCGTTTCTCTAATCTCATCGATTAATGCCACATCCATAGTATCTCGCTCACAGTCCTACCCGCTATCCCAACCCCCTGTACATAGCCCCAAAACCCGATTGACCATAAGTTGTAGAGTCATCGCTCCCGATGGCCTCAAACGCTCGTGAGTCTATTAATATGGCACTAACACTCACTCCTGATCTTTGACAGAGCAACTGTTGTTGATGGCATATTTCCTGGACCTTTGATTACAGCACAGAAGGTGAACTTTGTTGAGCTCCTTGTCGTGCGCCAATGCTGACCTCACAACAGGGAGATCACTTTGACATTGAGGTGGTCAACAACCTCACGAATGACTCGATGTTCCGGGTAGCCAGTGTCGTAAGTAGTGTCAATTCACCAATGTTGTTTAAATTTACCTTGTCTACGGCAGCACTGGCATGGTATCTTCCAGAATGGGACGAACTATGCCGATGGGACGGCCTTCGTTACACGATGCCCCATCACGCCAAACCACTCATTTTTGCATTCTTTCTCCGCCTCGAACCAGGCGGGCACTTTCTGGTACCATAGTCATTATTCTGTTCAATATGCAAGTATTACTCGAACCTTGCATACGCAGCAGAAGACTGACCTATAGAACAGTGCGATGGTCTCAGGGGAGCCCTCGTAATTCATGATCCTCAAGACCCTTTTGCATATATGTACGATGTCGACGATGGTGAGAGAGAAATTGGTTCATACGAACCATCTGACCATGATGTGTTTCCAGCAAGTACCGTGATCACGCTTGCCGGCTGGTGAGTTTTATGAACATGAGTAGTCTGCCCGATTAAATCAGGATGACTAGGTATCATACTGTAGCCCCTGCATTGCGCGGCACGATAGCTGTTGCCCAATCTATACTCATCAATGGACTAGGTCGCTATACTGGCGGACCCGAGTCTGATCTCGCTGTGATCAATGTCGAGCAAGGAAAGCGATATCGTTTGCGCCTGGTTCAAATGTCATGCGACTCCAATGTCCTGTTCTCCATCGATGGCCACGACTTATATGTTATTGAGGTGGATGGAGTGCCGACAGAACCTCTGGTGGTAGATCAGCTCCAGATCTTTGCGGCTCAGCGCTACTCTGTGGTTCTAGTAGCCAATCAGCCAGTGGATAACTACTGGGTGCGCGGTGTTCCTAACTCGGATAAGACCTACAACGGCTCTGCTATCCTACGCTACAAAGGCGCCCCAAAGGCTGACCCAACTACCGTCAATACTCCATCCATGAACCCACTGCGAGAGACCGACTTGCATACGCTAATCAATCCCGGTGCTCCTGGCACTAAAGGATATGATAATGCAGATATCAACCTTAACCTCGAGGTTTCTACCGCTAGCCTGAAATTCTATGTTAATAATGTCACATTCCAAGCCCCTCCCGTTCCTGTTCTACTCCAAATTCTTAGTGGAGCTCGAGACTCTTCTCAGCTGCTCCCACTCGGGAGTGTGTACGTTCTTGAGGTTAACAAAGTGGTAGAGTTGACGATGGTAATAAGCGGTCCAGGTGGACCTGTACGTCTTTTCCATTTATTCGATATTCACGCGACTGATATGTATTGTACTAACATCCTATACACATTCATGGGGTAAGTTGGCCGTGACTTCGAAGGCACGTTTGGCCGGTACTCATGATCATTAGCATACATTCAATGTCGTACAGAGCGCGGGCAGCAGTACTTTCAATTACGTGAACCCTGTCCGCCACGATGTGATCAACTCTGGGAGCGCTGGGCAACAAATGGTGATCCGATGGGTGACCGACAATTCTGGTCCCTGGATCTTGCATTGGTATGACATTTTATCGAGCTATCAATAAGGGTACTAACTCCGAACCAACAGTCATATTGACTGGCACCTTGAAGTGTATGTTTGTAACTCTTCTCGTGAACGAAATGGCTAATTCTTCATATCCAGCGGTCTTGCTGTGGTAATGGCAGAAAGTCCCTCAGATAATAGCGGACATGTGAGCCCCGTACCATGTAGGTCATATGTGAAGAATCCATACTTCTATTGCTGAACTGCTATACAGATGAATGGGATCGCTTGTGTCCAATCTATTACGATGGCAACTATTAGTCCCACTCGATTTCTGTCAGTTTATTTTGTTGCTAGTAATATCATGATAAGTCTTGATCACATGGGAAGTAGAATTGATGGAAACCTGTCAAGGAGGACAGATAACACTTAAGAACCGGACACGAGGGAACAGGACGACATTATATTGAAATGTTTGTAAGTTCAAGTAGGTATCGTCGATATTGAAGTAACAGAAGAAAGGATTATTCAATGTACGGTGGTTCGAGTGAGATATACACTTAAGGAAAAAGGGAAAGCAATGTGATAGTATTTATGATAAGATAGGCCTCATTCATACATCAATCCTTCACATGATCTTAGCCTGCGCCGGCACATTGGCAAGCGACAACGATTTCACAGTGAACAATCTGAAGTTACTAGATCACGCGTTAACATGAAAGACAGCAAGGACAAAAGGTGGCGGAAGATGACATTATTGGGAAGTGGCCGACACACTGGAGGCATGAGAAGCGCTGGATGAGTTGTTAAGGACGCATTACGCAACTCCATTAGCAGCTTTTGCTTTTGCTTTTGATGGCGCAATAATTGGGCCAGGAGGATACAGTCGACACCTCAAAGGCGCTCTAGTGCAGGTGTACTTCACACTAAGACACCAGGGGCGAAAGAATGGACACGTTCAGAGCCAAAATCACAGCCCTAAGAGTGCTAGCACTGCCCCCACGGATCGTGGAAGGAAACCTGCCGATGTTACATAGTGCGAACGAACGACCGAGGGGACCAATGATGGTGCAGGAATTGGACTGAAGGTGGGAGGAAGGACGGTTGGTGATTTAGGGATATATCTCAACGCAAATGTAGGATACAGGATCAAGTAGACTGGAAATGAGAAGTAGATCAGATTAATCAGGGTAGCTATACAAATAGGCACTGCTCGCAAAGCGTCAGGAAGGAGACTAGATATGAATGCAGGACTGATGCTGCAATTGCGATGCGTATAAATCAATATTGTGGCCACTTCAACTGCCTACGGATATACAGATGGCCATTCGTCTTGCTGCCTATGCGGTATGAAGATCATCACGGTTGACGTTAGAGGCGATGCTAGGGTAGAGTGGGAAGCAAAGGATTGGAACACAAACAGAAAAACAAAGGAAGATACAGCTCGCGCACCAAGGAAATTGGCTCTGTAAATGCGTGGAAAATTCGGATCCAGAAGGAGGAGTTGGGAACTGGCGCGTCAGCGGCGCTACGATTTCATTATCGCAGGTGCAAAAATTTTGCCACTGCCATTAGTTTCACACACAGCTGCAATCAGAGTAACTACGAAAGACCAGTGATCAAGGAAGCCTCTCCTCGAGGACAACATCAGCAGTCACAGCAAGCGAAACAACTGCTCGCCGCTCCGGGCTCGTGGTTGGCGGGTTGTGCTAGAAACATAATTGGAGCATTAACGGTTGCATCAAGCAAGAGTCGCGGCGAGGATGAACAACATGGTGAGCGGATGAGAAGATGCGCATGGTTTACATAACTGCACTAGGACTCGGAATAAACATGATGCAAATACGTGGGGTATAAGTCGTGATTATGGACTTACACACAAAATACACACATGCAGTGAACGCACGCATACACAAAGTTACAAACTGCATGATCAAAGTCTGAGGATATATTTGACATAAGCATAACTGTATCAGTCTATAGGTCTCATGACTACCATACCATGGCTCATGAATTCGCTGATGGAGGCACTGTGGGACCAATAGAAGCGTGTGGTGCAGGAACATGATCCCGAGGGTTCTAGGTTGCACTCGTGTTGGTTCTTTTGATAGGATGATCAGATCCAGATCGTAGAGAAGCAGTGAGAGGGGTGGGATAAATTCGAAGCTGAAACAAGAGGATAATGCAGCCTGGAAAGGTAGGAACGCACCAAACAATATTGGCCGAGCCATTATCCGAATCCTGGACAGCCCAAGAACGAGTAGAATCATGCCACATTGAGGTATCTAGCAAATCAACCATCGTGGGAGCTGTAATAGATAATCTATCAAAGGGCCATCAGGAGAATGTGATCAAATCAATAGTCCGTGGCAAGAACGAGTTGGAGTTAATTATCTATAACAATGACAGCATAGGCTGCATAGCTGCACCATCAGCACCACTCGACATCCATCGCAGAGAAAATACTAACCTAATTGTCCCGGGCTGTGGGATATATAACATGGTAGAAATACTGTCTTGCTGGTGGAATTGGCCTAGTCAACGATACTGATGGCTTCCTCGACGCAAGACCTCATCCCGCATCTTCAACTCGCGAACACGTTTGGGGCACTGTTTATTGGGGTTATCCTTGCAGCAGTGTAAGTAAAATTTTCAGTTACCATTCAGTAATAAGCTGAATGTTTCTTCCCACGGAACAGTCTCTTTGGTGTCACCATTGTTCAAGTTTTCATCTACTTTCAGACGCATAGCGGTACAGGGATAACATTCTACAAGCTGGTCGTACGTCTATGCTGCCTCTTGTCAGTTCTGTTATTGACTCGGAAACTATGTTAGGTAATATGGCTTTGGTAAGTATCTCTTCGAGTTGCAACTATCGAGCACATCGAGATTACGATATACTTACCCCGAACTTTTAGGATACTTGATGCCCTGCATCTGGTTCTGATCGTCTACTGTGTCTATTTTTATTTAGTGATCAACTATGGGAATATTGGTGCGCTCACAGAAATCGTATGGAGTTCCAAAGTAAGTCGCTACTTCCTCCACGAGCCTCTACTATCTGGTCCATATTGATGTGCTTGTCCAGCTTCAACCAGTGGTCGCCGTAAGTTATATTTCCTAAGCCCTGTAGTCTGCCTCAGACATGCACTTCACAGGTTCTCAGCATCTTTGTAGAACATCTGTAAGTTTGATATACCGTGTTATATGTAATATTCACTCAATGCGTTTTTGATCTGTAGTCTATATGTTCATCGCATATGGATAGGTATTTATCCCCATCAACAGATTTGTCATGACTTATGCGGTGAACCTAGTTAGCAAGGGCCGATCAAAAGTTCTGCCGATCACAGTGGTAGGTTTGCCATCGATGTTCATCTTCAAGCCTCATGTTTTCTTCTCTTGATCCGCTACTAGGGCGTTGTCGTCGCCCTAACTTTGGGTGAGTCTTGTCACCTGGTAATGCTCTTCGCACGATCTCTGAGGGTCCTTTTAGGTCTTGCCATCAGTGAGAGTTCATGTGCACTTTTATTGATTTATCGTTTTAACATAATAAAGCCATTACTTGGTATATGTGAGTGAGACAGCGGACTCCCCAACTAAGTACTGATAGCGTGTAGATATCAGGAAGTCCATGTAGTCACCGACTGGGTCAAAACCGAGCCGGCATTTTACATGTATTTTGGCACTGTTGCCTTTGCCGATATCCTTATTGCATCATCGCTATGTTATCTCCTCGCTACATCCCGTACCGGGTTCTCGAGGCAAGTTGCTGTCCATTCGCTGTCAGGTCTGAAATACTAACATACAGTTTAGAATGGACTTGTTCATAACAAAGCTCATGAGTTATGTCATCAATACAGGCTGTTTGACGAGGTATTCCTCATTTTAGCCCACCACATACCTTGACTCATATTTCGTACAGCATGTGTTCAATGTCAGTTATCATTATAGTGAGCTCACATCTCTTGTTCTGGCCATCCTCTCTGACCGTCTACAGTACGCAGTGATGCCGAAGAACTATGTATTCGAAGCTGTCGAATTTTTACTGATTAAGTGTATGGCTCAAGAATTCCTCGACGATGATCATACTGACTCGTGGTATCATTTTAGTATATGTCAACTCGTACATCGCACTACTGAACGCGCGACACTACACGGAGCCCCACGCAAACACAATACATTCTTCCGAATACCATATGCACCATGACTACCGCCCGAGATTGCCCGTTGGAGCGTCGCAGGATGAGGTACTCCAGGCATCCCAGAAAAGCGTGTTTGAACATCCCGATGATGAAGTATCGCATATCACTCGACCTGTCCAGGTTGTCATGGTCAGTAATTGCACTAATGTCGATGGAATAAGACTGATGACTTGCTCTAGCCGCAGCGGCCGATTGAGGCGACGATGAAAATGAATTCTCTCTCTTCAGTGTGATGGATCAATTGCGTGGATCATTGTCTCCATGTTTGCGAGATCGGTGGGACCGGCCAATGACTTTAACTTCTTGGTAAATTATCGTAGTGTGTTACTCAGCATATAGGTGTGGAGAGGTATCGGTCCACTCCCATCCTTTCCGCATTTATCAATTGGAGTTTCTCGAGTCAAGTACGTACTACTATTTCTTGGTGCCAGTGCGCCCATATAGTCGGTGTCGGTGGGATCAACTTTACTAAGCTACCTTGTTACCTTGTACCACGAAGTCAATATCAGCTCATTTTTATTTCATTTTGCGTTGGCAGATGTCTGCTACTCCTATGTGATTCCACTGTCAATGTATGATGTTCTTCGACTCGTACCACAGACGTCCATCACCAGTCTTAGCCAAGTGGTAAGCTGACTAGGGCTGGCCACCGTAACGGTATACGGTTACGACCGTACAAGTTACGGTGGGGTACCACCCGTATTGCACCATATGACATACAGTTTGCTCACACCTGAGACATGGCTAAATTGACAGCTTAGCTAGGCAGCCTGGGATCGTCCTATGCTTACGGGAGAAGAATCCATGTTCCAACATTGCGCATGGACACAGGGATAAGACACACTGTCCAAGTGGTGACTACCCGAGGTTCGACGACATAGGTTAGTATGTTAACCGAACCAAAAAAAATTCACAATGGACAGGACTTGGACCTACGATTGAGTCTCTAGTTCAACATTAATGTCGATAGGGAGCACCAGATGACTTGATTGAGGAGCAAATTGTAAGAATCTGAAATTGACTGAGTGCGAAGGAGTGTGTAGACCACTTGTAGCATGTACAGGCAGTAGAGTTAGAGGATCACGAACGAATGCAATGTGATAAGAAATATGGCGAGTCTGAGACGATAGATGATGATAATGATAATGAAATGCCGCCAGATAACGAATGCGAAAACGGGGCCTTGATACTTTTTCTTATTGCCTGGCAGTGGTGACTGTACATGGGCTACTTAAACTGCAGAACGGCAAGGGTCCTTGGGTATGACCAGGCCGAATGATTATGTGAAGACAGAGACAGAAGGGAGCGGCATCGCGCCTGACAGGCTAGAGTAGTGATGATGAGAAAGAGGGTAAGAAATTTGAGTGAGCGGTTGTACGAAAGGGTATCGTGTAGACAGAATAATGAGAAGCACAGAGTTGTTGACAGATTCCGGACGGGTAGGTTGCGAATAGCTAGGTGACGGTGGCGGGAGAAGGGTCCGAGGGTCGAATGGGTCGGTAGCGACGAAGGGTTAATATGGTGAAATGGAGACGGGGACCGTGACCGTACTGATTGTCGGCGCCGGTGAGTCCAGGTTATGGTTGCAGTAAACGTTGATATGGCAAGTTCCGGCGACAAACGATTGGTAATCCATACATATTGTCGTCAGCTTCGTGGTGGACAGCTAGTTCCAGTAGTGATGCAGTATGTTATTGGTTTGCCCACACCTATTTCTCTTGTTTAATATACTTTGGAGCACCAAATCAGCATCACGACAAAATTTCAAGCTACGTATTCCTCAGGCGGCTGCCCCTGGCAGACTACCCGACAAGTCTTAATTGCTTGGATCATTTCTAGTAGTGCTACACACGGCCACCCTCCTGGAAAACCATTGAGGGCATGTTGATTCCTGCGTCGGAGTCGGTCACGAGCTTAGCGTTAAAGTCTCGAATGCTAAGGATGAGGCGTGGTCCAAGCAAAAACATTTGTGCAATCGAGACAAATTCCAGTATTCCGGCATAAACATCAGATCCCACCGAAGTTGAATACTATAGATACGATAAACATGCGATTGTCACTGAGTGAAAGATCAGCGTACCACGATCCCCGGAGAGAGATAACCGAGTTGGAAACAAGAAACAGCAACGAAGCTGGTGCGTCCGGAACTTTAGTGTCAAAAGACAATGGCATTGAAACCGCGAGCTCACCTAGCAAAGTAAATCACGTGAGTTTTTATCATCACCGTCAAAGAGTCTCTTATGGTCCATCCAGTAGATGAACGACGCAGGACACGGAAGTGTTGTATAGCAATCCGGATTGCAAGACACAGTGCGAGGACCTCCCATCCAGTGTAGCATACCCAGGCCAAAGCATCCAGAGGCCCGGAGACTCCGTCGTATTTATAAGAGCAATGATGGCTGCCGGAAAGAATGACCTCCTCTGGTAGTCGTCTGATGAGTTTCGTGCACTCAAGTCTTTCGACCATAATTCGAACTTACGGCCCATCGTATATTTGCCTCCTATTGCAGCGATCACTCCGCAGGTGCCTGTGACAACCAGGAAGACCGCAACAAGAAAAACAAGTATCTTCCTGGATTGCTGGTACATTGCATGTAACCGAATGATAATGATGACTTGCATGATGTTTCGGTCAATTTAATATCATCGCGACACTGCAACTCAGTTAACTCACCACCCAGCATTGCATTTACGACCATGGTCATCCAAGTTAGTGTGGAGTACAGAATATTGCCTGTAAAACCCCAGGTAATGATGAGCGTCAGAGGACCAAGCATTCGAAACAAACTTACAGCTATTGCAGTCATTATATTGAACCAAGTCGGCAACCTCACTCACCCCTACATAGGAATGTAGTTGTTTGGACAGGAACGTATGCATTGATGCGGGACACTCACTTTATCCGTCACCGAGACTGACGGCAGAATTTCTGTATCAAGCCAGTCAGGAGCGACAAACACGGTGTATGTGAGGCATACCAAGCATGTAAATGCTGATTGTGAGAAGGTTTATTAGTACAGCGCCGTTTGGTAGCCTTGCAAACATACACAGCGTATGGCATCCCAAGGTAGCGCACCTAAAATATTTCGAAGTTAGCAGGACTTGCCAACGGCGCTCATAACAAAAAGCACGTACACCGAGATACAGAATAGTCACGAGGGACCAACGTTGCCTCTGCCCCGATTACTACTATGTTGTTCTTCTAATATGGGACTCTTCTCACCCAGATCAGTTCATACTGATACAAAACCACCTTCAGTAAGAGGCGCCCTACCAATGGTATCAACACACCTCTTTTCCCAAACTGAGTGCTAGAAATATCATAAGAATACCAGTGATTATTGAATACTGTCTTGCTCACCCCAGTCGTATATCACTGCGGTACAGGTGACAACTGCGAAACCACATTAAAGGCTAGAATGCGACCAGCATCATTCCTAACACTAATGATACGAACCTAAGAAATAGCTGCAGAGATTATATGATTCGATTACCGGCCACCAGGTTGGATCATTTGAGACTATGGTCATATCGGAGGATAGGAGGATAGGTGAAGGGCGAATCTGCTGTAACGAGTTGTGCATATTAAATACATCACCATCCAGTGCGTTCACTGCCTCATGGTTCAACGTGATAGCTCTAGATCTGGAGCTCGAGGTCTCGTAATTAAAAAGGCCACACGCTGTCGGCTTGATGTGGATAACCGGTATTGAAAAATTCAAAAGGTCCAAACATACCAAATAACTCACCTCGCCCACCAGTCTCTGTAGCGCTAAGCACACGTCTTGATACCCAATCCTGCGGTACTGCCCCAAAAGTCCCTGGCCCCCATTCAGGACCCCGAGTCACAGTACGGAGTCTACCGTCCCCTGTTACTCATCCGAAGATTTTCGGTTCCCTGGAATTGCATCACTTTAATTAAGGTACAAGCAATCATTAATCATTGATCACCGTTGAAATGTGTGTACAGCCATGCAATGACCCAGAATGACCCTCGTCACTTCATGACAGCGAAACAGTGCATGATCAAATCTTTATTGACGTATAGGATATCTAATTTAAGGACCGTTGACGCTCTACAGTGGGGGATTGTCATGAACATTTCACGTTTCGGTCACGAGATTGATTGTATACGCACGCTTGCTTGTTGGTACTTGGTCAAAGTTTGCTTGACTCCTTTTTAACGCCGTGCTGGTCTCTTCTCTCAGCATTCTAGACATCGTTGGTTGTGCTTGAGCTGCGCCTCCATTCTGGGACGTCCGACAGGGATATGCAATCGAAGCACCCTCGCCACGAAATACCTTCTACATTGGTCACATTTCGAAAAGCTCGTTCCAACTCCAGATCTGATACTCACAGTCAGGAAGCATGTTTCGAGGTTGTTCATCACAAGTACACCATCTTTACTTGTCCGAGAAGGAGATGGGTGAACAATGGGTACGTGTTAGCATCCACCAGCTGATTCCCGAGTAGAAACCTTGAGCAGATACTTTGTATCAATTAGTTGTGCAAATTGTATCTGTACTGAGCTCCAACTCACAAGTGCGACACCGATTGATAAGTCGAATAAATGGTCGTGGGTTTGCTGAGGTCACGGTACTACGCGACCAAACCACGGAGTTGTTGAAAATCAAGCCAGAGCGAGACGTGGGATCCAAGATAACAGTCGAAGTAGGGTGCAATGCCATGCGGGATGGAAGACGGCGTCAGCGAAAGAATGATTGTTGGAACTAACAAAGGCGGGCTCCTTGGGGTCTTGCATAGGCTTGAAGGAGCAGTATCTCGTGCCTTGAAGTGATGCGACTTCCGGGTGATTGAAATCTGATGTGAAACACGCAGCACAAGTGACGTCATGCAGTTGACGCATCGCATTTGCACAGCCAGGTACCTCCAGGTACCCACGGGCGGTGAATACATGACATCATGCATCAACGTTCAACCCTTGATCATGATCAACCCCACGGCCAAAAACAAAAATGAGTAGCCATAGCAGAGGGGAAAAGTTACAGACGCGCTTCCACCTACAACCGCGTGCGCAGGAAGCCCGGTGCCTGAATCTTGTTCTTCGGTGAACTTGTTCTATCCAGACTTAATCCGGTGCGTGTACACATACTAGAACACCATGAATGCACCAGAGAGATAAGGCGAGAAACGCACTGCAGGATTCACACGAGTCAACAGTACGACGGGCAAGCACGCAGCTGCATAGCAATTTCATAGTGCAAGCCTCGTCCACAGAGAATTATAGCCCAAACCTAGACCGAAAGTCATCACAGCGAGTAATAATTTTTCATCTAGAAGGGATGTTTGCAAAGCAGAAACAAGTGTATTGATGGAGCTTACACTTTTCAACTACTTCCCAGAAATCTTCGTGATCAGCTCACTGAAGTTGATCGAAGACACGAAGTCCTTGCAGATGGGGGACCTAGGAGTTTGAAAGTGTTGATTGGACAAGCTAATCGTCAGTAGCGTCCATCATGACTAGACATGGTATGGAGGTATTAATGAACTTGTGTCTTTCGGGACGCGACTGTTGAATTTGATGTTTGTGCCACATGTCTAAAACCGAGGCTCCTAGTACTTGAGAGGAACGATGTTCAGACCGCTCAAGTGCTACCCGTGACAGTGCGGAACAATCAATGATCATGAAGTTTGAATGAACGGTAGTGCGGGATCAAATATGTGCAAATTCAAATCCACTAGTTCTGCCGGTTATAATCAGCAAAATTTAATGTTGTCCGTCACCCTCGCCATTGTAATTGACCACCTCAACCTCATCCAGATTCTAGAATAGCTGTGGTATTATTCCTTGTTCGACCCGATCCAACTTGTCAAAATCAAAAGCATTTCCTTGGAGCACTTCAACTTCGTTAATGCTCTGAACTTCTTCAGTCCCTTTCAACTTTTCGAGAGCTGCAAATTCACTAGCAATATCGTCAGGCGAGATACTCTCTGGACCAGCAGAGGGTCATCTGCATCACAAGGCTCGGTCGAGAGTGGAGGTACCCACGCGAAGGATGCTTCAAGATCCTGTGTAGTCTCGTCAGCAATGCCAACCTCTTCAAGCCGAGTGTGCACGTAAGCATGTCGAGACTTCCCAGCCTCCACGGCTTTTACGGTGCTGTGGCGTCGAAGGTTTGCACGAATTAGTTGCATTTTTACAGCGCTTGATAAGATGGTTTGGTAGGTTATTGTCGCGACCCTGGATTCGAGCACCTGATGAGTTGCCAGTGTCGCCGCAATGTTTGCATTTCCAGTAGTAGCGATTCGAGTTGTTGTCAACTCATTCCAGGCGCTCGAAATTGTCGTTGACTGGTGATGCGAGGGGGCGCCCTCCGGCATGCACCATCTTACTTTAGGGACGTCAGTTTTCATGTTCTCTTTGTTATCAGATATCTGAATTACGTCTCGGAGACCCTGGAGTTCTGCCAACAACACTCACCACCAATCAGTATATAACGACTTCAACAAATCCGCATGTTTCCCTTCCCTCCATTTTTAACTTCGGCCTTGTCGGTTCGATCTTCTCCTTGTCACGTCTTTGACTTGTTGCGTAATTTTCCGCATTTTTAGTGTATTAGCTCTCCTTTATTAATGCTTTGTAACAAATGCAGTTAGTTCAACATTCAACTCTCCGAGCAGGGTGGGATGTGGGCCCAGTTCCACTTATACTTGGTAATCGTGCATCGAGGAGTGTCACTTGTTTGCAAGGCATGCGTCTTCACTCACGCCACTCGATTTTTAACAGCGATTCAGCCCTATCGCAGCGCCACCATCAGATCAGTCACTCAGAGTTCAGTGACACAACCTGCAGGCAACGGACACCAGCGCTGTGATTCCCAACATTACGCCACGCATCGTGATGCACTGCAGCAACCAACGCTCCAAGTAATCATACTGGCATCCATACCAGTGCCCATCCGGCACACTTGTGAATGCCCTTCGACCACTGGATATTCAAGGAGTACCGGAGCTGTGCCTGTGGCCGCAGCATACACAATTATACCACTGCACTTGTGACTAGCGAGTTTGACGACTCACTCGCTCCACTCCACCTCGTGTACTTCATCGCACCAAACTCCATTCTTCTGTAACTTTCGCTGCCTTTGTCCTGCTCCGATGACTCGAGGCCTGTTTTATATCACGGTCGTCGGCCACTCGCGGTTGTGCAATGTGCGCCCTTGTATAAGACATTATTGTACTCATTAATGTGTTGTGCGCTAGGATATAAATAATACAACGTCCGAAACAGCAATAGAAAGCGCCACGCCAAGTAACGAAGAAAGACAGTAGCACGGGGTGGTGGAGGAGGAGAGCCGGCGTGCGGCCTGCGAGAGATTGTTGCAGTGCTTCACTTTAAATATCATTCTCACCTGTTCACCGGTTTACTGATGGGGCAGTGAGGGTTGAAAATTATATACTGCTCGGTGATGGCTGCAACATGAACTTAGAACATGTTGAGCAGAGTCTGGGGTCTTTTCATGGTGAATGATGTGACGGTGTCCGGACTTTGTTTGCTCAGGGACCAGGGTTGAAGTTGTTCCAAGGAACTGAGAAAGATCCGAATGATAATAGGTTACTAGATACTGAATAAGGAGGCATCGCAGTCCCCAAGTTGGCAAGCGCGACTGGAAATTTCTTGAGGAGACTTTCGTATTGGATGTCAGTTGCCCGTCGTACATTGACGGCGGCGGTGGCGATCAGTAAACCGGTGAGTCCCGGCTTACTGGTAGGCTGACTGCATAAGGGGGCATCGCTATCCCTTAGCAAGCGCTGATGACAGGCTCATCACAAAGCGTCCAAACCAGTGCCCGTAGAAACAAGACAAGTATGCGAGAGTATGGGAGGAATCCGTGAAGTGCGGGAGCAGTAGCACGGAATCTGCGCAGATAGTACCATACCGTAAGATTACGTCAGTGAATATCGTAAAGGCAAAGGATGAGTTTAATTTGGGGGTGCCCAGGGCAGACGACATCCGGCACGGTACCTTCCTAATGCGTGAAATTATATATTGTGTACCTACGGGAAGTCACCTAATTATGCGCTGAACGGCCAAGTAGCTCCCAAACATTTGGTCAAGTTCGGTCGGTCTCACTAGTGCAATGGACGCGCCAAACGTTAACGCAGTTGTGGCAAAGCCGATAAATTTGTCACCCTTGTCTTCGGCAGCTGCGAGTTGGCAAATAGCAAGAGCTTCGAGTTCTGCAGCTAGAAGATGTGCACGACTCCGTTTTTCCGTACGACGAAGCCGTGCCATTGAACTTTGGCAAGTCGATGACGTCCACCAGCGCCAGACACGGCCCGCAGCGCTTATTGTTGGACATTTTTGTGCAGTTCATTCTAGCTCATTTCTCGGACTCTGTGGAGTGATAGTGTACTATCTGATGAGAGGCTGCCTCTTGCAGCTAGATAGACCGGATTTCATTTTGTTCCCCTTGCCGTTACTCCATAAATCAAAGGGTCCAATATTGGGGCACGTGAAATATTCTAAAATGGCCGACGCTATGCCGTACTACATAGTAGAAAGTTTGCAAGACAATATTAATTATAAACCACCAAGGTGTGAATCAAGATTTGATACTTTTGACTTTGAACACGATGCAGGACACCGTAACCACGTCTCGCCGTGGCAATTCCGACCTCTTGGAAAATGGCCGGCCATGGACACCTTCAAGTTGGAGAAGTTTAATCCCCGTCTATTGAATAACCACACTATCTGCCTATCTGCGGTTGTGCATTTGGAATTGCAGCCACTGCCATAGCCTGCCAACCAAGAACTGACCCTCCATTGGTGACGAGTCCTCGATGCATCTTCAGCCCAACTTGCCCGGTCCTATGGTTGCATAACTTTTGGTCATCACCATTATTATCGAGGCTGGCCATCTCCCCTCAAAATTCTTCGCAGAAACACCTAAGCGCCTAGTGGCACCGCCGAGGTCCTGGCATGCCGCGAGCATATAGGTAATAACGTGCGATCATTTCTGTCCGCCAATCGCTAGTCCGGTACTATCGCACAGAAACCTACACCAGTGATTGCCATTGTTCTTTTCTTGCATGAAGAATTGATTCAAGCCTTGATGGCACCCTAGCACTAACATCTGGAGTCGGTTAGCCGTTCTTCCGTCGGAATTATTTTGGATGGTGTCCGGGTCATGATAGTTCCTTGGTATGTCATCATTCTTGAACGCGTTGACAGATCGTTGCTAAACGCCAACTCCCGGGTGCACCATTGAAACCGGGACGCTGACAGTAACTGGGACCAGACCGTTTGCGGTGCAACTACACGCCGATAAATCACAAGGTACTAACTGCTTTGAATGGGAACATTACTGCTGCAAGATAAAAGCTGCAAGAGTATGATAGTATTTTTCTACTTCCACTAGTATCGCTACCTATCGTGAATAATCGCGATGTTTATTCTTTTTCTGATTGTTTCTCTCATCTCATTGATTAATGCTACGTCTATAGTATCTCGCTCACAGTCTTACCCGCTATCTCAGCCCGCTGTACATGGCCCAAAAACCAGAATAACCATAGGTAATAGAATCATCGCTCCCGATGGCTTCAATCGCTCGTAAGTCTATTATCACGGCACTCAAAGCTCACCCCTGATCTTTGACAGAACAACTCTTGTTGATGGCATGTTTCCTGGACCTTTGATTACAGCACAGAAGGTGAACTTTGTTGAGCTCCTTGTCGTGCGTCAATGCTGACCTCACATCAGGGAGATCACTTTGACATTGAGGTAGTCAACAAGCTCAAGGACGATTCGATGTTCCTGGTTACCAGCGTCGTAAGTAGTGTTAAATCATCAATGTTGTTAAAATTGACCTTGTCTATGGCAGCACTGGCATGGTATCTACCAGAATGGGACGAACTATGCCGATGAGCCGTCCTTCGTCACACAATGCCCCATCACACCGAACCACTCTTTTTTACATTCTTTCTCTGCCCCGAGCCAAACAGGCACTTTCTGGTATCACAGTCATTATTCTGTTCAATATGCAAGTATCACTCGAACCTTGCATACGCAGTACATGACTGACCTATGGAACAGTGCGACGGTCTCAGGGGAGCCCTGGTAATTTATGATCCTCTAGACCCTTTAAGATTCATGTACGATGTCGACGATGGTGAGAGAGAAATTGGTTCATATGAACCATCTGACCTTGATGTATTTCCAGCAAGTACCGTGATCACAATTGCTGACTGGTGAGTTTTATGAGCATGGATAATCTACCCGGTTAAATCAGGATGACTAGGTATCATACTGTAGCCCCACAATTGATCGGCACAATACCTGTTGCCCAGTCTATACTCATCAATGGACTCGGTCGCTATGCTGGCGGACCTGAGTCTGAGCTCGCTGTGATCAATGTCTTGCCGGGAAGTCGATATCGCTTACGCCTGGTTCAAATGTCGTGCGACTCCAACGTCCAGTTCTCCATCGACGGTCACAGCTTAACTGTCATCGAGGCAGATGGACAGCTGACAGAACCTCTGGTAGTAGACCAGCTCACGATTTATGCGGCTCAGCGCTACTCTGTGATTCTAGTAGCCAATCAGCCAGTGGATAACTACTGGGTACGCGGTGTTCCTAACTCGGTTCAGACCTTCAACGGCTCTGCTATCCTGCGCTACATGGGCGCCCCAAAGGCTGAACCGACTACGGTCAATGTTCCACCCACGAACCCATTGCAAGAGGCAAACTTGCATGCTCTAATCGATCCCGCTGCTCCTGGTATTCCAGAGTACGGGAGGGCAGATATCAACCTCACCCTCGAGGTTAACCTCACCGGTGCAAACTTCTTTGTCAATAATTTCACATTCAAGTCCCCCTCCGTTCCTGTTCTACTGCAAATTCTCAGTGGAGCTCGAGAGCCTTCTCAGCTGCTCCCAAATGGGAGTGTGTACGTTCTCGGGGCCAACAAAGTAGTAGAGCTGACGGTGGCAATAAACGCTGCAGGTGGACCTGTACGTATTTTCCATTCATTCGATATTTACGTGACTGATATATATTATACCAGCATCCTATACACCTTCATGGGGTAAGTTCGCCATTGCTTCGAAGGCATGCCCGGCCGGTACTCATGATTATTAGCATTCATTCAGTGTCGTGAAGAGCGCGGACAGCAGTACCTTCAATTACGCGAACCCCGTTCGCCGCGATGTGGCCAGCGCTGGGGTCGTTAACCAGTCCATGGTGATCCGATGGGTGACCGACAATTCTGGCCCCTGGTTCTTGCATTGGTATGATATTTTATCGAGCTGTCAATAAGGGTACTAATTCTGCACCAACAGTCACATTGACTGGCACCTTGAAGCGTATGTTTGTAACTCTTCTCGTGAACGAAATGGCTAATTCTTCATATCCAGCGGTCTTGCTGTGGTAATGGCAGAAAGTCCCTCAGATACTAGCGCACACGTGAGCCCCGTGCCATGTAGGTCATACGTGAAGAATTCGTACTTCTATTGCTGAGCTGCTTTACAGATGAATGGGATCGCTTATGTCCAATCTACGACCATTACCCTCCCACGGTGCCTGAGGGAGGTTTGCATCTTCATTGAACTATTTTTTTTGAATCCTTGTTTATTGTGCGGTGGGGCCATGCCCTATGCTGGACAGTGCATGCGTGTAGTACTTTGCATGTATTAATTGAAAAACAGTATATATTTTTGGAAACCTTGCAAAGAAGGCTATAATCGATAAACAAATAATGAAGGAGAGACAGAATCTTGGCGGATTTGAAGATTTCGACCTACGAACTCAGTTTCCCGACGTGCGCGACCGGTTTGTCAAATGTACAGACCTGATCCATTGAAGCCGCAGTTGGAGGTTAAGAACACTCGTTTGATTGTCGAGAAAACAGCTACTGATGGACGACAACGATGGGTCCGCGAACATCAGAGTGAATAGGGTCCAGAAATTGCCCGGTGCGCTCCGTCTTAGAGAAGTGAAAGGGTTGACGACGGAGGGCATTTAGCAATGAATCAATATTCACAACGAAACAAAGGTGTGTCAGAATCCACGGATCGCCGAAGACCAGGGCTAGTTACTCCCCTTTCCAATCCGACGACTCGAGCATGCCAGAGGTCAAGAGCAAGATCCCTCCAGGCGTGAACTATACCAGGAGGGCAGTGGGGTCTGGCAGCGAGTGCAGGGGTAGCTGCAGGAGCATCCGTGGAGGCAGGTCCTTGTTTCAGCGTGTTTTTGAGGGGCAGACGAGCGCAGGTGGTTTTTTAGTACGTTTTGTGTTATATATATTGCATTGGAAGCGGTGAGAAATCAAAATGTAGGCAATTATATTGAAAATCGTGGAATGCTGGCTAGTATCCAACGTGCCGAAAGGCGTACACGAGCATGTATATGCGTCGTTTGCGCAGCTGCGGAGATGGTAGACACCGAGGCGCGTGTGTCTACGCGATTCGATGTGTCATATCTACTGCGTGGCTGCGCGTGCCAGAGTAGCCTATGTCTGTCTCTCACTGGGCATGTGAACTGAAAACGTAGAATCGGCTTGTGTCTGTTTCTAGTTCGTCACAGATGTAGACGGAGAGGACGAGTAATATGCACATGTATAAATTTAGAAAGTTCATACCTTCCGTTCTATTGACGTCGAAATGACCGAACATGTAGGAATCCAATACTGTTGAACAAGGCCACTGTTGGTAATTTCTGACATTATTAAATGGTTGAAGAACGGTAGCCACAGTTGTGCTCCCACTTAATTAGTCCCAATCCTTTTCCTGGACGAAATAAAGTCCGTCGTCATAAAGGACAAGAGTTGCACATACCTCCCTCGGTGTCGCTTCTACTAAACTTACATTGTCGTAGGAATAAGGACCTTCTTCAACGTTGCCGGAAGCGACATTCGCAGTGCCAATGCAATGAATGCTAAAGTGGAGAACTGCATCATAGTGCTAAGACTTACTGGTACAGACAATGGTTGACCGCTCGTGGACCGGTCAGCGGTTGGACTACTAGGCAGGACCCATACGATTCACACGCCCATACTATCAATTCCCCAGAAGGAAGGCCATAGATTGCTTGACTGGGTTGGATCTAATCACTCAGCACTAGGCTTAATTTTATGAAAACATCATGCTCACAGGCAAGAACATTTACAACGTGAGATCTAGAATACACTTGAGATATCAAAAAATCGACTCTAAAATACGAACGTAAACAGACCCGAGGGGTTTCGATGTCATGAAACGACTGCTGAAACTCGAACGACTTGAAGGATACTTAAACCTTTGTACCGATCATTGCTAGGCGCTGGAGCGCCGCAAACCAGTTACCCTTTGGGATGATGGGACCAAATATCCAACTTTGCAACCACGCAGCAATTCTACCTAAAACGTCACGATGACGTGCTGCCTATAACCTGCAACAATACACAAAACGTACCTTTGATTGGTCCTTGGGGTTCCAAATCCGAACAGGTGGAGAAGTGGGCGAAGAAGCCATCCGTCAAGTAATGTACCCATCCCAATCTCAGGCAACAATAAGGGTGACAACTCTGCAACCGCAATGAGCAAGAGGGCATTGGCGATCTCGGGATGCTGTTCGGCAAGGTCTCCTGCATCATATCGTCAATGTTCCGGAACGGTCAGATGCTCGTCACGCACCTATGGTTACGGCAACATGCTGAACAACGAACTTGAGAGAATCAGAGTGACTTTTCAATAGTTCTTCGCTGACTCCGAGCTTGGTGGCGACCTGTAAAAGCTTTCCTCGAAGCGGTCAAGGACCGTGTTGATCATGATTGTACGGTTGTCGTGACCGGGAGCCTCCCCGGGTGGCGGGAACATCTCCATCAGCTCTTCGAATAGGACAACGAAGATATCCTTGTGTTCTTCTATTACGGAGTGGAGAGAAACGCCACTGTCCTCTGCGGCCCCGTCGCAAACTTTACGCAAAGCAGCCGCAGTAGCAGTGACATTGACAATAGACTCCCTGAACTCCGTGATCTTCTCAGATGGATACAATTCTACGGCGTGATGATAGAATCCATCGGTATACTCCTTGATATTTGGACTGAGCTCTGTGATTTTGTCCAGAAAGACTCTCCTGTGTCTGGAGAATGCAATTCGTACCACGTGTGTGCTGAAGCAGACAAAGAATCAAATCCTTCTGTTAGGTTGTAAGCAGCGCCTTGGAATGAGTAGGTAATCAAATTGACCGTGTATCGCGTCTGTGATTTTCGAAGGATTGTCAAACAATGCTGTCAATCATTTCTGACGTCAGGAAACAATTGAAAGCGAGTAGTCCGTACTCACATTTCACCGCTCCCCATCCTTTTCCTAGATTAAACTCGATGTTCGTCGCAAGATAAGATTCCTTGAGGATGGTTTTGTCGGACTCGGAGGAACGTGCACTTTTCTCGATGTTGTTGGAAGTGACTGGTTGCAGCGTTGTGGCAACTGCCAATGTAACATATGCTAGAGTAGCGAACCACATCGTACGTAGCCGACCGTCAGCTCAGTAGCTTGACTTAAGTCGACTTAAACGACGAAGTTTACCTTGCCAAGGGTAAGTTTAGTAAACTAGGTTCCAGAGCAACTTGAAGAACCTCGCGTTCAGCGCTCGCTGAGTCAGCGCCGTCGCCTTGTTCGGTTTTCTCGAGATGGTTTAATTTGTTCGCCGCTCGCCCCGAAGTTTGTCCTGGCCTCAACATGACATGCATGACAGTTCAGGAAACTCACTTGAAATTTGAAATTTACTTAACTCCAAGCCGCTCAGAGAAAATGTCTTAAATGTTGTAGTAGGGTTAGGGGTTATCTGCCAGTCAAACTTTCACTAAGTATTGAGTCTACACGTACAGAAGACTGCTAAATAAACGTAAAACATTTCGGAAAATGTGCAGATTGTTGCACAAAGTGTATCTACGAGCAGGAAGATGGTGGTGATGGAGTACGTACCAGTATGTGAGCAACTTAAGATGTACAAAATTGTATGCCGACGTACTTGGTAGGGGCTTCGCATACACTACGTGACATCCTATGACCGATGTAGGTCCAGATCGTGTCAGCCTCCAGTCCAAGGCCATACTTATTAACATGTCACCCACATTTTCAGCGTTCACCCTCTCCCTTACACTCCACCACCAGTATTCAAGTGGGACATCTTTGACTGCCAACGTGCCAATCCGATCTTCACCTCACGCACTACCATGGCCCCTTCGAGCAGCATCACTTCCCCTACCGCAACTGCCACATCCTCCGTGTCCGACTCACATAAGCGTACTTTCCCATTCGCAGCGCTCATTCTGCTCGCTCTGTGCATCGCATACATCGTTGGTTACCTCGTCTACCGGCGGATCCTAAATTCCTGGAACGCTAAGCAGAACGCGGAGAAGGTGCAGAACTTCCCAGATGAATTTTTTGAGAAGAAGCCGAGAGGTACGTTCGATAGTCCGTCAGCCACTTTGCGTCGAACTCACGAGATGAAGGACCGCATCGTTTCACATGGACCCATGGCATATGGAAGAGCAAGGCTATCGGAGAGAACACAGAGTCAGAGCCACATGTGCGTAGCAGCTTTATCGTGCTTGCATACGCTCAACGATTCTCTTCCAGCGTTCCTTTTCGAGCTCCCCTGACGAGAAACCCCTCGTTTCACCACCGCCTGTAGCCATGATCAAAGAGCACGCGTCCGGTGGTCCAACTATCACCCAATCGCAAAGGGACGTTCGTACCGCATTTCCCAAGCGCATTGCAAGAGCTGCTAGGGAGAAGGGTTCGAGGGTGCTCTCGCGTGGTCGTGTGACAGAGATTAAAGCTGATCCAAAGCTCGCACCTGTACAGGGGCCACTCAGGCCACTGTCCATCTTGCTGTCAAGGAACAAGGAGAGAGAACGGGTTTCATTCAATTTGGCGTAGTCTTGGTCGATCGTGGGCCAGTTTGTTTGTTCGTCGTTCGTTTGTTGTGTTTTGTTTGATTTTATTTTGTTCTGGGGTTGTCGCACTAGTGACATGTACTGCGGACACAAACCTCTATCGATATAATCATGACTCTTAACTACTTTAATCTGTGTGCTACATGCTGAGCGGGACAGATACATCAGCGTCAGGTCAAACGAACTTGATTTTTATACAATTTCCTATCCAAAAATGGTCCAATGGTACTACAAATGCGATACAATGATTCCGACAGTCATAGGAAGGTTTGACTCATACTGGACAAATTAATGTGCGTATCGATAAAAGGCAATGACAGAAAAGACGACGCATTAGAGTTTGAGTGACTCAACTCTTTCTCATCATCGTGAGTCGCATATGAGGTGGGACTGGCAGAGCGATCGTCGAGTAAGTGTTTCTCGTCATCTTCCGACTCGCGAGGTGAAATTGCCTGCATGACTTCCGCAATTCTTGGGATCTTTGGCAGCGCACGATTCCTGTTCACCCGTGCGATATCTTCGCTGGGAGAGTCGGGTGTAGAACTGGACTCCTCTGCGTTGGTGATGTATTCTCGGGGAAGGAAGTCATCGAAGGTCTTTGCGGGATGCTTGACAGAGCGAGCACGGATGAGGGCGGGGTCTCTGCGTTCTACGTATGGAGTAGTATAAGCAATTGGACGTCATGACAGGTCTCGAGCTCGCCTGTTATAGTCACACTGCGGCGAGGAGCGGCGGGTGCTGATACAGGTTTCAGAACACCATACGTCTCTCCTGAAGGATTCTGGTAAAGTTGACCGGAGCGGTCGCGGAAAGTGTACTGCTGGGTATCAGCATCGTATGCAATCCGCTTTATGCCCTCCGGAAGACGATGCGAATCCTGGATCATGCAGATTAGTTAACTAACTGTAGGTTTATGGTAATAATAAACTGGACTGCTAGTCCACCACCAACCTCGTCGAAATAAGCCATAAGATGGTGGCAGTTGAGAATGAAGAGACGACTGACCTATGTTGTAGTCCTAGAGACTCCTATGTATATCGAGCCCCACAGTCGGCACGTGCCGGTGGGTGCAGGCTGTACCCAGCTGTCATGGTACTTATCTGAATTGGCGTAATCATCGAATCAACCACGCTAGAGACCAAAGGAAAATGGAAACCGATAACTATTTTGAAAGACGGTCAGGTTTGCCCGCATCAGATGTTCCATGCATTGTATATGCCAAGGAAATGTAGGCCAAGATCTACATAGAAGTTCTATGTGATTACGTGATCGCCCCCCTGAGCCATCCAGGGCTGTCCGCTCTAGTACCCGTTCACTTTCTCAGTGGACCTTCGTTTACTCATGATCATCGCTATCGCTGCATCAAATGACTCTACATGCTGTTTATTTCACTTGACCAAGCATTTGAGTACCGATTATGTTCAAATCCAAGTCTCTGCCTCGTTTCCTGGACCCAGTTTGACATTCCCCCTGCGGCTAAATCAGACCGCTTGGCATTTTTACTGCAACCTCTACCAAATCTCTCACTAATCCAAGCATGTCGGCTGGGCAGATTCCAATTATCCCTGTCAAGTACAAGTTCTGTATTCTTACAACGCGGATGACATGATGGCAGTCCATTCACCGACTTCAAATTTCAAGGCCAAACAATCGATCACATCTTGGTTGACTCATCGGCAAAACGAGTTCATTTTCATTGTCGCCTTCCAATGCATATGTTGCGCTGTCTGGTGGTCGGAGCAGAGAAACCATGCGCTTATTGCGGGACTTCGATGACCATTCATTTACGCAACATCCTTCAGAGAGTTTGCAAGTTGAATGCAAAGACGAACTGACTTGCAATGATGGAACACATTTTCTTGTCCACTTTCACGGAGTGTTACAGGAATCTATGGAAGTGCATGATATTGGGGAGAACTGGTTAGTGGCTATGTGGTAACTTCGAACCAAGCATCACCTACTCATGCGTGACATAGTCAACGCCGCTTTTATCCATTGTCACATAAGATGTTCAAGTTGCTCTGGTCAATACGTGTATTCGCTAAGGTTAGCGACATTGCTTTCAGGGAGTACTGGTACGCCTTGCTTGGCGCAGACTGGTCGTGCTCACAGACATGAGTGGGCTTAGTCACTCTGATTGAACAAGCTCCTCGTCGTCCATCCCATTGCACAGACTACCAGGGGAGCAATGTCAATGACCGGATAATGGGTACATCGTTGTGTGGGTTGCTGTCCTTCTCTTTATCTCGTGACTTCCTTGCGGTTTGATAATCTGTAACACATTCGTACCATCCTCACCCTTCTGAGGAGCAATTCTTTGGTCGTCGTTAGATACCAAAGCCTGCGATTTTCCTGCAAGTGCAAAGTCTTCAGGAAGGTCAGAACAAAGGAGGGCAGATGAGACACTGACTAACGGGAAGGCTTCCTCACGATGCTGAAGTGCATGATGGTTACCAGAATGAAAATAGTTTCAAATGACTGCAGAAGCGATAACGAAATGCATGGATGATACGACAAAGATTTGGGGGCTGAACACCTTTGCGGGAACATAAGTGGTCCCAGAAAAGCCTGCCAAGTGAGCTGTGAAGCAATTTTTAGGTACAGTCTTTGACAGGAGTTCGGCTTGCGTATATTTTGATACAGATTGTAACAATTCAGCGGACGTCCGTGCTAGGGTATCAGTCAGAACTATGTTCGCAACTATGAATGGCCTGTTGTATCCCAGCGGGGGCAAGGCATCCATCTGTTCGTTTCCGAAAAGGAAGTTGGATTGGTCAATAAAATCACCTCCCAAAGATAGAGCAGTTTGATTCACTGGGCCAGCATTCATAACACCATGGCGATAGATAGTATGAGGGGAGTTTGTGTAGATTGTAAATTGCCTTGAGTGATATATTGTCTGCCTTGTTGAACAGACGGGACTTCCAGAAACATGCTACTGGTAACTACCTCACAAGTGTGGAAGACACCAGCGCTTGCAGAAATACAAACACTTTGATTCTCTGTGAGCTGTATCGTCGAAACATTCATCGAAGCCCACTCACAAGTCGAGTTGATACCAACTATATCTGTCATCTAGTGTGCGCTGACGGTTGTGGGAAGATCAATTGGACTTAGGACAATGCAGCAAACTCTGTCGGATGAGTCGCAATAGAGAGGGAGCAATCTGCCCCAAGTGCCACCTCGGCCTAGAGAACAGAGCCTGTGCTCTGATGGCATCCAACCCTGCAATACTTGGTATTGTGATCAAGAGGCACTGCAATCAGGGGTCTTAGACAGGAGACCAGCGAAATAAGAAAGCAACTCACCTGCACACACCTTGCACAGGGAGTGCCTAACAACAAGGGCAATCATTCCACTTTCTATAACGGCAGTTACAACATTCACGCAAGCCAAAATCCAATGCACTAAATGTCACTTACAAGTAGCAGAAGCGACCCAAGATATTGCTACACCTATCAGTGCAGCGACAAAATTGGAAAATGTTACAGTTCTACTCTTTTCCTTTCACCTCTTCACTTATTCACACTTAACTAATCATTCTCAGACATTCTATTAACTTCTATCATACAATTCTCTTTTCTTTTTCTGATTCGCTGTTTCACTTCTATCTCTGATTCATTTATTAAAGCTCTGCTTTAATTCCTTTATATATACTCTATCTCTTATGCTTGTATTCTTTAACTTGACCTATGCAGACCAGGGCCTGCAATATACTGCTTAACTCGCACGACTTGTGAATAGGTTCATGCTTTAGATCATTTGTTTCTGTCTAGTTGTTCTTATGAATGCCGAGTGTAACAAAAGGTCAAGTTACTTCACTACTGCGCAGTTCCCTAGAACTTGTGCCCAGAACAGAACACCATTTCAACTATTGCACTGACTCCTCCCAGTTTCACCTGGGATGAAGAAGAACAAGAGTTCTTCTGTGTAGATGCCAAAGGCACCAGATACTCTCTAGACCAGTGGGCAGCGTACTATGCCACTTTAGCCCCAAAGAACAAAGTTTGGAATTTCTATACCCAAACCTATGAATGATCCATGACTGCCGCCATGCCTAAAGAAATCAGCAAGACCCCCACACCCTTCAACGGTGATACCTGCCTTGCTCAGGGATGGATGCTTCAAGTTGAAGTGTACCTAGATATGAACGATGAAGTTTATGATAATGACAAGAAGAAAGTCATTTTCACACTTAGCCTTATGACTAAAGGCGAAGCTGCTAAATGGGCTGAAGGCCAACTCAAGGCTGCTGTCGCAGCAAAGTCTTATGGAACCTGGGAAGATTTTGCTAAGCAATTCAAATCCACCTTTTTTCCTAAGAACGTTGAACAGACCATGATCCGTTGCATCTCCTCCCTAAGACAAACCAGCAGTGTAGCCGCTTGCACATCCCTCTTCCGAACCATACTTGCCAATACTGGCATCTCTGAAGAAAACATGAAGATCATGTTCTTCAGAAACGGCTTAAAGCATGAGATAGTCTCTGCTATTTATGCCTTTGAAATGACCCCTACCACCATTGAATCCTGGCTAGAGAAAGCCTTAGACGCCAAGGTCTGAAGGACCTTAATAGCACCTCCCTCATATACCAAGGTGAAAGACCCCTACGCCATGGACATAGATAAGGTAGAAGTAGAAGAAGAAGACAGTGAGAAGAAGATGGTGAGAAGAAGACGGTGAGAAGAAGACAGTGAGAAGAAGACGAGGAAGACATATTTAACTCCTCAAGAATGGGAGCATAGGCGCAAGGGTGGCCTTTGCTTCAAGTGTGGTAAGAAGGGCTTAGCTGCAGACTGCCCTAACCATCCCATGGTTATGACCAATACAAGAAAGGTAATCAAGGAGTCATCTGACGACGATTACAAGGAATTCCAGGAATGGAAGGCGTTTAAAGCATGCCAGATGAAGAAAGCCAGTAAGAAGCCGGTTAAGAAAGAAGAGAGTAGCAATGAGGAGGATTTTGCTTAGGGGAGCCTGCCATGGTGTCAGAAACTCCCAGAATTGGACTAGTAGTACAATCTGTTGGCGATACTAATTCTATTTGTTTGCCTTTAACCATCAGATTGAAGAAAACCGAGAAAACCACCATAGCCACCGCTCTAATTGATTGCGGCACAGAAGGCGAATTTATCGATGAGAAGTTCATACTCAAAGAAAACATTTGCATGCACAAACTGGAAACTCCAATACCTGTGCGTAACATAGACGGCACGTTAAACAAAGCCAGAAGAATCACACAGTACTGTGAACTTTCATTCCTTATCAAAGATATCCCTATGCAGAAGCGGTTCTTTGTAACCTCTCTAGGAAGAGAAGACGCTATCCTGGGAATGACTTGGCTAAAGAAAGAAAACCCAGATATCGACTGGACTAGTCAAGGAGTTCACTTAAGGGAGCATACCCTGAAAAAAGCATCTATTGAAGAAATCAAAGACGAAGAAGACATCTTTTACGATGCACTAGAAGAATTAGAAGGTGAATGGGACCCTGCTAACGAAACACTCCCACATCTTCTAGATCCCATCAACGACAATGACGATTTCTATACCTATATCCGGAAAACTGACAACATTTCACAGACACTCGCCCAGGATGCCACAAAACCCAAGAAAACCTTTGAAGAACTCGTACCCAAAGAGTTCCATCAATATAAGGATGTATTCAGTGACGTAGCTAACGGAACTCTACCCCCAGAATGAAAATACGACCACAAGATTGACCTCAAGGAATCCTTTGAAATGCAGAAATGCAAGATTTATCTGCTTAATGCCAAAGAAGACAAGGCAATGAATGATTTCATTGATGAACATCTAGCTAAAGGAACAATCGTTCCTTCCGAATCCCCTCAATCCTCCCCATTCTTCTTCGTCAGGAAGAAAGACAGTTCCCTCCGACCCTGCCAGGACTATCGCTACTTGAACGAACACATGGTTAAGAATAACTATCCCTTACTGCTAATCTCTGATCTTATAGATAAGCTAAAGGACGCCAAGATCTTTACCAAGATGGACATTCAATGGAGATACAACAACATACGTATGAGGAAATCTGGTCAATGGAAGGCGGCCTTCACCACTTCCAGAGGACTTTTTGAACCCATGGTCATGTTCTTTGGAATGTGTAACTTGCCCGCCACCTTCCAGTCAATGATGAATGACTTGTTCGGAGACATGATCCAAGAAGGATGGATTATTATATATATGGACAATATACTCATCTTCTCTAGGGACGACGAAACTCACTGGATCCAAACTCATAAAGTACTCCAATGACTTCACAACAACCTCCTTCACCTAAAACCCGAAAAATGCACCTTTGACACAACCGAAATCGAATATCTCAGTATGATCATTAAACCTGGTTCTGTTGCCATGGACCCTGCCAAATTAAAGGGTATATCTGAATGGAAGACTCCCACGAAAGTAAAGGAAGTTTGATCATTCCTCAGATTTGCTAATTTTTACCGACGGTTTATTGCTGACTATTCATCGATTGCCAGACCCTTAATCAACCTAACCAAGAAAGATGAAGAATTCTCTTGGACCCCAGAACATGAGGAAGCTTTTAATAAGCTGAAGCATATCTTCACATCTTCTCCAATCCTCCAAATCCCCGACAAGAACTCCCCCTTTGCGATTGCTACTGACACTTCCCTTTATGCTACCGGCGCAGTACTACTTCAGAAGAATGATAATGGAGACTGGCTCCCATGTTCCTTCTTATCACAATCATTTAACCCCACTGAATGTAATTATCAGATCTACGATCGAGAATTACTCGCAATTGTCTGTGCTTTGAAAGCATGGAGACATTATCTCCTTGGTTCCCCCTATCCTGTGACCGTACAAACTGATCACAAGAACCTTACTTATTTTAGAGATGTACAAGACCTTAACCAACACCAAGCAAGATGGCAAACCTTCCTTTCCCAATTCGAACTCCAAATCCAACACGTACCTGGAAAAGAACTTATTATCCCTGACTTACTTTCTTGTAGAATGGATCACCTTCCAGATGATAATGTTGAAAAGGACAATATTAGTATTCAACTCCTTCCTGACTCAATGTTTATCAACGTCATTGACACTTCCTTTACAGACAGATTACATATTTCCTCCTCCATTGACCCTGTAGTACATACTGCGCTTCAAGCACTCACGGACTCCTCTATCCCTCCCCCACTCCACTCAGCTCTTTCCGATTGGAAATTGAGCGATGGAATTCTCTTGTTTAAAGGACTCACTTATGTACCTCCCAGAGATCTCTGACAAGAAATCACTTCCCTTCACCATGACTCCCCTACTGCCGGACACCCTGGACGTTACAAAACCCAGGAACTCCTATCTCGCGACTACTGGTGGCCAGGACTAGCCACTTTCGTCAAGAACTTCGTGGACAGCTGTTGCATCTGCCAACAGAATAAAGTAAACACCCACCCACCCACTCCTTCCCTCTCTCTTATTCCCACTCCTATCTCAAATTGACCCTTCACTCACTGCTTGGTCGATCTTATCACAGACTTACCACTATCTGACAGATTCAAATCCATTATGGTCGTGGTTGACCATGGACTTTTGAAGGGGGTAGTTTTCACCCCTTGTCTCAAAACTATAGATGCTGAAGGCGTTGCAAATATTTTCTTTTCTAAAGTTTTCTCTAGATATGGACTCTACAATAAAATTATCTCTGACCGCAGACCTCAGTTCACTTCCAGATTCCAGATCAAACTCAGAAAACTCCTCGGATACAAGAACTCCCTTTCCACTGCATTTCACCCTCAGAGTGATGGAGAGACTGAATGAGTAAACCAAGAACTTGAAGTCTACCTCTGGATCTTCTGCGCTAACGACCAAACCAGTTGGGTGCCCATGTTGCCACTAGCTGAATTCGTTCATGATTCATGCCACCATTCCACACGTGGAACTTCCCCTTTTTACCTCATGATGGGTTATCACCCACATCACCTTCCTGATCTTCATCCAAAATCTGATATCCCTAATATTGAACAATGACTCTCTTTGCTTAATAAAGCACGCGATGAAGCGCTAGCCACTCATGAACTTGCACGTAACACTATGTGTCAACGAATCACGTCTAAATTTGTACCCTTCTCTAAAGGCGACAAAGTTTGGCTAGAAGCCAAGAACCTTCATCTCGGATACCCTAATCAGAAGCTCGCCCCTAAACGCAAAGGACCATTTATTATCACTGACATATTATCTCCCATAACTTATCGACTCGCATTACCTGCACAATGGCGCATTCACCCAGTTTTCCACGCCACACTTCTCTTCCCTTATAAAGAGAATGATACCCACGGCCCTAACTATATTCCGCCACCACCTGACCTTGTTGATGGTGAAGAAGAACACAAAGTTGAAGCGGTTGTTGGACACTGCGGATCTTCATCTAGATGCCAATATTATATAAAGTGGAAGGGATTCCCAAGTTCCGAGAATGAATGGATGAAGGAAGCCAAACTAGGTAACGCTTCTGAACTTCTTACTAACTATAAACGATCACATTGTCTTCTTTGATAGTAGTCGGTGCCTACTACCCTTACAACAGGGGTAATGTTACAGTTCTACTCTTTTCCTTTCACTTATTCATGCTTAACTAATCATTCTCAGACATTCTATTAACTTCTATCATACAATTCTCTTTTCTTTTTCTGATTTGCTGTTTCACTTCTATCTCTGATTCATTTATTAAAGCTCTGCTTTAATTCCTTTATATATACTCTATCTCTTACACTTGTATTCTTTAACTTGACCTACACAGACCAGGGCCTGCAATATACTGCTTAACTCGCACGACTTGTGAATAGGTTCATGCTTTAGATCATTTGTTTCTGTCTAGTCGTTCTTACGAACACCGAGCATAACAGAAAACATGTAAATTGAAGAAGTGCCTGAAAGGGCATCATTTAGGAATTTAAGAAAACTATAGTTCGGATTTGGCTCCTATCAAGTATGGCCAGGGGAACACCTTGCATGTGATGGGAATCAAGATCACGGACAAACTCAGCCTAATTTATTGCACGTACTACTAAGAGTACACAAAAATGTAACAATGTGGACATGAATACTTGCCTGCAATTTCAATACAATGTCTGTCACTGGGTAAAGGGCAGCGACCAGCTGGCTCAAGGATGTAACCCCAGCTTTTATTGTGACTTTGATTGCACTAAATCCCAGAACAGACTAGTGACGAAAATTAACTGACCGATATGATCAGCCGTGAATGAATAAAATCCGTTGTTGTTGAATACGATGAGGCATTTGTGTGCAATGATGCAAAACGTCCTTTGGCAGGGGACCCATGGCTTGCAGCACTGTCATTCAATGCATTATTGTAAAGATGTAACGCATCAGACCTTACCTTGAAATTCCGCTTTAAGTGCCAGAATTCTGTGTGTCAAGGCAGAGTCCTAGACAAATACATGTTTGCAGAAATTGGGTGAGGCCGCGGATGCTTGCGTTGTTATATACATAAAGCAAGATGGTGAAACAGCTGGAACCACCGGGTACTTGAAACTAACATATCAAGGGCGTAGGCGATCATGCAAAACAGCACAGCATTCCTTTCTTGGGGTTAGGGTTCCGAATGAAGACGACAGCTTTCTAGCAGAACGCGTCACTGTTCGTCGCGCTTTCACGATCCATAACCAACACGTATATCTCCTTCCTTTAATTACATTCACTCAAGATGCCGCTCGAGGCAACGATGATGATAATTGACAACTCAGAATACATGCGCAATGGAGACTATATCCCATCACGCTTCGAAGCCCAGTCTGATGCTGTCAAGACCATCTTCCAGACCAAGATTGATTCAAACCCAGAGAACACTGTTGGCGTCATGACAATGGCTAACAAAGGGTACGAGTCAGTTACGTGAGCAAACTACGATTGCTGATGTTTCTTGAAGGCCTGAGGTTCTCGTGACCCATTCGAAAGACATTGGACAGATAATCAAGGCCTTGCATGTAACATCATCCAAAATTGGCGGATCAATAGATATTCCTACTGCAATCAACATCGCTCAGCTTGCCCTCAAACATCGGGAGAACAAGAATTTGCGGCAGAGGATAATAGTCTTTGTGGGATCTCCACTGCAGGGTCAGGGCGCGGATGAGCGGGAAATGGTGAAGCTCGCAAAGAGATTGAAGAAGAACAATGTTGCTGTTGACTTTGTTGCATTTGGTGATGGTATCGAGGAAGAAACCAATGTCCTCAAGGCTTTCGTAGACAATACGGCAAATAGCGATAACTCGTAAGTGTCACCTCGTTAGAATGTGTGCGTAGATTGATGCACCTGGTCTTTTAGACATTTGGTATCTGTACCACCTGGTACACATCTACTGTCAGATGTGATCATTTCTTCTCCAATTCTGTCGGAAGACCGGGGGATACCACCAGAGGCGATGGGAGACGTCGGTGGTGCATCGGGTTCTGGTGGTGCCAACTTTGAATTCGGTGTTGATCCAAGCTTGGACCCTGAGCTTGCACTGGTGCGACGCTTTTTCTGACGTCGAATGAGCAGGCTTTTTGATATTTTCTTATTTAGGCCCTTCGCATGTCCATGGAAGAAGAACAAGCTCGGCAAGCAGCGGAAGAGCAAACACGTCAATCGGCTACCGATGCTCAGCCTCAGACGGAATCAGCAGGAGTAGACCATGATGACGAGGCAATGCTCGCTCAAGCTCTCGCCATGTCCGAACGCAATGATGTTGACATGGGTGAAGAGCAAGACGAAGACATGGATGAAGAAGAGGCAATTGCTCGGGCGATTCAGATGAGTATGAAGCAAGAGGAAAAAGAACAGGGGGGACAGTAGTACTAAATTTACATATTCTCACTTGTATTTTTCCATGAGCTATACTCCGATTTCTCGAACGGTTGTTAGTTTGATGTTAGCACGTTGGCGCTGAGCGTATGGACAAATACTCATAACAACTGGCACAGCCACTTCGACCTCATTCCGAGTCTGTTCGAAGTTTCCTTAAGTTTCTCCCTCGACGTCTTCTTGAAATCCTCCATGCCATCATCACTCGCTGCATCCCAGGAGGAGCTCAAGGCGGCCAAGGTGCCTTTAGCTTGGAGAGACCAGTGCTCAGCGTACGTACTTACTTTACCCTTCCGGTTGAGAGCGTATGGCCCACAATACTGTTGTCCGTGATACTCCAGACTCTTGATACCTTTGAATACCTGTCGGAGAGAAAACTATTATTTACCCTGGACTTGCGAGAATGAGCGCCACGGCTATGAGAAGTGAGTTAAACCTCTACTTTTCTATCTGTCGAGGGTCTGACCGATGCACACCCAACAGGTGCCAATACGATGAGTAGGCATTTCAACCACGTACCTACACGTATGACGCTCATTTTTTCTACAGCATGATGCGGAGGATGAAGAAAATGTCGAAACTGAAACTCCAGCAAGCAGAGTCGGCTGCAGAAGCTGCCGAAACTATCATCTAGAAGACTTTCTTAAGGACGCTTCATGTCAATCATTTTTGAGACATCAAATAATGCAACTAGATCGATGAGTGGTGTGATATGCTGAATGTAGGATGCTATTCTGTGCTGGAGTTTTACACTTTCCTCCCTGTCTCCTTCTCAAACTCTGAAATTTCCTTCTTTACCCTCTCAACGACCTCATCTGGTGTACTACTCTGCCCAAACGCTTCTACGAACTGCCCATTTGGATCCATGAGGTAGACGTATATGGAGTGATCGACGAGGTAGTCACCCTTGGGATCTGCGTTAGGCGGAGTGGAGAAGTAGACGCGGTAGGCTTTGCATGTGGTCTTCACGGTCGCATAGTCACCTGTGAGACCGATGATATGAGGGTGAAAGTCTGTGAGATATGTCTTCATTTGAGAGATAGAGTCGCGTGCAGGGTCAACGGAGATGAATACGGGGCGGAAGATGGTCCCATAATCCTTCTCTGTATTTGATGTGGTGAATGCGTGCCACGGTTGAAATAATCGATGAACACGAACCTAGAGACGTCAAGACTGAGCCAATCTTGTCTAATTCAGCAGGACATATGTCGGGACAGTTGGTAAACCCAAAGTAGACGAAGCTCCACTTCCCTAAGAGGTCTTTATCAGAGAAAGGCTTGTCTTCGTGAGTCGTTAGCGTGAATGGGCCACCGACATGTGGTCGTCCAATGCTTCGAGATTCGAGCTCCTTTTCTGTATGAAAAGTTTTTCTTGAAACACTTTAGGTGGAATGCAGAGAGGCACGTACGCCGTTGTTCGAGGAGTTTTTGCTTCTCATAATGGAAGTAGTAAAATAAACCAACGCCGGTTGCAACGAATAGAGCTGCAGCCTTTGGTGTAAAGACCTGGGATCAGATGCAAGAATGTGAACAGAGAATAACAGGTGAACTGAAGAAGCATACCCCGACAGCAGCTCTATCCCGTGCTCCCGACGTAAAACAACGTCTGCCATGTGCCGTTGCCTTGTTAGGGCGCGTGCACATAGATTGACGCTGGCATTGAATGCTACGACCTGGCAAACAGGGCCGCAGTGACCTGAAATACGTGGATGAGAGCTTGGACATTTTCAGGTCGAAGTTCCAAAAGCAGTCGAGCTTGACAATCGCATCTTCTCAACATCTCTACAGGCTATCTCTGCATCGCTACAATTTACAAATAATTGGATTTTCGCTTGCACACGGTTAATGCTGACGGGACCCGGGTGCTCTCAAATTAAACATGCCGCATCAGCGTCCTGCGTGCGCAGGCTGAAGCGCTGAAGGCCGCCGATAAAGCTTCAACTTGTTACATAATAAATGTATGACTTAGGTCAAACCACGTACAATGCGGTTCGCTACTCTAGCATATGTTACATTGGCAGCTGCCGCAACGCTGCAACCAGTCACTTCCAGCAACATCGAGAAAAGCGCACGTTCCTCCGAGTCCAATAAAACCATCATCGAGGAAGGTAGGTCGCACTCTTATCTTACGACGAACATCGAGTTTAATCTAGCAAAAGGATGGGGAACGGTGAAATGTGAGTACGGACTACTCGCTTTTCAATTGTTTCCTGACGTCAGAAATGATCGACAGCACTGTTTGACAATCCCTCGAAAATCACAGATGCGATACACGGTCAATTTGGTTACCTACTCATTCATGAGGCGCTGCTTACAACCTAACAGAAGGATTTGATTCTTTGTCTACTTCAGTACACACGTGGTGCGATTCGCATTTTCCGGACACGGGAGAGTCTTTTTGGGACAAAATCATGGAGCTCGGTCCAAACGTTAAGGAGTATGCGGACGAACTCTTTCATCACGCCGTGGAGTTGTATCCGTCCGAGAAGCTCACAGAGTTCAGGGAGTCTATGGTCAATGTCACTGCTACTGTCACTGTACTACACCAAGTCTGCAGCGGAGCCGCAGAGGACAGTGGCGCTTCTCTTAACTCCGTAATAGAAGAACATGGAGATATCTTCGTTGTCCTATTCAAAGAGCTGATGGAGATGTTCCCGCCACCCGAGGAGGCTCCCGGTCACGACAACCGTACAATCATGGTCAACACGGCCCTTGACCGCATCGAGGAAGGTTTTAAACAGGTTGCCACCAAGCTCGGAGTCAGCGAAGAACTATTGAAAAGTCACTCTGATTCTCTCAAGTTCGTTGTTCAGCATGTTGTCGTAACCACAGGCACGTCATGAGCATCTGACCGTTCCGGAACATTGACGACATTATATTACATGATGCAGGAGACCTTGTTGAACAGCATCCCGACATTGCCAACACCCTCTTAATCATTGCGGTTGCAGAGCTGTTGCCCTTATTGTTGCCTGAGATCAGCGTATTACTTGAGGGATGGTTTCTTCGCCCACTTCTCCGCAAGTTTGGATTTGGACCGCAAGGACCGATCAAAGGTATGTTTTTGTATATTGTTGCGGTGCTGAGCAGTACATCATTGTGACGTTTTAGGTGGAATTGCTGCGTGGTTGCAACGTTGGATATTTGGTGCCACCATCCGAGAGGGTAGCTGGTTTGCGGTGCTCCAGCACCTAGCCATGATTGGTACAAAGCTTTAAGTGTCTTTGAAGTTTTCAAGTTTCAGCAGTGGTTTGTTTCATGACATCGAAACCCTCGGGGTCTGTTTTATGTTTGTACTTTAGAGACGATTTTTTGATACCTCAAGTGTATTCCCGATTTCCCGTTGTAAATATGCTTGCCTACGAGCATGATGTCTTCATGAAATCAAGCCTAGTGCTGAGCACTTGGACCCAGCTGAGCAGTCCGTGACCTTCCCTCTTTGCAATGAATCGTGTGGCTGACTCTGCTTTAGCGCACATATAGGGCCCATATGCTGTAGGTTGTTTGAATCACATGACTCGTAGCATGCCTTAGCGTAGCGTGGTTGGCAGTTGCCGCCTTAACCAGTGAAAATCGTTTACTGTTCGAATATCTAGTGCCGTCGCACGTGTTAGGTTTTCAACCTCGTACTCAAAAAGATGGGCCTGATACTAGGTACTGGATTCATATATGCTCGGTCATTTCGACGTCGATAGAACGAAAGGTATGAACTTCAATCATCGAGGAAACATAAATTCAGCAGAAGCTACATTAAATATGTAGCCAGAACACAACTAGTATAAGGCTATAACCGTCATGTCTTATATTAGGTCAAGTAGATACTGCAGATTAGCACCAGCTAGTATCGTATCATGAGGTAGAGGGATCATTACTTATAATAGAGAAATATCTAAGTAGGATACGGGTTATCCTGCAGACCCTGATAAATCAAAATGAGTGGCACATCTACTACTATGCAGATGAAGGGAGGGGCGCTGGTGGCGGGTAAAGGTTAGTGGACATATTAGCAGCTACATCGTAAAGATCGAGACCCGTACCCCCCAACTGTGAGGGTAGATAGCCTTGAGTGAGCGTTTTCTGGAGCGATGATTACCGACGTGTGATCACGCGGCAAATAGTTGCTCGATGACTACATCGCCCCGTGTCTGAATATAAACAGGGTGCTCAAAGAGTTGGCTAACGCGTCGGGGGTTTGGGTGTCACGAAAACATGAGTGGGGCGGGCAGCTGCCGCCCGACTCAGATACAACATGAGATAACTGAGGCAGCCAGAACAGCCGATCGACCCATAGCAGTGCTCGTGCTAGGTTGTGAGAGCAGTCCGATGCAGACGGCTGTAGTGACCCTTCGCCAAGCGTGCCGTGCGAGAGAATCGGATTAGAGTGCTTGGAAGGAATGGTCACATGCTGTAAGGAGGCTGAGCGCTGACCTGTTCATGTGTCTTGATAGCGATAAAAGCAGATTGATGACATCTCTGTTCAGCATTGGGCTGGAAAGACGGAACCGGCGAAATTGCGGATATTTTATTCCGGTATCTAACCAATACTGTCGTTGTGATGTAGAAGGAACAAGCGAGTGGCGTATCTTGTCAGAACGCGGGACCACCGACCAGACAGTGATCGGGAGGATGCCGGAATAGAACATGCTGTGCTTACTCTGCGGCCTCCATTCCCTTTCAGTCACGGTCAGGAGCTCGCCGTATTATTGATGGGCTTGGGTGACATCGATGCTAAAGTGAGACTTAGTACCGGTACTACCTGTTTAGACGCACACGACGGCTTGCTGCAGACCTAAGATACTGCTCGTGTGACTATTGCAAGATTGCACACACTGGCATTGATAAACTTGTATGGGCCAGATTAGCTCGCAACCAAAAAACCAATGCATATCTTGATAGAGACCTGAGAAAAAAATAGTCGGGATGAGAATTCTGGGACCTGCCACCCCTTACGGAGTGGGACATCAAGTCAATGTTGCGCCTTCCATTGCAAGAGAGATTACCAACATTATTTTACTGTACTATGTCGTTGGAAGTAAACTAAGGCATTGCGAAGGCGGCATTCAGAGCAGGGACTCTTGGTCGATGATTCAATATTGAATATTGAGGACTCCTGCAATGACCCCAAATGGATGGCTTTGCCTAAAATGGACTCAATACGGGAAGTTGGCATGCAAAGCATCGCCCACAACTTCAATACGTGCTTGTCGGGTCGGTTAAAGAGGCGCAACAACATTAGATTAGTTGCCGTGGTAGGTGCCCGTCGGGACCTTGGCGGTGTACCAAACGCTCAGGTGTTTCGCCACAGAAGTTTGAAAAAAGGGGGATGATTGCTTGCGACGTAATCATAATGGCTAAGAGTTATGCCATGCCGGCTGCAGTGACCACAAAGAATGATCAGAATCTGCTCACGGCTGCCAGGTTGTGGCAGTGGCGCTGACTGCAGAACAAGGTCGCACGACCGCAGACATAATGCAGTCCGTTGAGTTACTGTTAATTTTGGAAGTCGCCTGAAGGCTGAAATATCCATAACTGAGAAAGTAGGCAATGGCTCTTGGCCCGCGCCCTTTGGCGTTTGTTACATGCCAGTACTTGAGATGACAATGATGTGGCAGCAGGACTGAAAACCACTTGTCACCGGCATTTCTGAGCTATGGGAACATTCAAATGTTGTCGACGTGGAAGGCAAGCAATTGAAACCCCGCGCATAACCCAATAATATGGGGAAGATCACGGCGCTCAGGTACATACTCTTTATTTGCCACATTAGGGTGATGTCAACTACATCAGTTCATGTATATCTTGATCGATCACATGCCCAGTGACAGTCGGACATGGGCTACTCCGAGCGCGCGCGTAGCCACGCAGTGGATATGACACATCGAATCATCAGTAAATCAATGAGTCCTCGATATTGTAGCCGCACGAACTGTGCAGAACGCTACCTTCCCAGTATAGTTCACGTCTGGAGAGATCTTGTTCTTGACCTCTGGCATGCTCGAATGGGATATCGGCAAGAGCGCTGTTGCACGGCTCGTCGGATTGGCAAGGGGGTAACTGTGGCCCAGGTCTTCAGTGATCTACGGACTCTGACACAGCTTTGTTTTGTTGTGAATATTGTTTCATTACTAAATACCCTACGTCAACCCTTTCACTTCTCTGAGACCGAACGCACTGGACCTAAGTTATTCACTTTGATATTTGTGGACTCGTACCTGTCGTCCCAGTAGGTCTTTTCTCAACAATAAAATGAGTGTTCTTAACTGCTGGCTTCAAAGGATCAGGCCCAGGACATTCGTCAAACCGGTTGCGCATGTTGGGGAACTGGGTTCGTAGGTCAAGTTTTCAGGTCCACCAGTACTCTGGCTTTCCTTATTAATTGTTTGTTTATCGATGATGGCCTTCCTTGCAAGGTTGCCAAAATTATAACAGGTATATTTACTAAACATTGTTCAATCAAGATCTAAACCTCCCTCAGCTATCGTGGGAGGCATTCCCTGGTGATGGTCATAGATCGGACACAAACGATCCCATTCATCTGTAAAACCGTTCAGCAATAGAAGTACAGATTCTTCACGTATGACCTACATGGCACGGGGCTCACATGTACACCAGTATCTGAGGGACTTTCCGCCATTACCACGGCAAAACCGCTGGATTTGAAGAATTAGGTATTTCGTTCACGGGAAGATTTACACACGTACTCATTAAGGTGCCAGTCAATGTGACTGTTGGTTCAGAGTCAGTATCCTTCTTGACAGCTCGATAAAAATGATGTCGTACCAATGCAAGAACCAGGGGCCAGAATTGTCGGTCACCCATCGAATCACCATTTGTTGCCCAGCGCTCCCAGCGCTGACCACATCGCGACGAACAGGGTTCGCGTAGTTGAAAGTACTGCTGCCCGCGCTCTGTACGACATCAAATGTATGCTAATGATCATGAGTACCAGCCAAACATGCCCTCGAAGTCACGGCGAACTTACCCCATGAAGGTGTATAGGATGCTGGTACAATAAATATCAGTCGAATAAATATCGAATGAAAGGAAGAGACGTACAGGTCCACCTGGACCGGTTATTGCCATCGTCAACTCTACCACTTTGTTGGCCTCGAGAACGTACACACTCCCCTTTGGAAGTAGCTGAGAAGGGTCTTGAGCTCCACTAAGAATTTGCAGTAGAACAGGAATGGTGGGGGATTGGAATGTGACATTATTAACATAGAATGTCAGGTTAGTGACGGTAACCTCGAGGTTGAGGTTGATATCTGCCTTCCCATACTCGGGAATGCCAGGAGCACCGGGATTGATTAGAGCATGCAAGTTTGTCTCTTGCAATGGGTTCGTGGACGTAGTATTGACCGTAGTCGGGTCAGCCTTTGGGGCGCCTTTGTAGCGTAGGATAGCAGAGTTCATTCCGTTGTCGTAGGTCGCATTCGCTGTATCAGGAAGACTGCGCATCCAGTAGTTATCTACTGGCTGGTCGGTTACTAGCACCACAGAGTAGCGCTGAGCCGCAAAAATCTGGAGCTGATCTACCACCAAAGGTTCTGTCAGCACTCCATCCGCTTCGATAACAGTCAAGTTGTGGCCATCGATAGAGAACAGGACATTGGAGTCGCATGACATTTGAACCAGGCGTAAGCGATATCGCCTTTCCGGTCTGACATTAATCACAGCGAGCTCAGACTCGGGACCGCCAGCATAGCGACCGAGTCCATTGATGAGCATAGACTGGGCAACAGGTATCTTGTCACGTAATTGGGGGGCTACAGTATGATACCTAGTGATCCTGATTTAATCGGGCATATCATCCATGATCGTATAACTCACCAGTCGGCAAGCGTGATCACGGTACTTGCTGGAAACACATCATGGTTAGATGGTTCGTATGAACCAATTTCTCGCTCACCATCGTCGATATCGTACATGTATGCCAAAGGGTCTTGAGGATCATAAATTACCAGGGCTCCCCTGAGACCATCGCACTGTTCCATAGGTCAGTCATCTGCTGCGTATGCAAGGCTCGGGTGATACGTGCATATTGAACAGAATAATGACTGTGGTACCAGAAAGTGCCCGCCTGGTTCGAGGCGGAGAAAGAATGCAAAAATGAGTGGTTCGGCGTGATGGGGCATTGTGTAACGAAGGCCGTCCCATCGGCATAGTTCGTCCCATTCTGGGAGATACCATGCCAGTGCTGTCGTGGACAAGGTCAATTTTAACAACATTGATAATTTGACACTACTTACGACAGTGGTAAGCTCGAACATCGAGTCGTCCTTGAGTTTGTTAACTACCTCAATGTCAAAGTGATCACCCTATTGTGAGGTCAGCACTGCCCAACAAGGAGCTCAACAAAAAGTTCACCTTCTGGGCTGTAATTAAAGGTCCAGGAAATGTGCCATCAACAAGAGTTGCTCTGCCGAAGATCAGAAGTGAGCGTTGAGTGCCGTGATAATAGACTCACGAGCGTTGGAAGCCATCGGGAGCGATGACTCTATTACCTATGGTTAATCTGGTTTTGGGGCCATCTACAGCGGGCTGAGACAGTGGGTAGGACTGTGAGCGAGATACTACAGATGCAGCATTAGTTGATGAGATGAGGGAAATGATTAGAAAAAGAATAAACATCGCGATCATTCACGATAGGTGGTAATACTGTTGTTAGCGAGAGTAGTGGAAGTAAAAAAAATTATATCCTGCAGCTTTTATCTTGCAGCAGTAGAGTGTTTCTGTCAGTACATTTCGACTTATTGGCGTGTGATTGCACCGCAAGGTATCACACAGCGCCCCGGTCTCAGCAGTGTACTTCTCCGGGAGTTAGCAACGATCTGTCAATGCGTTCAAGAATGATGACATACCGCAAAACCATGACTCGGGCACAATCCAAAATAACTCAGACGGCAAAACGGCCAACCGACTCCACGTAATGTTAGAATGCCACCACAGCGCGAATCAGCTCTTCATGCACAGGAAAAGAAAAATGACAATCACTAGTGGTGTCCCTTCGTCAAGTACAGCGGCTAGGCGATAGTATCGGACTAGCAATTGCGAGACAGATATGGTCACACGTTATTCCTAGCACTAGTGGAGCGGGGCATCCAACTAAACCTAGACAAACAAGGCAGAGCAGAGCAGAGCAGGTGCAAGCGAGTGTTGCGGATCAGCAGGAGACTCGGCAAAGCCCGAGATCACGTCAGTACATACATGTGTAGCGCACGGCAGCAGTAGCACTCAGACATCAGCATCGTCCTCGTTCCTCCTCTTCAGAGAGCAGTGCAGGCCGGTCGACCAGTCACGTCAGTGAACCGGCGAGTTTTGTTGGCGATTATGCTGATTGTGGTGCATTTACATGGACATATATTGCTTTATATTCCAATGTGACGAAATCCTTTTCTATATGTTACGATATATAACGATATGACAATATCTTCTTCTCACCGGTATTCTGATGTATGTGCTCGTAGCATGTCAGGACTTTGGCAGTGCCGACTGTGTACTGGGCGCTTAGCTGCCTGCACAGAATTCTGAAGATGCAGTGGCTGCCAGTACCAAATACACGACCGCAGATAGGCAGATAGGGAAGTTAGTTTATACGGGGATGAAATCCAAGAGGTCGGAGTCGTTGCGGTGAGACGCAGTCACGATGGCCTGGATCGTGTTCAAAGTCAGGCAGCTACCCAAAAATATCAAATCTCGATTCACACCTTGGTGGTTTATAATTACTTAATATTGTCTGCAAACTTCCTACTAGTACGGAGGAAAGAGATGTTAGGCGGATGAGCTGCCATTTTAGTAGTTCGAGAAATAAATGACGTAGTTTCCCGGAGTTTCCCGGCACCACAGAGTGTTACCGTAGTTCTTCCCTTTTGACCTATCGTCGACGCCCAGCTCGGCATATGCTGCACATATCTTCACTCCTTATCCTTATCGTTCCTTGCACCCACACGCAACTCCATTTCGTAGAACCTTCATCACTCGATATATCGTCGTTGGCACATATCTGTATATATGATATATAATTTTGGCGCATCTGGTCACGTCGCATAAGAGCCGGCGCATGGTCGAACTCGTAAGCAGGTTTCCCGCCTTCCCAGCGGCTCCACCTGCTTGGCACTTGCGTCCGACCCCGAGTTAGCGCTCGGACCAACATAACACAATTAGATCGTGTCACCGACTCTAGCAGAGCCAGACGAGGAATAAACTGCGCATAAATGTCCAAAAATAACACCCCGTCGAAAGCTCAACTGGCCATCACCGCGGCCGCAGAAAATCCGAACGGACACACCTAGTGGTTCGACCGGAACCTTGACTGGCACGCAGATGACCGCACGGAGGTTACCGTTAAACGAATTGTTCGGGTGGACCGAGTCTTACGCAACGATCCTATCACTAGTCCCAATTGTGACCAATGCACCCTCAAAGCTGCAGCGCATGGCATCTACTAGTAAATGGGCTGCTGCCAACTGTGATGACGAGAACACTTTCATCTCTCCTGACTCGATTGAAGCATACCTCGATGCTCCATGTGTCTCAAGAACCGAGAGATCCTCGCTGCGGGCGGAGTTCTTCAACATTGGGGGAGTGCTCGTGCTACTTGGCCTCGACTGGCCCAAATGTTTCTTGATTTTTTGTTTGCACCTGACATGTAGGCTTACGAGTGGTATTGGCGGCAACCTAATACTCTGTAGCTTCTTCAGTTGATGCTGAACGAGCCTTCTCTGGTGGTTGTCTACAAAAGTTTGGGTTCGAACCGAGGTCCAGAATCGAGCAGCAGCAGCACATCGCCAGATATCAAAACCAACAAACTCATTCACGCTATGACTTGGCAGCAGGATAATCACATTCGCAGCATTACAAAGGTGCTACATAAGAGTGGAAAAAATTAATAGAAAAAAGATATGTTGAAGTAAAGTTGAAGGCCTGGTAAAGGGGCGTAAGTCGCCGAAAGAAGCTAAGTTAAAGTTGAAATAAATTACAAGGGTGCAAGTCGCCGAACTGCGGACAATTAATCGGAAGGAAGTCGTGTAAGATGGTAGTTGTTCACGTACCAATGTTTGCAGCAGTCCGAAGTGGATAGAAGGGTCAAATCGGCCATGAATGGTCTCGGGTCATGATGGAGTTGAAGTGAAGGGTGCAATTCGCCGAACTGCAGGTGACGTATCAAAGCAGATTGTATAGTATAGTAGTCGTTCACATACCAGTATTTGCAGCAAGCCATAGTGGGTCGAAGGGGCAAAGTAGGCTACGAACGGTCTCGAGAGGCATGAGAGGTTGCGAGGCTCGTGAAGTCAGCGGACCATGAAACGCTTGCATGTCATGCGGCTGTGCGACTCGTTACAAAAGGCCGCAGCAGGAAGAACGCATTGGGGCGGACCTCTGTGGATCGTCACGCGGGGCATACAACACGCAAGGTGATAGGGATGTTGACAAGTCGCAAAGGTCAGGAGAGTTGGTGAAGAATCTTGATGAGGTCGTGAAGTGTCATGAGAAGTCGTAAAAGGTCGTTAAAGTCGTTAAATCGTGAAAAGTCGTCAAAGTCATAAAAGTCATTAAGGTCGTAAAGTGGGTCGGAACAAGCAGTCAAAGGTTTTCACAGAATGTCAACGGTCGTGGAGACCGGTCGTGTGTGCCTTGTTGTTCTGCGAGTCGCTACGAGGGTAGTAGACATGTGATGTCATGGGGAGCCATGGTCGGGGAATGACAGTGATAGTGAACGTCGCAAGTCAAAGTGAGCCACTGTTATCCGGGTGGAACATGAACGCCCGGAAACAAGAGCCACCATGCATGGTAACGAAGAATATTGCACCTGACGTGTAGGAAATGTTACCAGGTGCTGCATGCCAGCAGCAAAGGGGGGATGGAATACCGAGCGTGGAATAAGACATCGTGCGATGGCAACCTGCGCAACGGGGGAAGAGAAGGATGGTATCCGCGACCAGCAGGAGTGTGCAAGAAAACGTCGTGAGCTTATAGGGGCCACAGGCGTTTGAAACCATGCAAGGGCGACGGAAGGCAAGGGTGGGCTAGGAGATCATGCGGTGCTGAACTGCGGCGCAGAAGAAGAGGGTGATGCCCACGACCAGCCGAAGTGGTACAAGAAGTGTGGTAAGCTCGTAAAGAGCCACGAGCATTTGCAACGCAAGGCGACAGAAGGCAAGGGTGGGCTGAGACATCGTGCGGTGCTTAACTGCGACGCGAAGAGGAAGAAAATATCCGCGACCAACCGAAGTGGCGTAAGTGAGTGTGGTAAGCCCGTAAAGAGCCTCAAGCATTTTAATCCACGCAAGGACCACAGAAGGAAGGCAATGGTTGAGATTTCATGGGGTGCTGAAATGCGAATTGAGACGAGCCTGCAACGACCAGAAATTACTGGAGTCTTGCGAGAGATTATCGCAAGGCCGTGGAAATCTCACGCACGATGTTGTCGTCATAAAGGAAGCCCATTATGTTTTGTGGAGGCCGTAAAGGTGGCCCTGAACAACCAGGGCAGAAAATGCGAGGAATCATGTACATCGGTATGGCGTTTGGATCGTGCTGCAAAACGAAATTGCCAACTGCAAATGATTGGAGCTGCGCAAGAAATTATGGGTAAGTCATAGAAGGCGCAATAACTAGGAAACTTTACAAAGATGATGGCACGAGGACGTTTTCGGATACGTTGGAGTGCTGCAAAATGAACTGACGACTGCAAGAATAAACTGCCAAGAACTAGAGCGCGAAAGGGTGGTAAGTATAGTGGAAAGGGCGAGAATTCAGAAAGCCTTACAAGGGTGCTGACGCAAGTGCGCGGGGAATATGATAGAATACTGCAAACAATCGGAGAGACGATGAGCAATATAGAAACGAACCAGGAGTTAGAGATCTTACAAGAATTAAGGATAGAGGAACTTCGTGATGCTGCAAAATGACAGACAAGAACAAAAAATAAATGGGGGTACCACCAAGTTACCCAGGAATGTTGAAGGTTGAAGGTGAAGAGAGAAAAAACAAGACAGGACCAAAGGGGAAGACCGAGAAGTAGAAAGAATGAGAGTATGGGGTTTTGTCGTTTTCTGTATGATATCGAGACTGAGGTGCAAATAGAAACCGATACGATGCAAGTTCGAGAAAATCTGCTGCTGGAAAGATGATAGAATGGAATCTGTGTTGGAAGTAATGTCGCATCAGGATTGAAACTGGGAGGTGAAGGTTGACAGTGGACGTGTGGAAGTCCAGCGATCGAGATGTGATCTTGATGCACCGCCCTGTCAATCCAGTTCCGAAAGGACTCCTCGTCCTTGATACAAGACTCTAGGTGGCATTGCTATTGAATCGAAGATCAAGGTCGAGCTGCGAGAATTCCTTAGACGCGAGATTGGCATTATTCGGGATCCCAGACCAGTGTTCGTCGGTGAACGGAATACAACTCTCAATGAAACCCTGCGTTCGTGGCCCACCGTTAGTGATATCGATACACGAGTGTGCGTCAATCAGGTAGCCGGATTGAGTCGGGGTGGCGGGGGTGACAAAGAAGCATCCGGCGGGTGAGCGACGGTGGTTAGAACCAGGCAGGAAGGGGATGGTGGGATCTGTCATCGGAGCAATGATGACTACCTCATCGTCTGTAGTCTATATCCGAGACGGACACCAGGGAGGGAGTCGAGCCGTAATCGTCAACAGATCCATCTTCAGTTTCCGACAACGATGACTTCGAGTCGGACGAGGTAAACCTAGGGTAATTCTCATTGTCGCAATCGTCGTCGCGGTCGAAGTCGACAATTGGATACTTGTCATCCACGGAAAGTCGCAAGTCCTCATTGACAAACCGAAGGAGGTCGAAGCCATCGTTGTTGACTTCTAGGATTGAATCGTGGATGGGCTGTTGGTGGTCATCAGTCTGTTCGTCGAGAAGTCGGATAAGGTCGAGAATCGCGGACTCTGAGATACCACCAGAGATATGGTTTATAGATGTTTCCAATTCGTCCGTGGAGAGCTGGTGAAGGTCCGATGTAAGCTCCTCATTGGCACTGTACTCATCCTGTTTGGAAATGGAGCTTAGCACGCGGCCCTCGAAAAAACCTTGAAAGATGTCCTTTTCGTCGGCTAGGGAGCATGGACAGTCGGGCGGTGGAAAAAGTTGCTCGTTGCAGCCATTTAGCTTCAGATGCGGGTCGACATCCTCTTGGACGGCAAAAGAACAAGTCTCGTCCTCGAGGAAGTCCAAGTAGTCCCATGTTGGAGAAGTGTGTTTCCTCGCTGGATGAGTATCGTCGCATTCCTCGTCACAGCTGAAGCTATTGTAAAATTCGACTTCCTCATCGATAGACCGCAAAAGATCGTCCATGAGGCGGGAATTGATATCTTGATAGTCCTCCTGCTCTGCTCCGAAGACATGCGTTTCAGCAAGAGAACGGTGATATCGCAAAGGGATGCCACTTTCTGCGCTAAGAGCATCAGCGTACTTGCTGAAATCCACTTGGCCATGGCGACGGGCAATGGGCGCGACGGGGGACATGTCGAATGCTTGAAGAACGATATCTGAGGGAGGATCGAGCTTACTCGCGAGTGCGCTAGCCAAGTCGGACATTTCGACAAGACCATGTCGGCGGTCATCAGGGGAACGTAGTACAGCAGGAAGGGTCGGAGGAAAGGGTAGAGAACCCGGTAGAGTAAGGAAGGCACCGCCCCGAAGCGTTGTACCAACAACTGAGATGTCAAAGTTGTACGATCGAGCAGGCCACTCGCACGCAACGACAGTCATATGATACTCGCAAGTGATTTCGGGGACGTCTACGTGTGGTTCGACGGTCCCCGACAGCAGGGAACTATGAAGAGTTGCCTCTACCGATTCTGAAGAGTAAACTGAGATATCGTCATCGGATTCTTCATGCTGGGGTCCATCTTCTTTCTTGTCGAACAGACCCAAAGGGCGCTGGAAAGACTATATAAGTACCGCGGTCAGCCACCAATGTCGAAAAGAGGCCGGATTACGCACCAAGGGATCGACGAAATTCTCGTCGGCGACGGTTATAGCGATAGTAGGGACTGGAAGCTACGGGTAAAATAAAAATGGTTAATGATGGTGATGATACGAGACTATGTTACATACCTTAACTCCACACTCGTAATCCGCCTCCGTAACGTCTACCTCCCCCAACTGGCCATCACGCAGTTGATCCTCACTTATTTGGCTGGTCACTGCAGTACCGGTTTGGACCATGGGAATCTGGAAGCATACGATGTCAGCCTCATTTGGAGCCATGACGACAGGAGATCAGCCGCATACCACGTCAACGTTGCATGTGCCAGAGGCAACATGCTTGACCAGTTGGCTACTTCCCAACTGGAGCACTGAACAATCGCAGGTCAGAGATGTATCGTATGGTGTGTCGGACGGTGAGCAAAGCACTGAGTCATCGCGGGGCAAAATGACTGGTAGTACAAGGCCGGGCAGCTTGGGCTTGGACATAGTGTCTTTGTGACGACGACGGTAGAAATATCCCACCACGGAAACGATAGCGACTGCGAAGCACACGAGGCCACCTTTCCAAAGATCATAGGTAACGACGGTCGTGCTAGTGGGCGAAATGGTTGAAGGAGTGACAAAAGGCCCCGAGAGGGTGGTGGTTGAATGCACTGCGGAAAGCAACATGAGAGTAGATGTGGGGGCCATAGTAAAGCAAGAAGATGATGGCAAGATGAAAGCAGTACACTGGGCGTTCAAAAGATGCGGAGGCGCATATAAACTAACAAGAATTCGGAGGCTGACAGTACTGCTAGCACTGTCAACCACTGTCAGCCATCATTGCATCGTTATCATATACATACTTCGTCATGGCGTGTCTATCACAACCTGACATCACCGCGTATATGGGTGATATGGATGACTTGCTGGATGTACCAGTAATCGAATTCATGTCATGACACTCTTCATTGCTACCGAACTGACAACGATATTGTCAATGATGGAACGCTCTCGATCCAGGTTCCCTTGCACCTCTTTCAAAGCTGACTCTGAGTCCAATTTATAATGCTGGAAAGGAGATAAGATTCTTCATATCGCACCGATCTGTTGCTACATACCTTTTTGATAATCGACCAATCCGTCATTTGACTCAGCACTTGAAAAGGAACCATACGCCCTTGGATGATGTCGCACATGCGACGCTGTAATTCAGGGGTATTTGAGACGTCCACGCGGACAACAATGAGTTTGGTCGACTCATCCGATACCCCGTATCGTCGGATGGCTTCAGTGATCTAAAGACATTTTTAATGAAAATCAACCAATTATCGAGTAGATAGTTACACGTACATTATTGGTGGGGTTCAGTGCCCATAGTATCTCTGAGTGGACAGTTTTAGTCCGAAGTTGGCCCTGCGCCTCTGACAAGAGTGCCTGGTAAATTGCTGTCTGAAGGTGAAGTGGGCTTGATATCTGGGACACGTTGTCAGCAACAATTCATCAGGACCGGAGTAGATATTCCTACCAGCCGTGCGTCAATGAAGGCGAAGTTGACAGCTTTACGTTCAGTGTTCCCATCAACACCAAGATTTCTAGCGGCCTGAACAATACGAGACCTGATAGCAGCAGCATTTGTCACATCATCGAATAAAGCGACATGAACGACCGCATGATTGAACTGAGAGTAGTAGTATGTCTCCATCGATCATGGCAGTGAGCAAGAACCAAATAATACATACTTATCTTGCATTGCCATCGTAAGCGCTCACCACGACTTCGTTTTCAACTGCCATCATCAAGTCATACATATTTTACGTTCTTGACTTAGGACTACTATTAGTGGTCTGGAGTCCATGCTGGCATGCGATTCATCATGATACCTTCACCATTGTCGCTTTTCACAACATGGTTCGTGCTTCAAGCCGCTGCCGCCCCGGCGGCAGGCTCACAGGTCCTGACTCCTCAAGATTTCAAGCAGACAATCGCAGATGGTGTTTGGTGCGTCCTTTTCATAAGGCACCTTATTTTTTTTTCAACAAGGAGAGTAGGTTCATCGAACATTTTTCCCCATATTGTCGGCATTGTCGTAACTTTGAACCAACATGGAACCGTGTAGTAGACAAATTTGAGAAACAACCTGATCTAGGGATACATCTGGCGCAGGTGAATTGCGCGTTGAATGGAGGTGAGCGAGCCCTCTTAGTTTCCCGGGCCACTGACAGACCTTCTCAATTGTGGAAGACTTGTGCACCGAGAATGGTGTTACAGGATACCCTCAAATGAACCTCTACAGGAACGGGCAGTTTGTAGAGACCTTCACTAAAGATCGCGACTTCGATATCCTTGTAGACTTCCTTCTTCCGCATGCTGAACCTACCGCAAATTCCTTGTCATCCTCAACTGCGGTTGAGCAGGAGGAAATGGCGGCCGAGATCGTTCCTGTAAACGAGAATTCGGTAGTTCAGGTATCACAAGCGGAATCCAACCCTTTAGGAGAGGTGATATCCTTAACTAGTGAGACATTCGACAACTTTGTGGCCCAGGCGCCTACATTCGTCAAGTTCTTTGCGCCGTGGTACGCGTCGATTATAGACCAAAATTTGCTTTAACAATCGTTCATTAGGTGCGGACACTGCAAGAAACTTGCTCCCGTGTGGATACAGGTTGCTCGTCGAATGCAGCACAAGCTCAATATTGCGCAAGTCAATTGTGATGAGTTTAAGTCGCTATGCACGAAGCAAGGGGTCACAGGTTATCCTATGCTGTTCTACTACTCTCATGGCGCAAAGACAGAATACTCAGGAAGTAGAAAATATGAGCCACTCGTGGCTTTCGCTGACAAGGCAGCATCTCCGTAAGGAAACCCCTTCCAGAGTCGTAGGGCGCTTTTTGATGTCTGCTACAGGACCATGCAACCAATAAGTGCTCACGATCTTGACAAAGTTGTTCATGAACATCCTGTTGCGTATGTCCTCCTACTTTCTTCATCAGATGAACATGTTGTTGTACGTACACCGCATTATGCGCCTTGTTTGGTACTGACGATGTTTCAGAGTGAGGTCGCTAAGGACTCTCAATTGCTCCTCGGGTCGCCCCCGGTATTTGTATCATCCTCCAAGGAACTCTTTACTCGCTACGAGATCCCAACGACAGAATCCTGGGCCATCCTGGCATTCAAAGATAATGACCCAAAGGAACCCACCTCAATTTTTAACTCGTCCATTCCTGACACACTTAGTACTTGGCTCTTTGCCAACCGCCTTCCAACTTCCCTCGAGCTCTCACGTGATGTGTTTCAACAGGTAATGAATGCTCCACACAACCCACTCGTTGTGATCGCTGCAACGCCTAACGACGTCCAAAATGATGTATCATTGAAGTTGAACGATATCGCAAAGAAGTGGCGCCTGCGCAAGAGCTATGTTGGCAGACAAGACGTTGTATTCACGTGGATGGATGCTGATCAATGGGGAAGTTGGATGAAGAGTATGTACGGTGTGAAGGTTAATGACCAGCCGAAGGTGGTGGTTGCTGATCATAATGTAAGTAAATTGTAATTCCTGTTCTTTTCATGCACCATAGCTAATAATTGGATAGCGCCTGGTCTACTGGGATAGGGATACTACTGGGCAGCCCATTCAGCTAAACGCAGTCAGCATATTCTCTGCTATTGAAGGAGTTTACAGCAACAAGATACGTTCCAAGCACTCAGAGAATATCCTGGAGCGCCTTCTTCGGGTATGCGTCACTACTAAGTCATTATCAACTCCCTCACTTACAACTCCATACACAAAGGTCTTCAACTCAAGTCTCACAAACACCGAGGGTTTCATTATCGCGCATCCATACATGGCCGTCCTGCTGATTCTTGGATTTTTAGCGGCGGTCGTTATGGCGATCAAAAAACTTTTGGATGACGATACAGATCTGCAGCCTGGACATAGGTACATCAAGGGTGGTCGTCTAGATTGATTTATGGACACTTTTCTTAAACTCAATTGTGAATTACCAGGAGGGAGTCGGCGTGATTGTCGGTAGGCCAGATCGCAAGGCCAGAAATCGAAGCACCAAAACACCCTAGTTTTGGGTTATCCCTTCGTCATCCCATAAGTTACGGCATTATATACACATGATACATGCGTGCTTATTTTCGGAAGTGACAGTACCTCTCGAGTAACACCTGATTCGTAATGCACAACGCACTTCAGATCTTCAGAGCTCACAACTCTACATAAATTTCATTCGGAACAGCTGGAGAACAAGTATTAGCATATACTCAGTAAGCCTACCGAATCACAATTTAAAATCGACACTGGAGCCTTCCCGAGATGAAACATTGTGCAAGTGTACAGTGCACAACAGATAGAATAGTCTGACCTGGACTTAGATATTAACAAAGAAGTTTCATGTTCAGTCTCGGATGGTGAAGGTTGGATTGTCAGCCTACCAGAGCATTTCCTGAAATCCCGGATGCATGCCCTACCAAAGTTATCCAAGCATTTTATCGGAAAACATGGCGCTACATGGACACTTATAGGTGCGCATCTTAACACTATAGTTCGCGTCTAGCCTCTCAGTGTTTGTGCCCATGCAGGAAGGGCCTTAATGCTAAGCAAGCTGAGTATGCTGTGAAGAAATACCGCTCTCATCACAAAGTCGGTGCAGGAATCATGATGGATATTGCTATAATGGATAACTCCAAATAAGTACATGTATTTCATACACTCGCAATGGTCCAGCGGAAGCCGCAAACATGCTTTTTCTTTGCTGCGACCAGTGGCGAGGAGGAGCCTGGAGCGGTTGCTAAAAAAGGAAGGTGGCAGTGTTAGTGGCGTGGGAAGTCCCAATATGAGATCGTCATTTTTTCAAATCTAAGAATTTTAACAAAGTAACCAGATAGGATTGTAGCTAGGTTCAAACGGAGGCGATTCCACTACTTTATGTGTAAATCAGATGGGATGGAGTGATGTAGAAAGTGACCTCTGTTTGTGCTGTGGCAGAGGTTGGTTCTTTCCATTTTGCACTAGGGTATGGGTGAAAACTCTTCGAGCAGTTATTAACACAGTTAATTAGCATGTCGCTCGCAGGGAATTATAACAAGCAAGTTATTAACAAGTTTTTAACAATCATGTGACCAAAAATTCAAAATTTTCACTGAGTTCTCTACCAGTTGGTCCACTTGGCATCTGCATCCTCCAGGTCACTAGGTCCATCACTGCTGTGGCTGTCATTTGCTAGAGCCTGGTCAGCTACACTCTCATGTTTATCTGACAAGATCCTTGTCACAATTGGTGCATGGATATCCACTTCAGCCTTGACCTCAAAGGCTGAATCTTGAGCTGGCACAGATGTGACTGCCTCATCCAGCCAAGTATATTCTTCATTGAGCATCTCTTCCTCTCCATCAGCAGTGTCCACAGATAAATAGCTCCCTGTTGATTCATGCTTTTCTGTCTGGTCCACACTGGCAGGGGACTTAGTAGGAGTAGAAATTACAGACTTGATGTCGCAGAATGCAACATCAGGCCACTGTCTTTCTGCGATTTTCTGTGCATGGTTAGCTCCAGCTTGAATCAGATCAATACATGACTAACCTCAGGATCATACATGTGCCACTGCCAAATTTGTGTCATATCAACAAGGGTGCAGACTGTTACGATACGTGGTCGGACCCCTATCTCTTTTCTCACGCTTCTCTTGTATTACGTCATGACCGCACCCAGTTGTGCCATCACTAGACCAATCTCCTTCCATATCTGTACTACAGCACGACCGCCACATGCCATCGCTAGCTGACTCATTACTTATCTCTGACTCATCGCTTATCTCTGACTCGTCATCGCTTATCTATGACTCGTCTTGATGATGAATACGTACCTGCCCTAAAGTAGGCTACATCTATATAAACCAGGCCCTGTACTTAGATAGACTTCACTTTAATCTACTAGGTCTTACCTGAACTATCCTTTGCTTAGGACCTCCAATCCTAAGTCGTCTGATAACCGATATTCAAGCTAGAGACACTCTCTCTGACTTGTCTTAAGAACCTTACATTTGTAAGGACACGATTCGACTTTAGGCGCACTCTTATCGAGTACCTATCGTCATGCCTATCCTAGTCGACTTACGGTTTACCGTAACAAAAGATTAAAGTCTTCTTTGACCCTCTCCATCAGAGAGGTTACAGAAACCAAGAACTCAGTGAGAGAATGATAACGTTCCCCTGAACCCAAAACATCACTCGACCAAACGTCAGGATGTCTACAGTCACCACTTCCCCAGAATTGAAGGCCGGAGCTCCATCTACCTATGATGGGAGTCCTTCTCAGGCCCTATGATGGTTGTATGCGGTTAAGGCATACTTCGCGCTTAATGCTACGATCTATAACACCGACGATAAGAAGGTCATCACTGCCCTTGCTTACATGACAGAAGGAAGTGCTATGGGATGGGTGCTGACCTTCTACACCGAAGTCGACAACTCCGTCGCTAAGACCTACGGGACCTTTGTGAACTTTGAAACTAAGTTCAAAGAGGCCTTCATACCGGCCGATGCCACCGGAACCGCCATGAACAAACTCCAAATGTTGAGACAAACAGGCGACCTCACATCCTACATCGCCAGCTTCAAAACGCTTGCTGCACAAGCCTCCGTGAAGCAGGACGCCGTCCTCATCACGTTCTTCAATGATGGGTTGAAGAAAGGAATTGTTAACTCTGTCTATCAGATGGAAACCATTCCAGTAGATTTCGACAAGTATGTCGCCGCCATTATTCGGCTAGACAGTAACTACCAACGAGGGGTTGCGTACCAATCAAACCATCGTACCACCACCAGACTGTCAGGACAACGATATGTACCCAGACCCTCCATTGATCGACATGACCCAAACGCTATGGAGGTAGATCAACTCACTGAAGTCAAAAGAAGCGACCACATGAAGAAGGGTCTTTGCTTCACGTGCCACCAGAAAGGGCATATGACCAGAGCATGCCCACAGAAGAAGAAGATCCCTGTTCGCAGAGAAGAAATGAATGACAGTGAAGAAGATACAACGATCCGCCGCCTTGCCGAGGATTTTTAATGTGGAAGACAGGATCGACGTCCGTATCTTCCAGTGTACCCGTTAGACTTGTACAGAGTATTGGAATCAGAAAGGAACTCCGCATTCCCATTTCCCTTATGTCAAAGACACGTCTGAAAACCATTGAAACAACTGCCGTTGTTGACTCCGGCGCTGCTGGAACCTTTATCTCGGAAGAGTTTGTCAAAACTCATAATATCCGAACGCATGAATTGTCAAAACCATTTCGGTTACCACCGCAGATGGGAGTTTTGTGAGAGGAGGCGCTATCACCCAATATTGCGTCCTTATCGTCAAGATAGATGAACGATCCATGATAGGAAAATTTAACATCACACAACTAGGTCGGCATGACCAGATTTTGCTAGGGATCCCCTGGCTACATGCTATGGACCCAGTAATCTGATGGAAGGCGGAAACACTAGAACTTTCCAGAACAGAGAAGAGCGACCAGATCGAGGAGGAAGTTGACAGAGAACGCAAGAAGAATAGACTACCTCCCCTCTTTCATAAAGAGGCAAAGAAGAAAGAACCAAACCCAGTTGTAGTGCTGCCGAAGGTGCCTCCTAGGGAAGCGGTTAAAAAACTGCCATCGTGCGCCACGATGGAAGAAGTTATTGACGAAGAAGCGCCCTCATCAGTGTTACCTGACCTAGACCCCATACCCGATGACAAAGACGACTCCTTTGACACAAAGGATGACGTATGGACAACCGACTACGCACCACCCATATGGGAAGTCTCCACTTATCACCTAGAAGATGACGAATTTTTGGTCAAGTACCCCGCCGATGCTTCCGAGCTCTGGGTAATCACCAATATCTCATTTGACACTCCCCTAACGAAAGACGGAACTAGCACCATGGAACAACGACCCAAAATCACACCCCTGACATGGCCTACTGAATATGTTAAAACCAGTAACAAAGCCCAGCAGTTTGCATTAGCCGCTGGACTTGAGCAAAAGAAGAAGTCATTCGAAGAACTCGTCCCCTCCTATCTTCACGACTTCGCCGACATCTTCGCAAAAGACGGTCTGAATCAACTACCACCGGAATGACCCGGTATAGACCATCGGATAGAGACCAAACCGGGCTTTATTCCTAAAACGTCTAAGGTGTATCCGTTATCTGAGAAAGAGCAGACAGCGGTTAAAGCATTCATTGATGAAAACGTTCAGAAAGGATTCATCTCCGAATCAAAGTCACCGCAAGCTAGCAGTTTCTTTTTCATAGGAAAGAAGAGTGGCAACCTCCGCCCTTGTCAAGACTATCGGTATATCAACGAATGGACGGTTAAGAACGCCTATCCCCTCCCGCTACCACTTTCCTTGATTGCATGATTACATGGCGCCAAGTACTTCACCAAGATGGACGTCCGTTCTGGATATAACAACATTCGTATTCATCCAGATGATCAATGGAAGGCCGCCTTCACTACGGAATATGGTCTCTTTGAACCAAATGTCATGTTCTTCGGTCTTTGCAACTCCCCAGCCACCTTCCAGGTGTACATGAATAGAACGTTCCAGCAGGAGATTAATGAAGGATGGCTCATCATATACATGGATGACATCCTAATATTCTCAAATGACCTCACCTCTCATCACGAACAAACTTGGCGCATCCTTGAAAAGATCTGGAAGGAGCGACTCTTCCTTAAACCTGAGAAGTGCACATTCGATGCCCAAGAGGTGGAGTACCTCGGAATGATCATTTGTCCCGGATGTGTAGCAATGGATGATGCTAAAACTAGTGGCATTTGGGACTGGCCCATACCCACTACCGTGAAAGAAGTTCAGTCATTCCTGGGTTTTTGCAATTTCTATCGAAACTTCATTTCCCATTATTCCGATATTGCTAGACCGTTAATCGATCTCACCAAGAAAGATGCCAAGTTCCTTTGGACAGAACAATGCATGTCCGCCTTCTCCACCTTGAAAGAATGCTTTTTGAAGCAACCAGTCCTTCGGAATCCTGACCCCGCCAGACAGTTCGTGGTCGCTACCGATGCATCCCTTGTCGCTACGGGTGCAGTACTGCTGCAGACCGACGACAACGGTGTCTACCACCCATGTGGATATTTGTCTCAGACACTGAACCCCGCGGAACAAAACTATCAGATCTTTGATCAAGAACTTCTTGCAGTTATTCGCGCGCTAACCGAATGGCGCCACTACCTGGAAGGAAATCCCCACCCCATCATCGTCTTCACCGACCACAAGAATCTCCTCTACTTTAGGACAGCCCAGAAATTGACTCGCCGCCAAGCTCGATGGCAGCTAATTCTGTCATGCTACGACATCGAACTCCACCACGTCGCAGGAACTAAGCTTGTCACTCCTGATGCCCTTTCCCGTCGCTCTGATCATGGATCGGATTCTTCTGATGATAATGCCAACGAAACCCTCCTCCCAGATTCCATGTTCATTCGACTTCTTGACGTCGAACTCATAACCACGCTCATGAACCCTGACCCCTCCGATCCCGACCCCATATTCACTGCTGCCTCCAATGCGTTGGACGGCCTGTCTCTCCCTCCTATGAAATCTGCTCTTATGGATTGGAAAATCAACGACGATATCCTCTACTACAAAGACCGCGCCTATGTCCATCCTGCCGGACGGCGCCTTATTTTGGAACGATGTCATGACCACCCTACCACCGGCCACCCTGGCCGCTTTAAAACTGAAGAACTGGTCAAACGCAATTTCTGGTGGCCCGCTATGGGCACCTACATTCGTAAATATGTTGAAGGCTGTGCCCTCTGCCAGCAAATGAAATCAGATACACACCCGATGACCCCTCCCCTTGTTCCTATTCCCTCCGTTGCCGCTGCACCCTTCACTCAGGTCTCCATTGATCTCATCACTGACCTTCCCCCCTGTGCGGGTTTTGATTCTGTCATGGTCGTGGTAGACCATGGGCTTACGAAGGGGGTAATTCTCATCCCTTGCACTAAAACTATCACTTCCGAAGGGGTCGCCAACAAATTTTTCAAATATGTCTACCGACGATTCGGCCTACATGAAAAAGTCATCTCCGATCGTGGCCCACAGTTCATATCCAAGTTCTCTCAAGCCCTTGCCAAGCTCCTAAAGTACGACATAGCAGCATCAACCGCTTATCACCCCCAGACTGACGGCCAAACCGAATGACTCAACCAAGAACTGGAAACATATCTCAGAATCTATTGTCAGAATAACCCCAAAAATTGGGTAGAGCAACTCCCCATGGCAGAATTCGTACACAACCACCGGAAGCACAACTCTCACAATGCATCACCATTCTTCCTAATGATGGGATATGAACCACGAGCCCTTCCACACACCCTTCCTGACTCCGCAGTCCCTGCAGCAGTGGATAGACTCCGCTTGCTCCAAAAGTCCAGAGAAGAAGCACTCTCTTGCCACAACCTCACTATGCAGCGTATGGCAGAAAGAACTCACAGACAGAAGTACCATCCCTGGAAGATTGGAGATAAGGTTTGGTTATCCGGAAAGAACCTGATCACGCAGTTACCTTCATGGAAGCTCGCCCCCAAACGATATGGCCCTTTTCCAATCACTGCCATTCTATCCCCTATCACATTCACACTCCGACTACCACCCCAATGGAAGGTTCACCCCACGTTCCATGCTTCCGAACTATCGTCCTATCATGAAACAGAGGTTCACAGGCCGAACTTCCACGACCCACCCCCTGATGTCATCGATAACGAAGAAGAATATGAAATTGACGCAATCTTATCGCACAAAGGGATGGGTAAACGAAGACGCTATCTCCTATCATGGAAAGGATATTCGTCTGCCAGCAACAAGTGGGTCCCTGAAGAAAATCTCTGTAATGCCTCCGATATCCTTGCCGCCTATAAAAAGACCCATGGGTTGTAGACTTCCCAATAATGTCCCACATCGAACGACTACGTCTTTGCATTCTCCGCATTGAAGAACTTACCGCTGCCATGAACACTGTCGCTGAAGGAAACGCCCATCCCTTAACGCTCTTAGATTACCAGAACGCCACCGCCGCTAACCTTGCGGCGCAACACGTGTCCTCCCCCATAGCCTCACCGCCTACTTCAGACTCTACCTTAACCCTTACCGACGACTCTACTCTCACTGACTACTTCTCTGTCATTGATCAAGTCGAAACTAGCGCTTTATTTGAATCCGCTATCACCTCCCAACAGTATGCTATTGAGATAGACCGCCTCCTTGGGGAAAGAGGAGCAATCTCTAGTGGCCTTATAATCAGAATTATTAGAGATGCCAGCCTTATCAACCATACTGCCGCCCTTCTTGATGATGAGCGTCATCAAACCATTTTTCGTCACCTTCATATACGCATTCGCAACACTACAATCCACCTCTTACCAGAAGAAACAAGAGATGCCATCAGAGAAGCTATCCACATCGTCACCGAGTGAATCGCTCTTAACCCTGTTGCATGACCACCTTCTCCCCACATTGCCATCCCCATACCACCACCTGTCCCTGTCGCAACTACCATGGAGCATCAGGATGATAATATCCCTCCTATTGCCATACTTGATGTACCAACTTCTCCTTCTCCTGACCCAGTCGTACATACCGCTCAACGACTCCCACTTAAATGAAGATCCTCCCGCCTCGCTGCTAAACAAGCCGCCTCCGTCTCCCCCACTAAAGCACCATCTAAACGATCACGATCACCTTCCCCCCCAGACCAGTCCTTGTCCGTCACAATCGTAAAAACGTCGCCAGTAGATAATGTCGTATGTTGTAACTGCCACACTGCTGGTCACTGTCACAAGAACTGCCCCGCGTATTACTGCAGAGTTTGTAAAGAATACGCACCGGGCCACCTGTCGGTCTTTTGCAGAGAACTAAAAGGGGAAGCGGTTATCCCTTTAGTATGGACCGACGTCGGTTTCTACAACACACTTGCCCATTGGGAGATTGAGCAAGACGCTATCGCTCACGCTGAGCAGATGGTGCAAACTACTATCACGGAAGAGCAAGACGACCTTCTTCACTCCAATTACAATGCGGACCCCATCTACTGGGCTAACCAGGATATGTGAAGTCGGTGACTTCATTGCTAAACGAGGGGTAATGTTACGATACATGGTCGGACCCCTATCTCTTTTCTCACGCTTCTCTTGTATTACGTCATGACCGCACCCAGTTGTGCCATCACTAGACCAATCTCCTTCCATATCTGTACTACAGCACGACCGCCACATGCCATCGCTAGCTGACTCATTACTTATCTCTGACTCATCGCTTATCTATGACTTGTCTTGATGATGAATACGTACCTGCCCTAAAGTAGGCTACATCTATATAAACCAGGCCCTGTACTTAGATAGACTTCACTTTAATCTACTAGGTCTTACCTGAACTATCCTTCGCTTAGGACCTCCAATCCTAAGTCGTCTGATAACCGATATTCAAGCTAGAGACACTCTCTCTGACTTGTCTTAAGAACCTTACATTTGTAAGGACACGATTCAACTTTAGGCGCACTCTTATCGAGTACCTATCGTCGCGCCTATCCTAGTCGACCTACGGTTTACCGTAACACAGACTTGTTGATGATTTCTTGCAGGTGTATTCATCTTCATGAACACAGACATGGTATGTTCTTCTGGTATGGAGGATAGCTTGATTGAGTAGAGCTTTTGGGCTATGCACTGGAAGTAGAAGTCAAATTAGTGATTGTCTGTTGTACTATGAGGAACAATTCACTGCAAGCATGGACCCTTCCGAAATTTTTGTCAAATGTGTCCAGTATGAGAGCATGTTTTGCCCTTCCTCCAAAGGTGTATCGAAAGGATACTGTCCTTTCACATAGCACTCAAATTGATGGACAAATGATTCCTGAACAAATGCTGCTGTTTTATCCTTGAGGACTGGGTTATGTTGAGACTTGAATTTGGCTTCAAGCACAACTTTGAGGTACTTCACAACACGTTGATAAGTAGGTGACTTGAGGACATCCTCATCTGATGCTGAACATGACTCAGAGATTCAATGAAGCTTGATTTTGAGAGAGAGTGGATTATGAAGGATCATGCTGTGCACATAGTCTGTCCTGTGGATCAGCACGAGCATTGTGAAGATATAACTGCAACTTATGAGGATCCAAACATAGGGCAGCAAGGTAGCAGTCAGCTGGTCCATCTTGAAGTTGCTCATGGAAGTGAGAATTAACGATGGTATAAATCTGACCCATTTCTTCAATGGCAAATCCAGTTGAAGTGTCTTCAAAAACTTGCTTGATGCAGCCACATATGGCTAGCCAATACTTGTAAACATCGGCTGGATTAATCTGCATGGATTCAAGACAGACAATAGCCTTGGCAGTGGGACCCTCAATGTTGATAAACTGGCCAAGGTCAAGCTCAAATTTCATCCCACTAGCACTGCCTGACTTGAAGAGGCTTGCTAGCTCTGCCTTCTGCATGTGAAAATAGACATGATCAGCGACACATAACTTGAAGTTGACACAGTAACAGTGTGTACCTTGCCTGGAAATTTGACATTGCCTGAGCCAACAAGATCCCACAGTGCTGGGAGGCACTGCTGAACTGAGATACCAGCTGTGCAGATGGTAGCAAATCATGTCTTGCGATGCTTTTAATTCCTTGAGCAATCCCTTTTTGCAGAGTTGATGGTGGTAAGTATGTTTCAACTGGGGGTGAACAAGTGAGCTGGAAGCGAACATCAGAACATGGTGCAAACTGGTAAAAAGAATGAACTTACATGACAGTCAATGATAGTGTACCTGAAATGCATGTGAGTAGTATCTGTGTCCTCTAAAGTGGCGATAAAAGTGGAGACTTCAATGGACGAATGTAATGCACAATGGCATTGATGGCAAATAGATCACATGAGTGTGAATCTTCCTGATGGGTGACTTCAAGAGTATCCCAATCCAGTGGAGCAGGTATGTGGTGACAGCCACCAGTTGGTTGCATCCTTCAGAAATTGAGGAACTGTAGTGCCAAATGAATCTCCATAGCAAATTTTGTGTGGTCAGTTGCATCAATTGCACAGGAATCCAAGGGTTTGATGCTGGCAATCCAGGAATAACCCCTCTGCAGCATTTTGAAGACACTGTGTCTCCTGTGTGGAGAGATAGGTGCCCTGGGCACAGTCACAATATGCCACCAACAGTATAGAGACAAAATATGTCTGCTCAAAGGTATGCTTTGACACTGCATCCTTGCCTGCATAGATAAAATCAAGCATCATATTTAGATTAGTATCACTTAACCATTCCCTGTGTGCAAAGTTCACGAGATCATGGATCAGGGCCCAATCACTGAAGCCTGATGTTGCACCCAACCAGCATAATCTGTCCATGGAAGCATGGAAGGTGCATGCCATGGGATTAGACTCCCATTTTGTCAGGAAAGTCTCTGCACAATGCCACTTTGATTGGATATTGAGTAAGGCAGGGACTTCGAGCCAAAATGTCAGAATCCAGAAAGGAAAGCGTTGTTCTGTGTCAGTGTGACCATAGAGTACAGATCTGCTACCAGCAGATTTTGCGTGTGGTGCATGGTCCAGGAGGTGCTATAAAACCTCAGGAGTAGGTGTAGTGTGTGTGTAAAGGTAATAGGGATACAAGTTTTCATGGTGTGGGTCATCATTACTGAAATACTGATGTAAAGATGAGGAGGGTTCTGTCACAGTGGGGGATGGAAGTCGAAACAGTAAAAGAGACAACACAGACATATTTTTGTCTGGAAAAATAATAGACCACATGTGGTCTGGAATGGCAAAAAGTGAGTCCGAGTCATTGTTTTCAACCATAACTGCTAGTGTCTGACAGGTGATTGATTCAAAGAGCTTAGAGAAAGTTGGAAAAATGCCATTGCAATACTTTGCAGTTGTTCTCACTGTCTTCTTTGCATGATTTGTATGATTTGCACAGTGCCGAGAGTCCAGTCAATAATCATCAATGATCAGGGGAAGGCACAAAGGCTGGACCCTCGCACACAGGGGTCACTTGACTTATAGCACTTTAACCCCTCCAGTGTGGCACCCATGTTATTAACACTGCTAATAAAAAACAAGTTTTCACCTGTACCCTATTTTGCACTGTATTCAAAATGAGTGATTTTTGGACATTAAAGTCAAGATCCACTCAGATCCCATCGACCTATCAATATAAAAACTTCAATGTGTATAAAATACACCATTCTGAATCTACTCCAGGTGTTTCTATGTCAATAGAACACTACCACAGCGTGCTATTCACGATTCATGAGTGCAGCGTGACAGTCAGGCTAAATCAGGAAATCACACTATCGGCTTGGTTGAGTCTCCGCTTTGTCGTATTTGGCAGAATCGGTGGCGTTGGAACTCATTCGCTTAGCTGTCGGACTTTGGTATCGAAGTGCCGCGCGTGACATAGCGTGACGAAATTGTACATTTCTATTGCATGTTCGACATCTCAACTTCCGCTGCTGCCGCTGTAACAAGCTCACAACAAAATTCAAAAGATTTTGTTGGGCCCAATGCGCAGAGACCTAAGGTATACACCAAAGTAGATCTGATCCAAATATATGTTGCTGTGATATTGTTATTTAGCAAAGAGTGAAAATTGTGCATTTCCCGCCGAATGGGACGGAGTGAAATTTATTTAGTGCAAATGTTCACATCGGCTAGTACTTACCTGCACATTCTGCTTCATACTGAAAGCCGTGGCTTGAGGGCCCGGCTCAAGCTTGCAGATACCTTGAGCCCTCATGGGCCCTACCCTCAAGGCCCGGCCAGGCTTGGTCCATGGCCTGAAGCGGCCTTGCACATCAGAGCTATGTTTCCTATATTTTGCTTCGTCGCATCTCCGTTTGTTAGCGCTTTTGTCTACCCGCCCCTTTCTCATTGTCTATTCAGACTCATGGTCTGCTGACGTCCCTGAAACTTGTTCCGAAGGACTGTACTCGCGATCCCCACAAACCAAACATCTCGCGCTTTCGTAACATGATTCGTTTGGTTTTCATTCTTCATCACTTGTATCTTGTAAATCAATCATTCTTTCCACTCGAACTGTCACTGACGCTAACTTCGTTACTATGTCGAATTTGTACCTCCGCAACGTTGAAGATTCAATCACTCAGCTCACTTCTATGGTACAACTCCAGTAAAGTCCGTTTAGAAGGCTTTGACTCTTGATACTAGTCTATGCATTGACAAGATCATCGACTCGTCATTAGAACCAACGGTTACACATAAATATGACACCATAGCTTGGCTCTGCTGCGAGCGGCTCTTCGTGTTATACTTAGGACGAGAGAATACTGTGATGGTGGACATGAATAAAAGGCGCTGCAATGGCTGCACCACATCGCCTATTCGCACGTAAACCAATGGTACGAGGCCGACTTCAAAAATAACGAATTGGGAGCAGGTCGGGTGGGGGATAAAAAAAAAGTATCGATAAGGTGGGAGGCTGGCTTACTATTAGAGTTCCCATAATCTACATAAGTACTGTCCATGATACTGAACTCAGTTACACCTAGCCCACTAACGCACATGCCGTGCCAGAAGTCTTACACACAGAAGTTTGTGTCCACCACACGGACCACTACGACCATCACCACGACCCCGACCTCAACCTCGATCACGACCACGACAAAGACCACACAAGCTCGATCTGCAAATTACGGGAAAAATGGGAACCAGAAACTGGTACGTGCTGTAGAGTTGTTCACTTATACTTCCTCATATTTCCGGCCCCGCAGATTGGTGCAGGCACTACCGGCGGGTGCTGGGTGAGAGACATTTTTCTTTCCCCCAGTCTATGGCTGACAAGACACAACACGCAAGTCTGAGTGTCCAAAGGGTGCTGTACCGTCTGGGGCCGTTATAGGTGGCCAGAGAAATGGCTTGACCCTTTATATTATACGTGTTTCGTATGCGGTGAGCTAAATAAAATTTCTCGGTTCGAGTAGTCTGTCATATGGTGGACAACTGTCTAGGGCGGTTGTTGTGAGTTCTGATACTATCGTTTTTGTCAAAGCATTCACCTTACTGTCAAACAAGATCCCAGCGGGGCTTTTTCACAGAATGAAACGGGTGTGGTGTTTGGCTATGGTGGCAGAACAATCACGGTGTGTTTACTCCGGCATCTTGACCTGCGCTGTATCATAAATTCATTATCAGGGCAATAATTTTCAATGCCTCACAGGAAGTGGGACTTCTTTTCGCTGGATTACTGTTAGTGGCCCATGCACCTCCGATAAAGTGGGAACCAACACCGCGGTGGTGCAGTAGGTCTACCTGATGCAGCAGTATAACGTTCCTGACATCGTATCTGAACATACAGGGGAGGGTGGGAAGCGGATGGAACAGCACTCTTAATCGCCCAAGTGTCTATGACCAGTGGCCTTAATTGTGGCAGAGTCAAGTGGAATGACTATGGTCAGTGGGTACTCGGCGCTTCTGGAACCTGATTTTAACTGCCCTCTCTTGCAGCTTATATCGCAACTACCAGTGGTGAACAGAAATTCGAGACCTATGCAGTTCTTGCATTCGCTTGAAGGGTGTTGTAAATTTTCAGCTCATGCAGCAGCACTCACGAACTTCTTGAAATGTTGTATCACCAATAGCTGTCTTACTTGTCAGTTTGAAAGTTACTTTTTTCGCTTGTACATTTTCATTTACCACGAGGTCTGGTATACACAAATTGGGGGAAGTTCATAAGAACCAATCATCGCCAGCTTGTTGCCAGCATGCAAAACTACAGGGTCGAATCCTAATGAACAAGGCTCACTGCAAACGAGAGTTCTGCCAGACCTTCCTACTGACTACCTTGCCCAGTGTGCCCGAGTACACACGAAGTTGATATAAATTGCACAGCACCGAATAAAGCAGCCGACGACATGTGCCACGGCTGCCCACTTATGCGTGCATCACGGATGGTTCATGCATGGCTGCAGTGCAGTTGGACACTCAATCTTCGTCTCAAGGCGGAACACGCAGGAGCCTCGAGGCAATCATTCCTTCTTGATGCCTCCTCTTAAGTACACCAGAGCCTCAAGGCTCTGCGTCAGCATCCTATCTCCAACTCTCCTATCATGTCACAGTGGGAATCATTACCAACATGGCTGCAAGTGAGTAAATTGGTCGTCTACTCGGTGACTGTTGATGTACTTATTGTGGCTCGAGAATCAAGTCAAACAAATCGAACGAGGATCATTATCGTCGCTCAAATTGCTCAATCGCTCAATCTCTTCTAAAGGGTTCTCTGATCATCTGCGTCCTTACTTTCAAACTCTCATTCCTCTATTTTTCGTTCATCTTGATCCAAGGCTCGTTCCCCATGAGATCGCTTCAGATTCTGCACATTCAATTATGCTCGCTAAGGTGTCCATCATGGGCATTAGTTGCCTGTGCGGAGAGAATCAAGGGGAATTACGCGGTGCACCCCAATTTCGTCAGAAGCTGTCCGACGCTATACACTCACATTGGAGTGGGGTATCTGCATGGGTTCAATTTTTCTACCATAATTTCCTTGTCCCGCGGGATGACCCAGTCGCACGCCTACACAGGATCTACAGTGTAACCTCGCAGGAGGCTGCCAGCACCTCAATACGGTTCATCTATGTGGCTAGCGTACTTCCTGGTGTTGTTGCACATCTCTATCGGACAACACCAAAGATAGAGCGAATCATCATGGAACTCTGGTACTTGGTGACGGACATCAAACACGAATATTGCATTGTTGGTCCATATCTTCGCCACTGGCGTCAGGACTTTAACATGCTTCGCGCATTCATGGCCCATATAGTCACCTCGTGCGTGTACTATGAGCCTCCTAGCACTCCTCTCCCGCCTCTGACATCGCTCATCGAAGCCGCTGGAGGAAGGACCCCTATGGTTTTGGCTGCTCTCAAATGCCTACGTTTTGCAGGAAAGGGAGCGGCTCAGAGAGACTGTGACATGGTCAAGCATGACCTCGATCTTAGTCCCTTGAATACTCTCTCGTTGACGTGCAAGCAAACGCTCATCTTCATGTTTGCTACAAGCCAGGCGGACCCTATCATTCGCGAACTCTTTCTCACACATTCCTCGATACGCACGGTTCTTAACACGCTGGCCGGAATAGGAACACGTCCAGGTACAGAGCCTGACTTAGATCCTACCAATGAGAGTTTCTGTCAAAAGACTACGACAAAGCGGGCTGCCATGGCTATTGGCCATCAGTACATCTCCTTCGTGCTGGCGTGTTCTAATAATCCCATTGAAACTGCTTGCCATGCCCTTCGTTGTCGTCTTCTGGAGGTCCTCCTACGGAACTGTGTATTCCCCTCGGAAAATCGCTTGCACAAGTCCAGATGGTCGGATTACGACATCAGGATTTTTGAACAGTTGGGAGGGACGCTAATTTATGAGAGGGTTGTTCGTATTGCCTCGATATCCATGCAATATATCGATTCTCAGCGCCTTTATGTGCATGCCATGCACGATCCAACATTGTGGGGCTCGCTGTTGACCTTCAAAGAGATCCTTTCGCAACGTTGGAGGATTCTCTCTACATTGACGCCGTGTACACGCCCAGAGTACGAACGAACCTGTGGAGGTCCCGGGGTATGAATTTCTCCATGTAAAGTTTGCTCCATGTTGATATCGGTTATAGTGCACCAGTGCGAGCATCAGACTTCGGCAGTGCGCTGGATGCCAGACCACGAAATACTGCTCAAAATCTTGCCAGCGAGGAGCGTGGTCGACTGTGCATCGTAAGCACTGCAGTATCCTAAAGGCTGGGGTCGGTATGTGAATCGATATATATATGTATGCCCTTGCTGACGGTTATGGCAGGAATGGCCAAGGCTGATAAGCATCTTCGATCAAGTCTGCCGTTTATTGCATTAATTGAGGCAGCCGAGTTCGATGATGACAAGTGGCCAGGACAACGTGCTCTTCAACACAAACTGGCCACCGTGCAGGAAGAGAATCCAGTAGATGTCCACTCCTTGGTGCTTGAGTTGGACATGACCGTGCTCCCCATCAAACATCGCATACAGCCCCTTCGGCAATGTATCGGGCAATTTCAAGATACAAATTGGATGCGGATCATTCAGGGCAGGCAGGCTTTACAGGGCAACAGTAGACTCCCTGTGATGACAATAATTACCACAATCGAGGGCGCTAGGAGGAGATCACTTTTCAGCCCACGGACGGCTTTGCAATTAGCATTTGGGTGGCCTCCGTCTGAGTTCACTAAAGAACTTCTTATTCCGCGCAGTGTTCTGTTCGATCACTGCACTAAAGCCTTCACAGGTTGTGCTGAAGAGGAGGATGAATCGAAATCTGACCCAGAGAGTGCCTCAAAGGACCCTACACTCGCAATCGGTACTGCAAAGTGCTCGCGTATAGTAGGCGTTGAGGCCTAGGACAAGAGAGAGACGAAGGATGAGTGACGCACATAGGACAGAAGTTGCATTCCCTACATTTACTGTGCGTGAACCATTCATCATATAGTCGTGAGCAGAGTTGAACTTGCTATAGTTATCTAGACGGCTGGCTGTTCAGTCAGATTTGAGTCAGGTACTAACAAGGTGTGTAATATTAGTGGCAGTTCTCCAAACTGGAATTTGAACAGTACTAATCTTAATTATGTGTATTTTAAAATTGGCGTGCCATCGATGTTCCCCCTCTTTAACACGAAAGTGATTGCATGCTGGTGTGTGTTGAGCTGCAAGCACTCGCGATCGAGTTTGTTTATTCGTGGCCTAGTGCCAACGGCACGTTTCCTCTTTAATTGGTACGAGGTAGTACAGTACACAGTACACTTCGTTTCAACTTGTTAGTCCGAACTTGAACTGTGTTGATTTACCAGAATTAAATTTCCGCCTCGATTCGATTCGCCTCTGCGGCAACACTATTAAGACTGGCCAAGTATCCTGCAGCTAGTTCTACTTGACCACCATGATATCCACTGACCGTGTAGATGCACTCTGGACGATTTCTCAAACATTCACGTCTTCTTTCCAAGCGTCTTGTTCTGGTAAAGTCCTTCACCTTCACACAGGTCCTACCGACGCTCCTATAATCTGTAGAACTTGCTACCCGTCTCAAAGTTGCAGATGGTGTCTCTGTGCACTCCGTCGCTAGAGAAATACAGGCTCTCAACAAGCGTTTGTCTGAAGCCACCGGGAGGCTTCCAAGCTACGATCAAAGACAAAATGAACTGGTGCATGTCTTGTGTCTGATTTTGATGTCTGAGCTAATCAAACTGGAAAGCAACTCAAAGCATTAGAGAAGGCGCTCGAGGAACTGCGCTCATCGACCACAGTGAAAACAAAATTCGCTTTTAAACGGAAGGTCAAGATATCAGCGTCAGCATCAGCAGAGACCGCAACGCCACCTGCTCCAGTGAATGCACCAGCGATACCTACATCAATAATATCTAGTGCCTCCAGAATGATATCCAACCACTCCAATTGCTACCTCTCTAGTTCGTGCCTTTCTGGTCCCACCTCATCCACAGATCACATAGGGGTGTCTATAATAAGAATATCGAGTAGCATCTTAAATCTTCTTACGACCACGAATGAGTTGACTCTGTCTGCTAATACCGTTTCCATTTCGGCGCTTCACATCCGCGACATACAGAACTCAATTCTCATTCTAGGGACCGTCGATGGTAGCATCATGTTGCACAACTTAACAAATTGTGGTTGTTGCTGGATGTCACCAGGTAGGGTTATATTGTCCGTGTATGTCATGCTCTACTGTGCTCGTAACTGGCAGTTCAGGATGCACCATTCTACTGCCGTAGATGCCTATCTTGACATTACATCGAATCCTATCATCGAAAGCTGTGATCAAGTGAGATTCGGTGCCTACCCGAGCGAGTTGAAGGTCCAATTATTTCACTATTCATCTTAAATGCCAATGTCACTACAAACAACCACTGATCAGCAACTCTGGTCACCAAAAACCATACTGGCGAGTTCCGTTTTCTTGCCCCAGGACTTCTCGCACATGTGCGCCACACCATCACCCAATTGGAGAGCGCTGGAGGAGGATGAATGACTCGGAGTTAGTTCATGATTGACCCCTTTCCGAGATCAATTACGCTGTCCAACTCGAAAGGTCACTGCCCCGCCCTAAAATCTGATGCTTATTGCTGACGGACTTTATGTTCCTGGGCACGCACGTGGATACTAGTAAGTGAAGAAGAAATTGTTGTCATGATATTGAGCCCTATGAATTGACATGTTGACGTCTGGTCAGAGGTACTGGGTGGACGCGAATTGCTTCCGCGGGATCGAATGTTCCGTCCTTACATATGTTAAATGTACTCGACAAACATTGGACTGCTCGTTTCTTTTGACTTATGGACACGTTTCGCTCTCTTCGTACACGTATGATTCGAGTATCGGTATTGACAGCCTGTAGTTTCTAAATCCCACTTCTCTTTTGTATGCTCTTCGGAGAATACGCTTGAGGAACATATTGTGCACGCAAGTGAAATGTGACCAGTATCCACACGTGGGTCAATAAGACATAACCCAATGCGGCCTGAAAAAAACCTCCAGCCTGTTCATTATGCATCAACCGTCGCGTCGAGGCAGCTTGAAAAGAATTCATCGCAGCTGTCTTGGGGGTATGATACAGATGTATATAGACAATAGTGTACACAAGTGTCATGCATGATGGTAGTGTCGCAATGAATGAATGATTAGTGAGCAGATACTTTTAGTATTCCAATCATGGCGTCTAGAAAAATATTGCGCCTCCTGCTGGTTAGCCAGTATTGCCGGGTCCGTGTTATAATCAAGCAGTGAATACATCTTCACAGTAGTGTGATCAAGGAGATGCTGCCCATGGTGAGACAGGATCATCGATCATGATCCCTCGTATCCGATTGCATACTGCAGCAGGGAATTGTCTTGACAAAAGTCAGTTTCAACCATACGAACTAGGGGATACGGATGTACCTTTCCTGTAGCCGTGCTAGCAGTGCGACAGCTCTGTCGCGATAACCGTTACCTAGCTCTGCGCGGAACATAGCTTCCCACGTAGATGGCTGGAAAGCAGGGTGAGTTCTCATCCATGTGTGTTTGCTGTAATACTCACCTCACGGTACGACGGTGATGGCGATGGAGACGCACGCTGATTGGAGCTTTCATGAGGAACGTGGTTACCTGAGGCTGCAACGCCGCTAGGGGGATCCACCAAGTTCTCAAATATTCTTCGAGCCTCTTCAATGTCCCCGGCGGCAGCATAGCCCTTGATCAAGAGGTTGGCGATGTAAGCCGTCATATGTACACCAGACGACTTCAACTTCTCCATGTAACTGGGTGCAAGAGCCATCTGCTTATTGGTGACGAGGACGTTGATGAGGGATTCATAGGCGACAGCATCAGGTGCTGGAATGGAGTCGAATGTACTGATAGCCTTCGCCAGGTCCTTCTTCACACAACCGTATGCGTTGATAAGGGCGGCCCAATGGCTGCCTTGGAGCACCACCGACCTGTTGTTTCGGAGGAGCTTGAACACGTCTTCCATAGCGCCGACGTCGACGGGCTCAATAGTTCCATATGCATCGATGAGCAACTGAAATGCACATTAAAGATAAGTAGATAATAGAATTAGATAACATACCTTGTACGTGTGGGCAGAAGGCTTGACACCGGCGAGAAGAAGCTGATCGTAATAATGAAGCACCCTCTCACGATCGGGCTTTGTGTGCGCGTACAGTTGCATCATCATGTTGTAGGGTGGGATGCGAGGCCTGAAGTTGGGCTGCGAAGACATCTCCAAGAACAACTGCTCGGCAGACTGGGCATCGCCGACACGTGCACAAGCGGCAATCACAGCGCCGTATGTGATCGAGGATGGACGGACACCAGGTGTAGCCTTCATCTGTTGGAACAGCTCGAGTGCAAAGTCAGCCTTGCGCGCCTTGGCCAGCTTGGAGATGATTGTATTGTATAGATAGACATTTGGTGTGCATCCAAGCATCTGCGCCTCACTGAAGAGAGCCATGGCGTTCGAAGTGTCATCTGTGGTGTCCTTGACACACTCTATGAGCGAGCCATATGCGTCAGGAGAAGGAATTCCGCCGTTGGACGTAATGCGATCTCGGTGCTGGAATGCGGCTTCCATGTCTCCAGCATGTGCACATGCAATGATCATCTGGTCTTCGATTTGGAACCACGCCTGAGACTGCCACTGCTTGTTATCGATCGAGGATAATACGATTTGCGCGATATCATACAAGCTGTGCACCTTGTCGAGATCACCGACACGTCCGAAGCCATTGATGAGCCGCCCGAGGGTAGAGGGGTGAACGTACTTGCTGTTGGCAATTCCGTCTTGGAGGCGGCGGTAGGCTTCATGGATTGTCACGGATGGGTGCGATGGGAACCAGTCATCGACGGAGCGGCTGAGCGCACCATCAACAACGACGTCCTTGATAGGAGGATACATCTGCATCACAGGGTTAGGCGACAAGTTGCGCGACTCGCTGGGCCTCTCGAGTGCAATACGGAAGTCGGCTGACACTTTCCCAAAGAATTCATCCCGCTGCTCCTTCGAGTAGCCAGCATATAGCGCATCCGAAAGATTGGTGATGAGGCTTGCTTTCAATTTAGATAACTGGAGGTTTTGCTTTGAAAGCGCAATGAGAAGCGGGATAAGGCCCTTGTATGCATAGTTTTTGAGTGGGATGATCTGCTCCATATCGGTCTCTGCTGTAAGGTTGGCGAGGGCACTGGACAGGAGTGTTTCATGTTCGCGAAGGCCAATGTTATATTGCGACATGTCACCGCGATTGCAAGTCGACATGTAGGTGTGTAGGTAAAGGGCTGTCAGCTCTTTGCTGAGAGGGACATTTACATTATTCGCTAGTTTGATAAGCCTGAGCACATCCTTGAAAGCCGGTATATTCTTCTTAGTTCCGGATTTGTTGATAGTCCCGGATTGGAGGTAGTTGATATTGGCTTCGAGAACAAGGGTATGGTCTAGACGGCGCACTTCGAGGCCGTCGCGAGGGGCACATTCAACAAGAATGTCGTAGAGCCGGTTGAGATCTGCGATCATACCCTCCTGAGCGAGGAAGTCAAGCATCACAACCCATGCAAGCTGGTCAGGGCGAGGGGGAACGAGGGAAGATTCATGTGGATGACGGGCTGCTTCACCCTGCTGTAGCAAGCGGTCAAACCAGGACAGAGCACTTGTGACATCTCCCGAGTAGCAGAAACCAGCAATGATGGACGAGAAGGTGGATGAGGAAGGTAAAGGGACTTCCAGTGAGAGTTTAGCGGGGTTGGCGTTGCTGTCCATCATAGTTTCCAGGAGGCGGAGAGCGCCTGCGGGCTGGCCACCACGGAAGTAAGCTTCGATCATTTTGTTCCAGACAAGAAGTTGTCCCCGAGTGATCGAGCTGGCTACGGCTGCTTCAGGAGCGGCGGAAAAATCAAGCCCTTTGACGCGGCCTGCCTTGCTGGCTTCCCTGAACTCCTGGAAGACCTCCTTAGCGCCCTGCAGATCATTTGCATTGGCGTATACAGAGAGTAGATTCAAGAAGACTTGAGGGCCGGGGAGGAAGTCAGTGCGCGATTCCAGCTGCGCAAATACACGAATGGCAGCATCTACGTCAGCTTGGAATGCACATGAGCGGAGAAGGTTGGTATAGACTGCGAGGGGGAACTTGTTGCGTGCGCCAATGTTCATCGCTGCGTCAAACATAGACATGGCAGAGGCAAAGTTGTTCTCTGCCTTGAGTTGTTCGATGCGCTTCTCATCTGCTTCATCCATAGCGACCTCCTGGCGACCAAGAAGCTTGCGGCGCTTGACACGACCATCAAGACCTCCAATAGACTTCTGGACCTCAAAATCCCGCTCGGTAAGAGCGAGAATAAGAGAGATATAGGTGCGAACATTCGGCGTAAGGGAGCGTTGGATCATGTCATTGTATGTCTCAAGTAAAAGTGTAAGGGGTTCACCAGGGCGACGAGTATCGTGGAGACCAGCTAAGGCCATGTTGAACTCTGACACCATGGGGTTCTTATGAGTTGTACGGAGGATGAGAACCTCGTGGATGACCCTAGCACCATCACCAGACCGCGCTGCCTGACGAAGAGACTGATACATTTCGGAAACTTTGCCACTTTCATCGTCTGCGGCTGGGTCTGTCACGGACTGCGGGGCTGCGGGATCGGTGGGGATAGATTTGCCAGATACTGAAGAAACCGGAGGCGAGGGTAAATCATCAATGGAACCAGACGTATTCAGTGAAGCTGTAGAGTTACGCCGTGTGAGAGGAGGCCGCGAAGAATCAGAGGGAGTCTCGTCAAGCGCTTCGCCAGATGCAGTGAACGTGTGTTTTGAGCGAACGTGCAATTGAACGGTGTGCAAGACACCTAAAGACTCTTGTTGACTATGCTCGTGCTCACTGAGTGTACCAAGAGAGAGACTATGCCGACGGGTAATGGTACGCTTGGAAGGGCGGGGCTCGACGCGCTTGGGAACGATTTCGTCGCGCTCGTCGCTCTGTTCAGCGTTGCCATCATGTGAGGTAGACGCATTTGCTTGTGTCACAGCACGCCCGGCTCCCTGTAAAATATCAGGATCATATCAGATATAAAAGTGCACTGCAAACTGACCGTATACCCGTTATAGAATCGACTACCTGCATTGAACTTTGCGCCGCCCGGGCCAGCACCATTGCTGCCCCAACTTGAGCTGCCAGCGCCAGTCCATGTTGTAGGCGCGCTTGGTGCAGATGACTGAAGTTGGAGTACGTTGCGGAGGGTGTGACCTGTCTGATTCTGGACGGCAGCTACTGCACGAGAAGTGTGCAGAAAGATGTGATTAGCGACCTTGGGGAGCATGGTCGCGATTGCGAGCTCGTGCTAAATGTCGCACAATTTAGGCTTGGTGATCGTCGCGGGCGACGAGCAAAGGAGTTGTTAGCACTTGGCTTGGAAACGTAGATCTAATGAAATTGCGACGATCCAATAAAAGTAAAAATTGCTACTCGGGTGATCCCGGGTTGGATGCATGCCGCAATTTGCCGTGACTCCATCATGCCGAGTATAAACGCAAGCCACAGCACCGTATCTATCGCACAGTAACCGGCATGTTGCTAGTAGTACGTACAGATAATAGGCAACTAGATATTTCACCTATGCTTCGGCCTCATCGCACGATACGCCAGTCCTGGGACAGAACATCTGCCCAAGTGTATGTCTCATCCTCTTCGTCAGCTTCTGTCACATCTACCAGTCCACCGAATGAAATTTGAACAGGCCGCTGTAAAGGGGACGTAGTGACATGTGTGGGAGATAGAGACATTACGCGGGCGACTTTCATCAACATCTCGGGCGTCCACGTCATAGGGTTGATGGCAAGAGCCTGTGCGCCTCGATGAGCATTCCTGTGCGCTTTGATTGATCAGAGAAACCCACCTTGTATGCAATAATGTTGTCTACTTTCACCTCTGACGAGCTAGTTAGTTTTGGAAGTAAGTCCCACTGTTGCTCTGCATGAAGGCGAAGGGCTTCGTCTGGGTTTGCCATCGGTACTTCAGCCGAACCGTAATCGAGACTGAAATTGACGGTAGACGATTCATCGTCGTGGGAAGCCGTGACAAGTCCCTCTTTCGATCTTCGTTTCTTCTTCGGCCATTTACCTTCCTCTACATCTACACTCGTTACGAATATATTGGACGGCAAATCATCTCGTTTCGAAGGAGGAATCAGCCTTGTGTGCTTGACGGAGGCACCGTAACCTTTTCTGAATTTGAAGTTCCAGCAGGTGCAAGCTCATCTAGAGGTTCAGCTTGTACGGGGGAATTTTCAAGCTCTGCAAACACGATCTTTGGAGGGAGGGGCTTGTCCATAAGCTGGCGGAAATTCTTTTTCTTATTTTTGTTCCGCAGGGACACCATCATCACGTTGGGCTCGGGCTCGGGCTCTGCATCAGCAACATAGGCTTCAGATGAGGTGCGGGTTAAGGAGTTTTGCTGATTTGGAAGGGGTAGGACGGCGTTAGCACCGGATGTGGGTGCTAAAGGTTCGCCAGAGTGTTGATTGTGCTCTGCCACACGTTTTCGCCGCCTGCGGAGATTGCGATTGCGAGTGGAAGGTTTGCCGTAACCCGGGGGGACAAACGAGATGCTAGTGGATCTCAGTGAGCGACGAAGACAGTTTAATGGTTCTCGTACTTGTCTTGCAGTAGTTTTTGATTTTGTAATTGCGCTCACGCGCTTTTCGGAAGGCTGCTGTGGGGGTTTTGGGGCATCCGTATCTGAATCAGAGTCCGAGTCCGAGGAACTGGATGAGCTGAATGAGTCATCTGATGAGTTAGATGAGCTAGAACTCGAGGATGAGCTGGACGAAGGTTCCGAGGACGTAGATGCACAGCGTTTACGCTTCTGAGTGGCAGGCAAAGGTACCCCGTTACTTGACAAACTAGGTCGTGATGTTACTGCTGTGCGTTTAATGCTGTCAGGGACATAAGCTCACTGAAGTAAATGTCGCACTATCATGCTCACTAAACAGCGTCCCCGTCGCGTAAAATCGACATAGGACTTTGGTCCAGAAGGTCATACTCGTCCATCATGAGAGTGATGTTGTCGGCTTGCATACCAATGGGCAGCCGTGCACATAGCGTGCGTTTGAGTTGTGCGATTGTGTGGGCCTCGTCGTCTAGAGCAAACCATACTTTGAGCGGGCCCAACGGATGAACTGTCGAGATTTTGAGACGCATGATGACAGCGGGAGTTTAACGTTTAGAAGCTAAACACTGAACAACGTTGAACCTCCGCACGACGCAAGGTCATGATATTCCTTTAGAACGATCAATGCCTGACGTTTATTTTTTGCAAGCTTTGCTCGCAGTGTCTAATTGGTGAACATTCGTACAGATTCGTATCGAGAAAGTGCTACCAAGCAACAGCAAAATACATCAAGCTGAAGATGTCCTCTAGACCTTAGACTGGGCCTGGGTTGACTCCATCTGACGGTCGTTTTCCAGTCACTTTTCAAGATGTGAGACTATATGCTCAGTGAGGGTAGCTCGGTTTGAATCGGGTGATTGCGATTGCCTAGTGGATGTTGAGTATCATCCTGGCCTAGGACTTGCCACCATTTGCAGAGCCTGTTTTCGACCGTGTGCTACGTTCATTCGTCTGATCTGTGTCACTCTGTTCCCTCTTACTCTTACCCGTCCCCCCAAATTCGTAGCTGCTTTCACATCCGAGTCAATGAAAAGATGCCAAGTATCGCATACGCTTGTACGCCATGTTCCGGCATCTTTTCATGGGGTTATTGAAGAGAGTGATAAAGTGTATTATTCCGAGCGACTTGTAAGGCTTGAATAGATAGTAGGGGAGGGTTTCCTGCTCGTCGTGACTACTTTCTTGGAGAATTGGACTTAGAGTTGCAATGAGATCTGAATCATTTTATGCTGATTCCGACGATGGTGGCCTCCGATCGCTGGCTAAATTTGATTCTAGTCAAAAATCAGTAAGAGAACTCTTCATGATTGATCCCGTAGATGACCCTAGTCGAGATGTCCCACGGGTGTATTTACTTTATGCACTTACTTCTCCTCAAGCCACGTTGACTTTCATCCAAACTCGTTTCCTTCTATCGTTTTTTTTGCACGGACTGGCAATCAATCGTTTGTCGCTAGTCTACAGCGATGGCGAACTATCACTATGACGAAGCAGGCAATATGGCCGCCTACTTCGTCATTTCTGTTCTTGTTATTATTCTGCTGCCTGTTACATTCTCCTCACTTGCAAGCGTGTCTTCTAGTGAGCATGTTTCTCTGCTCTTGCAAATTTGACTAGAATTTGTCCAGAACGCCCAGAGCTGGATAGCGGGTGTCAATGCACACCCTGTGTACAACGTCGAGCCGACGTAAGGAGACACCAGCGTGGCTCCCCGCTCCGACCAAAGTTTACCAGAAAGTGAGACATGCGCGTGTTTCTGAATTCCACTCACGCTCTAAAAGGGCACTCTTAATCACCATGGGCTGGGCTGCTGTCGCGTTCCTCTCATTTAAAGCTGCACATGCAGAAGTAGAAAACAAGGTCTATAATCCATTCGAAATCCTTGAAATCAGCACCGTATGTATAACTGGATATATCCACTCTCTTTGGTTGCTTATATCACGCAGGGAGCAACGGAGAAGGAGATCAAGTCGCGTTTCAAGGAACTATCACGATTATTGTATGCATCTGATTCCCTGTGTTGTGTATAGAGCATGCGAACTCACCATTCCCAGTCATCCCGACAAAGTCAAACCAACCATCAATGAGACAATAGAGGACATTGCCAACCGTTTCGTAGACATTACCAAGGCATACAAGTCGTACGTCGTATGTCGAGTTCGCAGCCAGGTATGATCTCACTAACACTATTTCAAGGTTAACAGACGAGACCATTCGCCGCAACTGGGAACTTTTTGGGCACCCCGACGGCCGACAGGAAGTCTCGATGGGCATTGCTCTGCCAAAGTGGGTTATTGAAGGCAAGAACAACATCTGGGTCCTCGGTGTATATGGCATTCTCTTCGGTGGCGCACTCCCCACGCTTGTGGTATGTCCCCCGGCATCACCTTATCTTGGTTGGTCCTTACACAGCATAGGGCCGCTGGTGGTTTGGTAACCGCCAAAAAACAAAAGATGGCATTAATGCAACGACCGCCGCAGCGTTCTTCAAGGCGCTCACGGACAATAGCGGCATGAAGGAGGTCATCGGTGCGCTGGGCCAGGCATACCGTTGGGAGACTACATGGGCAGGCACCGCAGTGGGCTTAGAGGAGCTCGAGAAACAGATCGATGAAAAGATGGGCGACGAATGGAAGGAGGTAAAGGATCTCGTCGCTCCTGGTGGAAAATGCGAAGGGACCGAGCAGCGGGCCTTGGTATTGCTGTATGCACACTTCCTGAGGTTAACTATCAGCAACGAGGCGCTTAAGCAGGGTAGGTTTGACTTTCAGGAAGAGATGACGTCTTCTGATCAGTTGTGCATTCAGAACAAGCCAAGTTGTTGTTACAGGCACCGATGCTGCTTAACGCACTGCTGGGAATTTCAGCTGCACGGAGTTGGTTGTCACCCACCTTGATGGTAATCCGTCTACATGCCTACGTCACGCAAGCTCTTCTCCCCGGAAAAACTGCTGCACCACAAGCTCAATTACCTGGCTTTGATGGTGATGCAGATGCATCAGAAGGGAAAGACCTTGCCTCCTTCATATCGCGCTTAGAGGACGAGGGAGACATTCGGATAACGGAAGCACGAAAGGCAGTCGAGGGCTGGAGTCGGTTGGATGTTGTGGATATGTCTTTCAAGGGTTCGTTCTCGATCGTGATTATCAACTCAGTACTTATTTCATTTCAGTTATTGGTGAACGCTTGGTTACACCGTCATCCATTGTTTTCCTCCTCGTTAAACTGCGTCTTCACCGGCCACTTCAAAATGATGCACCCTCGACTGTTTCTGAAAAATCTGCGAAGGCTATCCGGGAAGACAGGGAGAAAGACGACAAGTTCTTGAACAGCCGAAAGGATGCTGAGGATATCGAGGGGAACACACCTGTGTGGGCTCATGCACCTCACTGGCCAGGGGTCTATCTTTTCCTTTGGTGCTATCTCTACATGTCTGACTGGAACGTTCACAGTTGCGCAAACCAGGCTGGTGGCTAGTCCTTGCTGATGACAAGTCGAATAGAATTGTTGTTCCTCCAATGAAGATATCAGATGTACCCGCGTCGAGCCCCGGGAAGGAACGTGACTATCGCTCATACAAGTTACAGTTCCAGGCACCCCCCAACGTGGGCTTGTTTACTTGGAAGGTGTACCTAGTAAGCGACACGCTCGTAGGGGAGGAGTCATGCCAGGACATTTCGGTGAGTTTCCGTTAAGCTTTGCAGTGGTACGATGACCGATGTAGCACGCAGCTCAAAATTGATGACATATCTGCACTCAATGCAGAAGAACAGACGGCGGAGGATGAAATTTCTGATCCTGAGGAGGATTCGTTGGCGGGTCAGATGGCTGCAATGCGCGGAGGAGCTGTGAAGCGTACAGTCGCACCTGAGGAAAGCGAGGACGAGAGTTCGAGCGATGAGGAGCAGCATGGTGATGATAGCTCAGATAGCGACTAGATGTTGCATGTCTTGTCTAATTAGATTACATCTTGGTATTTTATCTGCCTCCCTTCCTCTTTACGGTAGTAAAGCCATCCTCGTCAATGTTTGATACTTCCTTTGCGCGGTCGAGCAGCTGTGGAACAACCTCCTTCCCGAGATTTTCGCCATCGCTTCCACTCTCATCCTCACTATCGCCGTCGCTATCTTCCCAATCACTTGCACTCCCTGCATCAACTTCATATTGTGGCATTTTTCCTTTCATCCGATCCGCTTGCATCTCCAAATCCTTGACATATCCATCCTTGCCCTCCTTCGCATCGTTCCACAAACGCACGACGTCTCTAGCAACGTCGAACGCGCTCTCATCCTCGAGCGCAACCTCAAACTCGTCATCCATGATCTGGAGCAGCATCGTTTCTATGTATTCGGCATCAGGCTCAGGAAGCGCGTGTGACGGATGCATGGGGGCTGATTGATAGGAATCGAAAACCGTCAATGAAGCAGATACTGGTGGAAGTGATGCTTCGAATTCATCTATGATGACACCCGCTAACCAGCGTTGTTTTTGTGCGCTTTGTGGACCCCCCCAGTTTTGGTGCACGGCGATGCGAAGAGCTGGCCATAGTGCGATGCGGGCTAGAAGGCCACGCGCGAATAAAACTGATATAGGTGACGCATCTGAAGCCATCGCAAAGGGTGAAAGATGGGTAGGGATCGCTTACTAAGCGATCTGTATGGATGAATAGATATCACTGCCTGGTGCACTTAGCCCACTGGATTTCGGTCACGGTTCGTCACTCTCTGGTATTATAACCTCAAGCTAACTTTCAAAAGTCAGCGTTTCCGTGACAACTTGAACGGATCCCGGAAACGCCTTCTTTTATCCGGGCCCCTGAGTTGACGTTCTACATGCAACGGTACTCGAAGTCAAAGATGTCTGAGGGATGTCTCCCTACCTTCCTAGTAAGGGTAGAATAACGACTTGATTGTATCTTAGATATATAGGATAGTATCCTGCTCTGCAATCTTCACAGAAGATGTCCGCGATGACCAGGTTGTCTACGAGGCAATAAAACCCACTGCCAGAGCGGTGGAAGCCATACTGTGACCAGAAGCCTCTCAAAGACTCTTATAGTACGGTCACGTTGTACTTAACGATGGCATCGTTAACATGTATTATTCGTTCAGGCAACTTAATTATAGATCTATGCCGACTGGCACACTACGGGACAAAATCAATGTTATGGCCGGGGTAGCTGCGCTGGGAGCCAATGAAATGTCCTGCAGCGGATGATTTGCTGAAACACCAACCCGACAACCGAGCTTGGCTTCCCTCTGCAAATATTGCAAGCCCACTGTATTGAATTAGTTGCAACTCCGAAGTTGAAACCCCTCAAAGACAGACAGGTCGGTAGTCTACTTACAACAGCGTACGCTTTGTGCTGATATCATGGTTCGGTCATCTCCTCGAAGATAAGCATTATATGTGATGTGATAATGCGTAGGGTTATCTTTCGAGCAAGGGATTAGAAGATGCTAGTGAAACATTTTATCATTGCATTACAAGCGATCGACTCGCCTTCGGATGTTGCGATGACTCGTAGAGTTACAATTACAGCTTGGCGAAAATCGTGTCAACTGTCATCTCTCCCTCGTCTGTTGTCAGAAATAAGCTCAGATTGTTTAAAGCTTTCTGCATGCACCGTGGCATGGGTGGGGTCAGCAGTGGATAGCCTACCCGATGATACTCATTGTATTTTCATTGGCTGTATATGTATTTTTCAAGCCAAAGAGATCTCGAAGCCTTTTCGAGGCACAAACTGAGCGAGAATCCCATCCAAGTACTTCATTTCTGTCTCGAGAAGTGCCGGTGCTGATAAAGATTTCAAAACGAGTCGATTAAAATTCAGAGCCTTATTGTTGTCGACATATATCGCTACATATGCGTCTCCGTCTCCTCGACTCTCGAGGGAACCCACGTCAGCGACCGTCTGGTCTTGGTTCTGATAATCACAAAGATCAATTCAAGTCAGACTTCGTTGAGAAATAAAATACTCACGTGACCATTGTACGCTCAGAATTAGATTATCGTAACCTTTGCCGTTTAGTTTTTCCATTGCCCGTTGCGCAATAGCGCGCTCGTCGAAGGATACAAAAGCAAAGCCTTTTCCAATACCCGTCTCTCGGTCACGGCCGACATAAACCCTCGCTACACGCCCGAACGTGCCGAAAAGCTCGCGGAGATCGGATTCTTGCGTGTCTTCAGAGATATTGGTGACACGGAGTGTGGGGAGGTCTTCACGAGAGCCGCCTGGGCGTCCCATGGATTCACCAGGACGAGAAGCGCCACCACGCATTGATGGTGGTACATATTTGCCACCGGTCGCCCCACTGGCTGCAGGAGCGGGTACGTCGGCCGCATCATCAGTAGGTGGTAGGTCTGTCCGTGTCCATGTCAACAAGATCGAGCATGATGTGAATATGCCATGCTGCGGAAAAGTACGAACCAGCAGTTTCGAGACCAGCAAGAGAGTCCTTATATGGGCACTTGGCGGTGAAGTGATCACCTTTGCAAAGACGACAAACAACCTTGCCTGCACCGGCCTTCGCAAGTTCGGTTTTGATATTTTGCTCGGGCGTTACCTCCGGCTCAGAGGACTTTTACAACTGTCAGTCTGATTCAAAAATAGATGAACATGATAGACAAACTTTGTTTCCTGCACTAATTTTCAAAGCCACATTCTCTCCTACTGTGGTCGTCGCTCGATCTGGTCCCTCCTTGTTCCCTCGTTCCTTGCCAAACTTGGCCCATTTCTTGCGTTCAGCAACCGTGTGCTCGACGACGGATTTTTGAAGTGTACGTTTTATCTTACGTGTTATCTTAGAGAAAATGATCAGCATACGGGGATGCAAAACATGCCGACACGGTAGATGGACATGGTATGCGAACCGCTAGTGGGCAGACATACCTTGACCTTCTTTCCCTCATCATTTATAGCATACTCAATAGTGATACGGATTCCATTCTCATCCACATAATCCTCAATCTTTGGTTGATCTACTTGAGAACGTTAGACTGCGATGTGATTGTGGACGCGAAGGTGAGTATTCACCAAGCTCATCAACGTCATCTGCCCAAGAGGTTTTGGGTATACTGTAAAAGATTGTGAACTTTACAGCCCGAACTCTGGAAACTCCAAACCTACGTTGCTGCTGCCATGTTATCAATGAATAAGTATGTTGCTGGTGTGCTGCATGGAGTTTACAGAATAATGGTGGCAGTGTTATCCACGTGATCGGAATTTTGCAGCTTCATCCACTAGATTACTAGTGTCCACATCGCCCTCGACGTCCCCAAGCTCACGACATAATCACCCTCTTCAATGGTAAGTTATTGTATTTCCCATATTATAGTCAGAATCCGCCGCTGGATCGTCTCGAAATACCAATAATCCGAGTCCAAATGGTGGATTGACAACCCGTACTTTGGATGTGGTACTTCTATCATCACAATCGCTAACGCGTTCCTCTCTTTGTGATGCGCAGGCCTCCTCAGAACTTGCCGCGACGTACGCCGCACTTATCCTCGCCGATGAGGGTATTGAAATTACCGTGCGTATCTTGCAGGTGTCACATCCATATTTCTCGTAGCTCAAGAAGCACATGCAGGCTGACAAAATACTCGCCTTGACTGAAGCCGCCTCGGTCGAGCTCGAGCCAATCTGGGCATCTCTCCTTGCTAAGGCTTTGGAGGGAAAGAATGTGAAGGATCTGCTATCAAACGTCGGTGCTGGTGGAGGTGTACCAGCCGTCGGCGCGCCCGTTGCTGCTGCCGCTGGTGGTGCCGCCGCCGCCGAAGCACCGAAAGAAGAGGAGAAGAAGGAGGAAGCAAAAGAAGAGTCAGACGACGACATGGTAAGTGCTAAAATCGCCTTTTCCAGTCACCGCAGGTTGCTGATGCTCGTTCACAGGGCTTCGGGTTATTCGACTAATCTGCAGTTTTCCTTTATTATGTTATTCATCCATTGCATTTGCCACATGGGTTCGCTCTCTACATCTTGCGTTGTACCCCTCACGCCACTTTGTGCTACGCACTGAATTCAACACCTGAAACCCATTTGGATCACTGCTTGAGAAAAATGAGAACTTACTAAAGATATCAACATCATCTCGCAGCTGCCCTGCAGTCCGCTAATTTAATTGCTGTCTGCACAATACGTCTTTCAAGCCCGAAGTGATAACTATAGCTGGAAAGTAATTGATCCGCAGGTTCCCAAGTCGCCGTCCTCTTGCCCTTTGGGCACAAAGGGCCGAATTCATGGAGCGAGGTGCGCGTGGTAGCGCCTGTACGTGGAGCAACTTGCGGTGAGCTGATAGTTATGCGAACTATCTTTGGCGCAGTCGAGTTTCAAAGACGGGGTATTATTGAAAGTATGCTTGAAAATGCACAGAAGGTAGGGAAACATTGGCACTGGGACTGGCAATAGTTAGGACAACAAATCTCAAAGATTGGACAAGTACAATACGAAAATACGATACCGAATGTAGTGTCCATCATAGGCCCCTGAACCGTTCCAACGTTCTCTCTGTAAGCCAAATTAATAGTACACGGCTTGTGGGCCACTGAGAACTCCTCCATTTATTGATCTGTAATTATGTACTACAAACTCTATGACCGAGGAGCTGGATAGCATGGAATTCGAAGGCGTGCGTACGTCCGCTTGCGGTACTTCATGAAGGCGGACAACATCTTTCGTGCAAGGAGAATGCGTGGTTTGAGGAACAGGTGAGGGACTTTGTTTGGGACGACAGGAAAATGTGAAGGAGTAGTTGATATGCCTACATTAGTCCAAAGAAACCTGTGCGTTATCAATTAATGGTTTGCGTTCGGTCTTTTTGCTAAGTGTGGTCGCAAATCAAGGTCCTAGCTCTATCCTGAATGTTAAATTTTTGGTGTAATCACTGCTTGCTACTTGAGTGAATCCGAGAGTCAGGAAGAAGTAAAATACGGTCAGTCCTTCGTTTTGTTCATCCTTGCTTTGCTCGGCCAGGCAGTCTCACAAGCATTTCGACACTACTTGACTTTTAACAAGCCACGGCTTAGCTTCGCATACAATCCAGACGAGTTCTCCTTGCAACAAGCGTTGGTAGATATATAGAGAAATAAGGTAGCCTGGTGGATCCGAGAAATAACTTTTATAACGCATCTTCAAATAATAACATTCGTGGTTTGCTTATGTGGGGCGATGGTGAATATAAAGCAGGCCTAGGGAAGATACTGTTAGAAGTATGATTGGGTCGCAAACTATGATCACACTTACATAGAAGTTCCGCAATTTGCAGCCGCGTTACCCATTATAATGCTTTCTGATACACCAGCGATACTGTCGTTCTTCCCGAAGGCTGCTGCATCAAACAAATGGTCTGTCGTCTTTTCGAAAGAAGCAAGCATAAGAACGCTGTCCTTCATTTTCGCGACACCAAAGCGAGTGATACCAAGAACCTCTCCCTGAGTGAGCAATTAGCTAGAGAAATTGGTATTGCACCGCACTCGTACTTTGTAGCTCATGACATCGCCAAGCAACATGACATGACGAGGGTCAATGCTCATTCCGTGGCTCTGCATGGTATACTGGATTTCGTCGATGATGGTCCGTCTTGCTGCTTCAATCCCCAAGACTTTTGCTGTCTCAATTACATGGTTGGAAGTCGTAGCCTCGCCAACAATTCCTACATCTAGGTCAGCAAATTGTGGCTAGTTTGAAGAACAGAAAAGCCTACCCTCCGTGGTCATGACCTTCTGTAGTCCGTAACCTTCTACAAGTAGTTCCTTGTCTCCCTTTTTCCCCTTGGCATCGTCCTTCTCTTTGATGTTAATGACGGCGCGCTGAATAGTTGGCACTCCCTGTGGAAATTATTCAAAGACTGATCACGGGCAAGGCCAAGTGATTGACCTTCACTACTACATCCGGCAAAACTCGTTTCAATTCTCGCAACTTGTAGTATTTGTCCGTTCCATCAATATATATACGCAAGCGGTTTCTGCGAGGAATGACGGTAATGGACTGTCGACAGTAAGTTTCGTGACAACATATACACGGCACGGATCTCACCTCTTGTTTAATCTTGAGCTTTCTCGTGGCTACGATCGCCCACTTTATATCGTCCAAGGTGAGTTCAAGCTGGTGTGACAAGTGAGCACACATTGAATGATATGTTCAAGGACCAACCTGGAGCTTCTGAATGGTATCCATATCTATAATTACACCGATATAAGTGTACTCTGGTGCCCATGCCTCTTCAAAAACAGCAGCAATCTGCACGAATTTTAGGATGTCATCTGAGGTTTATTGGCTGAAAATGTCTTACATCGCCCAAGTGAGTTTTTTCAAGACGGCCCTTAACTATACGTGCAGAAGGCTCGCTGTTGGGTGTGACGAGCTTGCAGCTAATAATGGGCGTGCTAATAGTCTTGGATGCGTTGATGATTTCCTTGATTCGCGGAACACCAAGCGTGACATTCATCGAAGCAACCCCAGCAAAATGGAAGGTCTTGAGGGTCATTTGTGTCCCTGGTTCTCCAATGGACTGAGCACCAACTGCACCCACAGTGGAGCCTGAACTCCACTTAGTCTCCCTGAGGGCAACTCGTATAGACACCACTTACCGGGCTCGATCCTGGCTTTGACGTACTTTTTCCAGCACATGGCAAGAAAATGCTGGAGTTGAGACTCGGTAACTTTGGCCTTATTGTCTACGATGGCCTTGGAAGCGGCTAAGAAATGTGTCAGAAAGCAAAGGTAGACATGTTTCTGTGCGAACCTGAAGCTCCCATAGACAAGTCGGTATCACAGTCCCATTCATCTGAGCGCTCCAGAGCCTCAAACATTCCCCGGCTTTTGCGCATCGCAGCGAGATGATGAGCGATATGCTGAACAACAAAGTCTCGTATAGTATCAAGATAGGCTGGTGTGCACTCGCTGGTGAACTTTGGTTTCTTGAGCTCTAGATCAACGAGTTCCACAACCTCGAAGGGGAGCAAACCGCGACCACGACGGTTTCCTATTGCCTGCACAAAAGTGAGACGTTTGAATTAGATAGACAGCCGTATTGGTACACACCAAAGCATGCGTCCATGCGCGCTCGAACTCGACCGGCTGTGCGTCACCTTCAAGACATGCAGGATCTAAGCCATCGTCACCATATCTGAACTGCACAACGCCGCCTGTGGAGTTGCGCACTGATAGATCATATTGAGTGGTCAGATCCTCCAGTGCCTTCATCAAACGTCGTTGCATGTAACCAGTCTCAGCGGTCTTCACCGCGGTGTCGACCAAACCCTCACGACCGGAAATGGCGTGAAATAAAAATTCGGTCGGTAGCAGACCGCTAAAAAAGCTGTTTCTGACGAAACCTTTGGATGGAGGTTCTTTCGACTTCTTCGGGAAATGCGGTAGAGAACGATCTTGAAATCCATCTGGAACACGGTGACCCGCAATGATTTGCTGACCGACACAGGCAACCATCTGAGAAACATTGATCACGGAACCTAGTAACACTAAGCAACATTGACCAAACAGAATCCAAGGGACAAACCTTTAGAGCCACAAGTTGCCATGATTAGAGGTGCATTATGTCGACTCAGCTCCTGCATACAGATGTCTCCGACCTTGTCCCGAACTCTTGAAAGGATTCCAGATATCATAGCTTCAAGTGTTTGTTCTTGGTTGCATCCTGGTTTATTCTCCAGTTTCCCCTTCTTTGCCTGCGTAATGAGACTTGTACATTCAGCGTAAGCAGCCTCGACCATCTGGTTTTTCTTCGATGCAAGAATAGGCCCTGGAATGACATCGTTTATTCCGAGAGAGAAACCGAAGTTGGCTGAAAGGAAATTAAAATGTGAAATGTGTCTGATCGACGATAAGACGCACCCAGCCAACGAGCGCACAGTTTTGCTACACGGTTCATGGCTGCGGCAGCCTCATGTGGGCCGTAGTCCCTCATGATTATTCCGAATATTGACTTCTTCTTCCCGCTGCCGACGACGGCTTTATCCATGACACCACACATAACTTCGCTGTTGACGATGACAAGCCAAGCATCGTTCGGAGAGAGATCTGGGGCCGGGTCTTTGATGGAGGGGTAATGTTCAGGTTTTAGCTTTTCCGGTTTATTGCACTTGCATTCAACGTTCACAAATACGTTGGATTGCTTGTTAGGACGCATGAGAACGTTGAAAATCTGTTTGCCTGTCCACAGTCGTATAGGCTTCCAGATCGTCGGTGGGGGTATGTCAATCTGCAAGTTGGCATCGGCAAAGTAGCAACATATTTGCGTGAACTGGCGACGGTCGAAAAATGTATCTTTACGAGTCATCAAGTAGGAAGCCGTGATAAAATCTTGAATGGCAGCGATCACAGGCTCTCCGTTTCGAGGGGTGACTAGATTATGTTTCACGCTCATGAGCTCGAGCGCTTCTGTTCTTGCTTCCTCCGTCTGAGGAATATCTAATCGAGAGATCATGAGTGTTCGAACATCAGTCAGTATGACAAAAAACTGACGAAGATTCATTTCATCGCCATCAAAATCGGCATTGTAAGGGCCGCAAACACATTCGTTTAGACGGAAGGAGCGCCAAGGACGAACCTTGACCCTGTGACACATAATCGAGAGCTGAAAGGTACCAAGTTAATGAAGGTTTGAAGCTTTTACAGAATGAAAGACCTTATGTAGACTGGGTTGTCGATTGAACAAGGCGATATCACCGTCGATGATATGCCTCTCGACAATGTCTCCAATTCTCAGACTGTCAGCCACCGCATTGCGATTGCCAAACTTCAAGAATTTCTTGAAGCCACTGCTGCCCGCTGTTACGTAGTTAGCGCCGGGGTGTACATCACACCCATTGCGAACAGCTTGTTTGAGACCGTCAATGTTGTGAGAAGTCACACGTTCCGGGTATGTCAATATCTTCGCGACACGCTCTGGTACCGCTACTTCATCGATACGCAAGTTGGGGTCAGGGGAAATCACGGTACGACCGGAGAAATCGACACGTTTCCCAGACAAATTACCACGGAATCGACCCTGTTTGCCCTTCAGGCGCTGTACAAAGCCCCTCATTGGCTTTTGACCAGCTTGTGAGGGTACCCCAGGAAGTTCGGAGTTGATGTACATGGCAACGGAAAGTTGAAGGAACTCCCAGTGTTCCTGAGTACAAGTTGAGTAACGGTAAGCACTGTGAATAATCCTCACTTACCATGAATTGTGCAGTAGGCGCTCCTTTAGACAGACCTTGCTTTATGAGAGCATTGGTGAAAACGATCTCCGTAAGTTTGACAGTGAGGTCATCTTCGTTGGAAGCTCCATCCTGGGCAACAGATGGTCTGATGCAAACCGGTGGAACAGATATGTACTGCCAGATATACTCTTCTGGACGACCGAACTCGGGTCGTAGACCAAGTAATTCACAGTCCTGAAAGTAGATGTTAATCCCGTGAACCTTTGAAAGTAGACATAAACGCGACCTCATCGGATATTCTCTTAAAGAGATCGAGAGTTTTTAGTGGATTTAAATCTTCGTGGATTGCCTTGTTCAAGTACATCCCAAGTTCCTTCTGCGCCTCTACCGCCGGAGCAAATGTACGCTTCCATTTCTCCATCTCGTCTGCTGTCTTCTTCGCGCGGAATTTATCGTGGATAATTTTCAGTACTCCTGCCTTTTTAACAGCGCCATTCGTTGCTGAGCAGTACGGACAGTAGACGACCTTTCGTGCCATCGTATTGACCTGTTTGCATAACGCCTGTCGATGGATATTTTCAAGACCTGGTCTGCGGAAGCGTTTGAGGTATGTCCGCCGGTCAGGCTCCTCCAGTAGCACGCGAGCGCAGGTCTTTTATCGCGTCATAAAGCAAGAAAAGTATGAAAATTTACCCGCTTACTTTGCATATGGCCTGGAGGACGGCAATAGTATGTTTGAAGTAGCCGATGTGGAATACTGGGACCACTAGTTTGATATATGCGTAGTGGCCAACGCAGTCGACAGAATTGAGGCCGCAGGTCTCACAAAATGCGTTCTTCTCTGTCGTTCCCTAAGATGGTGATCAGTCGCATCGTACATGGGAAGGTGTTGGGGACTCACCAGCCGACGATCTAAGACGCCATCTTTGACGGGAAGTCGATCGGTGGGCGTATACAAGTCGCGGTGAGTGATCTGGAATTCGGAGATCTTAACTGTATCTTGGGCATTGAGCAAGCTGAACTGCAACTGTTTTCTGATGGGCTCTCGCGTCAACCAATTTAAGAAAACTGGAGGAGGGGATCGGACATACATAACTTTGGGTGCCTCAGAAGGTACAGTCTCCTTCATGGTAAAAAATTTAGTACAAGAAGCTAGATTTTGCGACGACGCCTGTCACTCATGCGCAATGCACGAGTAAAGTGTCTGTGTATATATAAGTACAACTTGAGTTGGACGTCAACTAGCTATAGCTACAAGTTTTGGATATCAGATCAATCAATATGTGACGTAACTTTCTTGTGACCGTGTGACATAATTGAGTGACCCTGTGACGAGACTTGCGCGTCGCGTGTCTGCGATTGAATCATATCCTGCATCCAAACCATGTCGAGAACATCATACGATAGGTTCGAGTATTCACCAGCTCCGCCGTTTGCATGCTCATGAATTGTTTGACAGATATCTCACTGTTTTCTCGCCCGAGGGTCGACTGTACCAAGTCGGTGCGTTGATGATTATTGGACATGTTCACAATGACGCGTGCTTATATATTCCCCTTTAGAGTACGCATTCAAAGCTATCTCTGGTTCAGGCCATACAGCGGTCTCTGTTAGAGGACATGATACCTCTGTAGTCATTACCCAAAAGAAGATCCCAGTATGTTGTGCTAGTAAACTGCTGTCATCACGATATTTACTTCAGATCAGGACAAGCTGTTGGATGCATCGACTGTTACGCACCTCTACAGCATCACCCGTACTATTGGGTGTGTCATGACTGGCCTTGTCGGTGAGTCAAATGCTGATGTGGAATAGCTTGTACTTGCGCTGACGTAGGTTACAGCTGATGCCCGTGCCCAAGTTTTACGTGCTCAGCAAGAAGCTGTCCAGTGGAGATACAAGTATGGATACGAGATAACTCCGGATGCTCTGGCACGACGACTGGCAAACATCAATCAAGTCTACACGCAACGGGCTGGCATGCGGCCCCTAGGCATTTGTCAGGCCACCTATTTTTGTTACCGTCTTTAGCAACTAACGACAGCTCATAGCTATGATCCTAATTGGCATCGATCCAGAATATGGGCCGCGATGTTTTAAATTGGACCCCGCAGGTTACTTTGTTGGGTTCCACGCCACTGCTGCTGGACAGAAACAGCAAGAAGCGATGAATCACCTAGAAAAGAAATGGAAGAAGTTAGACAAGGGTAAGGGAGCTGATGATGCTGCAGCTGCTGGCAAGAAGCTCAGTCGAGCGGAGGTTATTGAGGTGAGTCATACTATATTACAAAATGACGCAGATAGCTGAGCATTGTTTAGATTGCAATAGAAGCAATGTCGACGGTTCATGCGACGGACTACAAGGCTGGAGAGATAGAGATTGGAATCGTGTCAACTGCTGAGGACGAGGACCCCAAGACTCGTGGTGAATGGCGTGTGATGAATGAGGCCGAAGTAGAAAGATATCTCCTAGCATATGCAGAAAAGGACTAGGATGCATTGTTGCACACATGAGAATTCATCATTTGCCCGCGGAAACTCGGAGTAATTTAGATAAGTTTTTGGGATAATGCGGTATGAATTGCAGATGATGTCTATCGGATTTATCTATTCTATCGCAGAGAAGCTCCCCCACTCTGCACGACTGTGAGTACTGAATCATGTGTTACACAGAAATACTGACCAGTATAGCATCTATCTCGACTTGTTCCAAGTACCTGGAGGATGGTTTCGAGAAGCGTGCTGGAGCGTCCCAGAATTCTAGGAATGCAGCATGATCCTGCGGTGCTCGGGGTGAGCTCTGAGAAACAGCCTTTTCAGAAAAGGACTTTTGCCATTCTGGAGGAGCAGCTGGATGAGGGTGAGAAGGACCTGCAGCTATTGTGACATTTAGGTGTTGTGCAAGACAATAAGTTACCCAACGCACTAGCTGGCCATACACGCTTTCCGATGAAGCTGATGAGAGGTTTGTGTGCTAGCACCTTAACAGATGGGTGCATGGTAACTGGTGGCTGAGAAGCGGGCCGCCTGGCAAAGCTGTTCGTGGGATATTTTATTTGTACATATTTACTTGGCCACCGGGAAGGCTGAAGCAACCGCGCCGATCGCCTAGTGACGCCGCCAAGTGGCAAAGGTACTAGTAGACGCTTCAAGAAAGATAAATTCAGGTATACGACTGCTGGCATACTTTGACGGTTCTGTGTTTCCCAGAAACAATATGTCGGTTCTTCAGGCGTACTCTTCCCTGTCATCGAGTTCTCCAAGAGCTACGATATCACACACACTTCAATTAATCGCTGGTATGTCTTAATCGTATCTTATTGCTAACTACTTCAATCTGTTTTTTTAGGTGCTCCGCCTATCGATCCTCCTTCCTGTAAAACACTCATTCAGCTCATCATTGATGATCTCCAGGCTGTCATTATCGATGGCTCGCCCAGCCGTTTAATCAGAGATGGTTTGCTCACCCTATTAGATTTATACACTCAGTACTGATCTCATGTCAATTTCAGACGCGTTGTCCGCCATTTCTGCCGTCAAGGGACTCGGTAAAACTCCCCACGGTGCCCAGGTTCTTGCATCAGTTCCTAACCTCAAATGTCTTATGACGCTTGCCATAAAACTCGAAACTGCTCCTGATGCATCGAACGAAGCTTTGAAGTGCGTCGCCAACACCTTACTCCTTAGTGAACCTGCCCGCACCAGGTTACTGAGTCAAGAAATTGATGGAGGCAATATCTGTGTCGACCTGCTCCAGGTCAGCACCCATTACCCTGCGTGTTTTGCATTCCGCCCATTTTTTAATAGAAATCTGCAACACCCGAGAGCACATTTCTCTCGTCCAGGGTTCTCTTCCTCTGTACTGCGTCCTCTCATCAATCTTTTTCCTTCATTGAATCTATCGTCGAGACAAAACGCACCCACTTTCCTGGAAATGGAACAATACTCGATGTTATTGCCTTCAAGTTGGATGATTTAATTGCATCCATGCAAGTTGGAACAAAGATGTCCCGCGATGCCATGACAGATCTCCTGAAGTTTACCTTCAATCTCCTCGTACACTATCCCAAGGTCAGTCTCCTCTTTTTCAAGCACAATTACGAACTCTCAGTCGTGTCATAGCTGGCCCCCTCTGAGTTGCAATCTCCCGGCATAGTCTGCTCTCCTGTAGACCAAAAGGTAATGGGAGATTTCTGGAATTCGCGACTTGATGCGTGAGTATCTTGTGGTAATTTGTTTTCACGGCATCTCACACGGTGCTACAGCATCCTACCTCCACTTGTTCGTGCCTTTCAGGCCATCCCCCTGTCCTCCCCAAATCCCCTTACATCGCCATTGACTCACATCATTCACTCGCTAATCACTATCCCTGTCGACGCGTCATCCCGAGCGGTATGGTTTGGTACTTGTCCACATTCACATTCGACTACCCCTCAGCCTAGTCCCCCTGAGTCCACAACCTCTTCTTCAACTGGTTCAAGTCACGATAGTCAGTCAACGCCTAAGGAGCCAAAGGCCAGGCATATTGAACGCGCCATATCGTCTGTCATTTCAGCCGGTCGCCGTTCGTTCTGCTGCTCTCCACGTTCGGACTCGCCTTCGGCAGCTGACTGCGCTTCACGCGCTTATGAACTCCTGGACATGACCCTTGCTCATTTCCTTCCAGGTGATATTGATCCAGATGATCCTGCAGTACGAGATCTGTGCAAGATCGATGGGGATACGTCCCTGGATGAAATCCTGTGCCCGCTTGTTCTACTTATCACACGATTCTGCCTTGGTGACGACGATGCCAAGACAAGAATAAGACAGTGGTTAGTACCTGAAAACCTGGACAGGACGCATCCTTTGGAGAAGAGAGCAGACCTTTTAGGTCGGTGTTTGAGACTCCTTGCATCCGTCTACCACAGCACGTTGAAGGACGCTATGGGAGAAATGTTGTACGCAATGTGTGATTCAAACGGTGTGTCATATGCTCCCCCCGTCGGTTGTATTTACGAATGAAATTTAGCTTCATCCCTTGCTGGTTATTTCGGGTACGGCAATGTTGCTGGTTTCCTTTATCACAAAGGCGTTGTCAGTGCACCGCCCGTCAGCGCAGCCTCAGGCGCACCACCAACTACTGCGTCAGGTTTACCCATCAACCCCATCACTGGCACCGTTGAGCATCCCTCTGAAACTGTCGACATGACTGATGAAGAGAAGGAACACGAGGCGGAGAAATTGTTTGTATTATTTGATCGGCTGGAGAAGACTGGTGCGCTACCTCCGAGCCAGAATCCTTATCGGAAGGCATTTCAAGAGGGTAAAATGGGCTGATCTCAGTCAGCAACGGTGGATACGAAAGTTATCATGGACCTGCGAGTAGCTTACCGATACCATCCTTTGTTGTTTCCTTACCTTGAATCCACAGTTAATGAAGTATGATAGATCAAGTTGTCAATCGCAGTGATAGAACAGTATGCATATGTATATACGAAAGATATGCAACGACTTGAACCACTTAAAAGTGGGAAGTCATCATTTTTGGGTAACGCTGTGTAGCCTAATCGAAAGTGATCTTGGACCCCTCAAACTGGGTGACGGCTCCAGTGCGTGCGCCCCCTCGACCTCTGCCGCCACCCCTCCCACCCCGGTCACCGCCACGGCCGCGTCCCCTCCCACCACGGTCACCACCGAACCCACCACGTCCACGTCCGCGGTCACCACCGCCGAACCCACCACGTCCACGACCTCGATCGCCGAATCCTCCACGGCCTCCGCCCCGTCCACCCCCAGCGCTGTCTCTTGGTTGGGAATAGTCCAAGCGAAGGCTGCGGCCGTCAAGCTCATAACCCTGCAGTTGTCCGTGGGCTGTCTGTGCGGCCTCCACAGCACTAAACTCGACATAGGCAAAACCCTTCGGCCTTCCCGATTCACGATCCGTTGGAACACGAACGCTTTTAACGTCGCCGTGCTCACCAAAGACTTCCCAAAGTTGATCCTCGTTGACACCAAAGCTAAGATTCCCAACAAAGAGAACACTTGACACTGGGCTCTGCGTATCGCCAAAAGACTTTGCCCGGTTTTCACGGACAGCGCTTTTATCCGGCGGAGTGCTTTTGTCAATATTGACGGGTCGTCCATCTATTTCCTTGCCGTTCATTTGGAGAGCTTTCTCAACCGCATCTGCGGATGTGAAGTGAACATAGCCAAAACCACGCGACTTCCCAGTTGCGCGATCCGTTTGTACTTGAGCAGAAACAATTTCGCCGCAGGAGGCAAATTCCTGTGCAAGCCAGTCGTTGTCGACATTCCATGATAGCCGACCAACGAAAATACTTTTCGTTTCCTCGGTCGATACGCTAGGAGCTGCATCGTCATCGACCAATTTTACCTTTTTTTGGGGAACGGAAGGCTCTGCTTCTGCTTTGCGCTTGGTGCCTGTAGACCATTCAGGCTGATGAACGACTACTGTGATCAATGGCTTACCCTTGGCAGGCTGAGCATTTTGCACCTCAGCGCCTTTGTCCCCATCCTGATCTGACGAGCTCTCGTCGCTCGAAGAATCGGAAGAATCACCACTTTCTTTACCCTTCTCCCTTTTGCCGGCCGGAACACTGGCGGGTTTTTCATCATCTGATGAATCATCAGAGTCGGAGGTAGGGGCAAGCTTTTTGGGTTGTCCCTCCGAAGAGGAGTCCGAAGACTCATCGCTTGATTCGGATGCTTTTGAAATCGATGCTTTGAGTGCTCCCTACGGATATTGAATGATCGTCGAAAGACTGAAAAAATGAAGACATACAGCCTTGGCCAAAATGTCCTTGGGTGATGTTGGCAATTTGACTTTTTTTGCTGGCGAGGCGGTTGATTTTGCTGCCTTGGTCTTATCTGTCTTTTTGCCTGAAGCCCACGACAAAAAATCAGGTTGAGCGGAGACTAGTGCAATCAATTACTTACCATTGGTAGGCTGAACATCCTGCATCTCTACGTCCTTGTCACCAACCTCATCTGATGAGCTCTCGTCGCTTGACGACGAATCAGAAGAATCACTACTCTCCACTTTGCCCTTTCCCTTTTTGCTGGCTGGGGCATTAGCAGGCTTTTTTTCTTCAGGTGAGTCGTCAGAGTCCGACGTGAGCACAGTTTTTTTGGGTTGTTCGTCTTCCGAAGGGGAGTCTGAGGAATCATCCGATGATTCGTCTTTGGCACGTTTAACGGGAGCCTTTCCATTCGATGCTTTGAGTACTTTCTATAGGGTTGAGTAAAAAGGTCAGTACGGGTCCGACGACTGACGACAGGAATACATACAGCCTTGGCCAAAATCTCCTTGGATGACGCTAGCGACTTTGCTTTTGCGGGTAAGGCGGCGGCTGGCTTGGCAGCCTTGGCCTTATCTGCTACCTTCTTGTCTGCCTTCTTGTCTGATTTTGCCATGGCGCACAAGTGAGGGATACAGATTTGCAAAGTAAGAAGTCCAAAATTTTGGCTCGATAAGCACGTGAGCCATTCTGGTTAAGGGCAGGTTGGTTCAGGACTTCGAATACTTATGTCTGAATCAATTCCTTCCACCACTGCAGCAATGGATAATCACTTTGACGTTATCGTGCTTGGCACCGGTCTGACCGAATCTATAACTGCTGCGTGAGCAAAATTGATATTCGCACACCGTATTATTGTACTCAGTAGGAACCTCTCAGTGCTCTCTCCAAAGCTGGCTTTAGAGTCGCCCATATTGACCCCAATCCATATTATGGTGCAGACGAAGCATCTCTCTCATTAGATGAACTCATGCAGTGGGTTGATCACCACAAAGAGGACAATCATTCTGTCACCCGTTATGGTGAAGTCCCGCCTCATGCGAGACAGTACTCAATCTCATTAGCTCCTTCGGTCATTCCATCGATCGGTCCTTTCATTTCGTCCCTCGTTGCCTCAGGCGTTTATCGCTACGGATCTTTCAAGCTCCTTGGTCGCGTTGTCATTTATGACGGCGGCATATTGAAAGATGTGCCTCAGAGCAAGGATGACATCTTTCAGAGCAAGGCGATGAGTCTCTTGGAGAAGAGGAGGGTGACGCGTTTCCTCATGTTTGCTGCTGGAGAATTCGAGAATAGCAAGGAGCTGCACGGTCAAGAAGATTTGCCCTTGCTCGATTTCTTGCAGAGGATTTTTTTGCTCAGTGAAGCAACCGCTCGCGCCATTACATATGCCCTGGGATATTGCTGTTTTATTTCAGAAACGACTCTTCCAGCTCTGCATCGTATCCGCATTTACTTGAAGGCATCTGGTCGCTATGGGCCGTCCTCATTTCTCGTTGGCTACTACGGTGGCTCGGGCGAAATCGCGCAAGGCTTTTGCCGCGCAGCTGCTGTGGGGGGAGGTGTTTATATTCTGGGACGATCCGTTACAAGAATCTTGTCTGTTGATCCCACTGGGCCAGAATACCCCGTGCTGACATCAGATCTACCCCGGTTCGCTGTTGAAGTTGACGACTTTCCAGACCGTCTTCACTGCCGATGCCTGATATCGTCGAATACTCTTCTACCAGGTCACCTTCGCACTCTAGCGGATGTCATCCATCCGAGTATATCGTCCTGCGGCTCCCCGCGGCTATTTGCAATGGCACGATGTATCGCAATTGTTGATGGGCCAATTATTTTACCATTGGACACTAAGGATTCCGGAGCGTCGGATGCGTCGGATTCTTCCCTTCTTGTCTTTCCGCCGGGGTCGTTGAACGGGGGATCGGCTATTTCTGCTGTGCATGTTATGACAGCGGGTCCAGGTACAATGTCGGCTCCTTCTGGGAAAGGTATGGTTGTTTTTCAATTCATGTTTAGCAATACCTCAATTCATTATAGGCATCCTGTACATTTCAATGCCACTTCCCACCAATTCCATTCATTCAGCTGAGATCCTTTTACGCCCTTACCTAGCAGCTGTTCTTGTATTGATTCAGGCTGAGCAACAGGAGCAGAAAGGATTAATTTGTTCTACATTCTATATGCAGGAACTTGCCTTGTCTACATCCAGCACCTCAGATTCATTGGTAGGGCTGCTGGCTGTGCCTTCATTAAGCCCACATATAACACAGGGGGTAGATGAAGCTGCAATAATTGCTGAGGCCACCTTCAAAAAGGCAGTATCTTCTCTTAATGGAGAGATAAAAGAGATTAATCCAGGACATGAGCAAATGTGTTTTGGCCTTTGTTAACTGAGATGGAGGAGGGAGAAGGAAATGACGTGCAGTGGTAGAATACATCTAACTATCTACAGTGGCTCAAAAAGTGTCTCAATGTTTGTGATTTTTCATATAATTGCTTCATTGCAAGTCAGGGTTTGGGAATACAACTAAGCTATGCAGAGGTGTGTGAAAGCTCTGCTTCTTAGCTTTATCTTTGTCCCCTATAGTGTGGGAATCTGATGACATCATATGAATATATGGTTATTCTAAGAGCCTGGACAGCTGTGTTTATTTCACAGTTTGTTTTGCAGTTTATTTTATTTGCAACAATATGTACAAACAACTGTGACAAGCTCAATGTATCACGCATGTACTATGACATCACACCAAGGCTGAAATGCATGGTATTCAATGTTTCCACATGCTACAGATGGCAGCTGCAATGATTTCTCAACTTATTATGGGCATTATAATTGCATATATGACTCCTTTTCTGGACAAGTAGCCCTACCATACCTTAGTCCTTACTGGGCACGCATGGGTGCAAGAACTTATCAATGGACACCCTGACTGGATCAAAACCAAGTTCAGAATGAGAAAACACATCTTCCATGTACTTCTACATGAGCTTTGGACTTGCAGGCTGCATGATTCAAAATATATTCAGCTTGATGAGCAAGTTGCTATATTTCTCTATACATGTGTGACAGATGGGGCTTTTGAGCTGTCATGTTGCAGAACATTTTCAGCACTCCCACACAACCATGCAGAAGTACATTCTGTTATGAACTAGGATAGTTCTAATGACAGACAACTTGATAAGAGTCAGGACCTCTGTCAAGATTCTATGCAAGATGATAAGTCAAGCATTCAGTATAAGCTAAGTTAGAAGGAGTGCTTCTAACTTAAAGTATGGTTCAGACGACAAGAGATTGGAGGTCTCAAGTGAAGGATGTTTCAGGTAAAACCTAGTAAGATTAAAGTGCAGAACTAAAGTGTACAAGAGAACTATTTATAGTGAACTACAAGTGCTTTAGGGCAGGCATGAGAATGGATATGAGTCAGAGATAAAGGACACATAAGCGATAGCAAGAATAGACCATCTAGCAACAGCAATGGCAGTTGTGATGTAATACAAGGTATGAGTCAAAGATAAGTCTAGTGGTGGTGTTATGCAGCTCGTGATGTAATACACAGTAAGAGAGAGAAAATGGATAGGGGCATACATGATTGTAACACATTCATGCTATTGCAAGATATACATTGTCTCACATACCATGTCAGATATTTCAAGAGAATCTTGCTTGCTTTGTCTTTGGCACCCTTCTACAATAAATTTGTATTTCTTCCACAGGAGGACATGCCTATTCCAGTGGAGATATCAGGGAATCCAAAACTCTTTCCACACTTTGAAGGGGCACTTGGAGCTATGGATGGTACACACATTGCATGTTGTCCATCAGTGGAAGAAAGACAGCTTGCATGAAACCAGAAAGGTTTCACCAGCCAAAATTGTCTTGCATATTGTTCATTTGATCTTCAGTTCCAGTATCTTCTCAGCAGTTGGGATGGATCCACCTCAGACTCAACTCTCTACAATAATGCCTGTCTCACTGACCTATACATTCCACAAGGAAGATAATACCTCATGGATGCTGGGTTTGGAATCTGCAATTCACTTCTCATTCTGTACTGAAGTGTTTGGTACCACTTGGCTGAGTGGGGTTGAGCTGCAGTTTGGTGAGCAATATTTCACTTTAATGTTCTCTTCTCATGCAAGGCAGGCCACAAAACACCAAAGAAATATACAATCTTCAGCATGCTCAAGTTTGAAATGTGATTGAGCAGATATTCAGTGTTCTCAAGAGACGGTTTGTGATACTTGTACATCTGCTGGAGTATAGCATGTCAACACAGGCCCAAATTCCCCCCACACTTTGTGCCGTCCATAACTTCATCCAAATTGATCCAAAGGAAATCAAAGAATTCACTGTCAAGGATCTCATTGATCCTGATCCAGGCAAGTCAAGGGGTGATCTCGCTGAAGGACCAGTGGACTGTGCTGAAAGGCAAAAGGCAACAGAAAACAGAGATTGTATTGTAGATGCTATGTGGAGAGATTATTGTAGAGTGTGTCGCTGTCATATCCCATATGCCAGACATAGATCCCATCATATTCCCACACTTTCTGGACCTATTTCTGGACCCCATATCCAACTCATTCCCAGATTCCCTTCTGCTGTGTGCTCCATATCTAAGCAGGATTAGATCTGCTATGGAATTACCCCTGAGCTCTGGACCTCCGGATCTTGACTACTAGCCTGATCCATACACCCACCCTATGCACATTCCGTCCAGCAAGACATCTGAACTTTATCTCCTCTCAGATTCTGGACTACATCCACCACCTCACATATCTCAGTCCTGTGTTAAGGTCGTGTGCTCAAGGAGGTCGGATCACAAGGGCTTGGCCTCAGCTCATATGCTGTGCCCCTTTCCCAAGTATGTGTCCTTAATTTCCAGGGGCTAGAACAGTTGTCCAGAGTTTCCAGGATTTGACTAGGGTGGACAACGGATGTCTGGATCTGAAACATGAGATAAATCCGACAGATGTCCAGATGTTACTTGGCAAGCGGATAAGACTAATCCAGATGAAGTCCAGACTAGAAACTAACAGAGGATAGACTGTACACTCACTTACTGCAATCACAAACATTTACCATAGTCTTCCGTCTCTTGCAGCCTTCTGTCTGTTGCTACTCGCATCATGTGATGTAAGGTGCTTCAGGGGGTCAAATAAAATTGGGAATTGGATTGACTACTGAGTACCAATGTAACAAACATACAACAAGTCAGAGTGTAATAAAACAGCTCTACTCTATATACACATGAAGCTATGCAAAGGTAACCCAAAGGTAGAAATGACAAGTCCAGAGGTAAAAAGTGTCAGCCAGAGTGCAGGAACCTTTGGCCAGAGTGGGAAAGGGAAAGGGTATGGTAAAATGAGGTTTGGAAACTAAGGAAAAGCAAAGGTATTCGCAAAGGGGAGACTATCGAGGGAGTGATAACACAAGGGGAGACAAAATCTCCGAAATATGGGTCCAGAAAATGAGTGAAAAGATATATTCCAAAGTACACCAAAGTACCAGGAGCACCTAGTGACCAAGACTCTAGAGAGGTAAGGAGAGGTGGTAAATGGTAAGGTATCCTATGCATCTGCACAGTACTTAACAAAGTATGTAGAAATCTGGAATGCTAGTTGAAATTCCAGGTCTGGAAGTATGTATGTAATATGCCTGCAAGTGCTGTGGCTCATGGGAATACATGTAAAATCAACTGCAAACTGTTTGGGTGGAGTACCCAAGTACTGATTCCCAAGTCTCGAATACTGACACTCAGTAGGACCACCAATACACTCACATAGACTTGGACTAAAACTTTCATTAAGGAAGTGAAGCATAATAACAACTTTCATTATTTCATCATCATTTGCCTATATTGACTACCAAGTCCTGAGTCCCAACACTCAGAAGTCAGTAGTACCAGGTTTCAGGTTTCGGGCTTCAGCACTCAACACTCAGTGAATTGTGTAATGAAATAAAAAAAATTCATGTTATATACATTTTTTCAAGATTTGGTGTTTGGTTGTTGGTTGTCAAATTTTGGGTGTCAAGTCTCAAGTTTTGGGGTTTGGCACTCAACACTCAGTGAATTGTGCAATGAAATAAAAAAAATACATGTTATATGCATTTCTTTGAGATTTGGTATTTGGTTGTTGGTTTTTGAATTTTGGGTGTCAAGTCTTGAGTTTCGGGGTTCGGGCCTCGGGTTTCAGGTTTTGGCACTCCACACTCAGTGATTTGTGTAATGGAATAAAATAATTTCATGTTATATACATTTTTTCAAGATTTGGTGTTTGGTTTTTGGTTTTCACATCTCAGGTTTCAAGTCTCGAGTTTCAGGGTTCGGGTTTTGGGCCTTGGGCCTCAGGTTTCGGGTTTTGGCACTCAACACTCAGTGATTTGTGTAATGGAATAAATTTTTTACATGTTATATACATTTTTGTGAGATTCAAGTGTGGAGTTTTGGGTGTTTGGGTGTTCAGGTTTTGGGTGTTCAGGTTTCAAGACTCAGTGATTTATGGTGAATGAAAAATGGATGTGTTGCACACTGGGTTTCGGTTTTCAGGCTTTGGTACTCAGTGATTGGTGATTGGTGATTGGTGAATGTCAGACATGGTGTATTCAGGGTTTTGGGCTTTGGGCTTTGGTGGTCGATGGTAGGTATATGCACTCATATAGTGGGTATGTACTCCATGTGCTCAATTCTCTGGTGCCTACATCAGCACACTGATTCCTATGTTATCCAACTATCTCAACCCAGTTATGTTTATTGCACTATTTACCTGGGCCCACCTGTGTATATGATAACAACTACCTGGACCCACCCAACATGCAACTTTGGGTGTTGGCATTCGGTACTTGGCATGGTGAAGAGTTTTGAATTTCAATGTTTGAGTTTTGGGTTTCAGGTGTCAGGTTTCGGTACTTGGTGAATGTCAGACATGGTGTATAAATCGAGACTCGAAACTCAGATATTGGTACAACTTTCGAGTTTTGGGTGTTGGGTTTTGATGTTCAGGTGTGAGTGATTGGATATGATTAGGGATAGTGTTTGGAACTGCAGGTTCTAACTTGGAGACATGGAAGATATGATGTATGGAGCACATAGAATCCAGAAGTTGGATGGTGAAGGAATGAGTTCTGGAATGGGATATAATAGTCAAAAGAACCTGAGTTTTTTTCCAAGAGTTTCTTTGGTAGACAAGTGGACTGGAAGTACTTTGCTGTAATGAAGACTTAATCTCCAACCTTGAAGTCCAGAGTGAGTTTCCATCTAGTGTTCATGGGTCCTTAATATCATTCCTGTGTGTGGGACATTTCTCCTTGAAGGAATTGGTGAAGTTCATTGAGGTGTATGGCATAATCCCAGGTACAGATCAAAGAGAGGTTATGTTCCAGATGAATGGAAATGTTCAGATGATACCCTTATTGACAAAAAAAGTGTGAGACTCTAGTGATAGCACTTGGAGTGTTATTGTAAGCAAATTCTGCCAAGGAATGTAGTTTCAACTAGTTGTCCTGCATAGATGATCTATAATGATGAGAATGGCTGTAAAGCCTGATGAGTCCAGAAGTTGCTTGATGAAGTCCATGGAGATGGAATTCCAAGGCTTCTCTGGGATAGGAAGTTGTTTGAGCAATCTGTATGATTTATGTCTCAGAACCTTGGCCTGGGTCCAGGTAGTGTCATAATCCTTGACATAAGTATGCATCCAGGCCAGGTGTATCACTTCATAAAACACAAAGTTGGAAGTCGTTGAATTCTGTGTTAAGATGAGAATAAAATGGGCTGCTTCTAGAGGCTAATAGATGACCAAAGATGATTAGGACTAGAATCTAGAGTGTATTCAAGTGGAGTAAGAGTATACAGTATCTAAAGTTCAGAGTAAGTTGCTAAAGAGGTAGCAAGCACTGGACTCTAGTATATGGGTGATGTATAGTGAACAAATATAAACAGACAAGCCACAGTCCAATGCTAAGTAATGACTCAACCTAGGGGCATCCTAGGAAGATCAGAAAGTCAAGTAAATGGTTAGAGAAATGTGAGGAATGATACCATAAGTGTAATTGGAGATAAAGGACATAGAAATGTGCACTGTAGAGGTGAATAATCATATAACAGTTATGAACTAAGGTAGTTCTTAACATCAGAGTTCAAAAGTGAACAATTCAAGTGACAAGTGATGTCTTCTCTCAAATAAGAGAGGTTCAAAGTTTCAATAAGGTGGGAAAGTGTGCTTATTCAGATCATGGTTTAAATGACTTAAGCTTGGGAGGTCTAAGTGAAGGAAGTTCCAGGTAAAACCCAGTAAGATTAAAGTACAGAACATAGTACAAACTATGTGCTTAAATAGGCCACTTGGGCACATAGACCAAGATAACAATGGTAGGTAACAAGACATATATGGATACAAGTTGCGGTCAATATATTGTACATGTGAAGTAAGAAAGAAAATAAAGTGGGGTACATATGACTGTAACATTACTCCATTTTTATCCTTGATGTTATATCTGCATATCTGGATCTCAGATCCAATGCCTCAGACTCTGCTGATTGATCATTCCATTAGATACCTATAGTATATAACCTCCTGTAACTCTCTGTAGCACCTCAGTTCGAATATCAACTTAGTTCTGGAATGTCAGGGATTTGGACACTCTGGGGCCAAAATCTGTGGCGGACTCTGATGCCTAACTCTGGGGCCCATCAGGAAGTCTGGCAGAGTACAGCTGAGTTTAAACACTGCTTGATGACAAAGCCCACCCCTTGCGATGCACTCATTGCTGGTTAGCATTGCCCCTGCCTGTCAGCATGCAGCTGTTATTGGAATACTGTATTCATGTGCTGCCCAAAGTCTATCTTATGATAATGCCATTCCCACTGTCCTTCCCACCTGTCTCTCTCATCTGCCCCCTTCCTGTGTTTCCTGCCCACCCACCCACCCACCTGCCCCTCTTCCTGGATGCCTGTGCCTACCTCATTATGTCTTCACTGCAGCAAAAGGATCTTGCCTTTCTCTCCAGCTTTGCACTGCACCATTCTGCTGCTGGACTTGTCACTGACTGTACAAGCTGTGGTGGTGCTGTACCCATCACAATCTGCCACAGTGACAAGAATGGTAATGAAGGCAAGCCCATGGCTATGGTATGTCCTCTTTGACTTGAAGGTTGGTTGGAGTACTATGCTGACCATTTGGCTAGCTTCCCTCAGCCATTGCACAGAAAATGGGGGATGTCTGATTCATGGTGTGGAGATGCACAATCAATGAATGGATGTGCAACTGCTAGATGTCAATTCATTTTACCTAGAGGATGCTGAGGTAGAAACGAGTTATGAACATCATGAACTTCAACAGGCACTCCAAGCATCAATGGCTGCCACTGGTGGACAACCCTTCCCATCATTCCATGACCTCCTTGCCATTCCAAAACCGATACACCCCCCACCATCCCACCCTCTGCAACCAAGCAATCATGCTACCTTAGCCATGTACATATTCCCAGTCCACAAGCTTTCCAAGGCTGCTCACATGACTGATCAGCTCAACCCATTGTGGGCTGGCGATCTTAATGCACACACTCAAGAGGAAATAATGAACCCGTGTATCACTGAATGCTGAAAGGAGATGGAGCATGCTTCAAAACAACAGTTCATGTTGTACTGGTTTGACAGGGTAAGCTCGTCTTCAATTATCTTTCACAAGTTGTGCTCACTGTGAGTTTAGGATGATATACCAGTCATGATGCAATGGATTGTACACTGCCCCTACTTTCCTCATTATCAGCTTGCTGACAATCCATACAGCAACCAGCCCTCTCTCAGTCTACTGCTCCGGGTGTCATTCCTGTGCATGTTCCCATATATGATCTGAGCTCGCTTTAGTCAGGAGGTACTATTTGGTCTCATCTTTGGTGGTACCTCCTTCATTCAGGCGACTTATCACCAGAACTGCAAGGCTTGGTTGGAGACAGAGCCAACCATCCTCTGTGCCTTGGGTGAGGTCAGCAAGAAACACAGCAGGTGGACATGATTTTTTTCTTGTGCTCCTCCTTCACTCACTCATTGATCTGTCTTGCTACTTGATTTATTCATTATATTATCACAGTGTTCTAGACATTTCACACCTTGATTTGTCACTTCTGTCATTTACACACTTGTATTCTGTACTACATGCAAACAATGTTGGTTTTGTCTGCAATCACATGGTAGTAACAAGAGTAGAAGTAGGTATCATAACACCATGTACCAGGAGAGAATCATAGGACAGGTGGATGGTGGGGAAGCTTTCCCTGTGCATGGAGGGTTGATACAGTCATACAGTTGCAACAAAGGATCATCTCATCAAGAAAAAAATCATACTTGACAGGTGTCATCTCTTGACAGATGTTATGGAAGCTGCCAAACCAAACATTTGTTTGTTTAGCAATTGATGAGTTGAAATAGTACTTCCTATTGTTGTTAAGAAGTTCTGGGTATGTAAACATTGTTCACACATTCAACAAGCAGGTCACCAAGGCTTTCGGTGAATGGAATCAAGCCAAGTTCAAAGAGCTGCTCACATAATGACTCATGGCATGTGACCAGCCATTTGAGGAGGTGGAACAACCAGAGCTCAAGGCACTCCTAGACTACACCACAGAGGCTCTCCACTTCATATCCCTGGAAGACTGGCCATCAAGTGCTGCATTATGAAGATGGGAGAAGATACTATTTAAGGTGTCAAGGACATGATTGAAGTAAGTCGATGTCGAGTCGAGTTGACTCAAGCACCAATCAATATGACAGAATCTTGAGTCCAAAGTCAGCCTTTCTCTTGATGCATGGACTTCAAGTAATCAATTCACTTTTCTGGCTATCATCATGCATTATATCATGAATGACTGGAGTTTGGGTATGTCATTGTAATATCTTTTTGTGCTAGATTCTAACTGGTCTGTTCAAGCCCACAATGATGGAAAGTCATGGCTTGCAGCAGTCACGATTTCTCTTAAGAAGGCTGAGAATGCGATGAGTCAAGTCACTTTCATGCTTATCTTGGATGTCAAGACCTGTTGGTCATCCACACATCAGATGCTCTGGCAGGCACTTGATTTTCATCAAGCTATTGATGACTTCATTGCAAAGACTTGAGACCTCAGGCCATATGAACTCTCTGATGCTGATTTGGCAGGGATTGAGCTAGTCATGCAATGGTCAAAGGCCTTTTGCTCCACTACTACTCAAATGTCTACAACAAAGTGCCCTATGTTATCTTCTGTACATGCAATCTTTCATGGACTTCAGGAGTCACTTCAAGATGACTTGGCAGTGCTTCCAGATTCAGCACCATGGAAGTTGCAGTCTGCACTGACAAGTGCTCATCACAAGCTCAGTAATTATCACTTCAAGGTTGACAAGTCACCTTTCTATGTCTGGGCTTCTAGTAAGTCATCTCTCATTGCAAATTGGTTCAGCTAGCTAATTATCTGTGTATTCTGAAGTTCTTGACCCCCACATCTCATACTATGGACTCCACAGTGACTGCAAGGATGATATCACCGCACAGATGCATATTGAGAGGCAGAAGAACAATTTACATGCTCTATACAAGAAGGAGTATGATATTGCAGTCTGGAGTGATTTCAAGAACATGTTGTTTTCAGAGCAAAGGCAGAAAGATCAAGTCGCATGATTCCATGTCATGCTAGAGTATGAGTAAATAGTTTGTAACTTCTATATATCTATTCATACAAACTGTGCAAGTACCTTGAGTGGAGGAAGCAAGAAATGAGACCTTGATTAAGCTGCGCAAGTGCCTTGAGCAAGGGAAGTCAGAAACAACACCCTCATCTAAGCTGCATGAGTGCCTTGAGTGGAGGAAGGGAGAAATGGAACCTTGATTAAGCTGCGCGGGGTGCCTTGAGTGAGGAAAGTCAGAGATGACACCTTATCAACCTAAGCTGCGCAAGTACCTTCAGTGATCACACCTCTGGTGTTTGAGAATAAGCTGACTTGCTCTCTAGCAGGTCATCTGCATCATCCATGGCCTCACCTTTGAGGTCTGTGCACACCTGAGTCTCTTGTCTCTTAGAACATATGACCATGGAATTGTGTGTGTATTGAGGAGAATCTGGAGGGTGGTCTGAAGCATCAGATGCTGGGATCTCTGGATCGCTGTGCCAGATGACACATTGGCTGCCATCAGGGTAATAGGTGTAATTCACCTGTTTGGGTTTGGGTTTGCGCTGGTGATGAGTTTTGGGAGTGGCTTTGTTAGGAGGAGGCTAGTGCATCTGCATCATCTCCAGATGAAGCTGGGTAAGGTCATGCTCACATTCAACATCAAATAGTCTCATTTGCAAGTCAAACAGTTGGGTCTGCAATTTCTCTGTGACTGCGTTTGCATCATGCAGCTGCTGCCACTGATGCAAGAAAGCAACTCTGATGCTGCTGCACCTCGACGACGTAGGATAGGTGTATCTGTCCAAGTGGCACGAGTGACTGCAGTGTGCTCAAGAGGAGACATACTTTGCACCTTGATGGTTTGTTCATTACAATTCAATTCATCATCTAGGCTGATCCTGCTGAGGTGTAGAGCAGACAGTGGAGGGAGAACTGGAAATGAGTTGGATATGAGGTGGGGTCCTATGACCTTCAGAATAATATGTTGCAGCTGTATGCAATAACTAGAGCTATAATATATCCCTTTGGATATTTCTTACTTATCTCCAGCAATAGAGATCAAATTCACTAGTGGAATTGTCCCAATATGTGGCCTTGAAACCAACTCTCTGCTGCTCAGGCACTCACTATAAGTATGATGCAGGTCAGAACTTTTCCTGTGTCTAAAAGAGAACTAGAATGAATACTGCTTATGTAATCAAATATGGCTCAAGTGTGTGGCCTCAAATACTTCTGAATAAAGTGTGAAGGATCTTGTAAAAGAATGGAGTAAATAAGCTAATATTTCTCCTAATTGTCACTTGTTTGTTTGCTCAGTAAATAGGGGTAAAGAAACTTAGGGGTGTATGCACTAATCCCCCTTTGATTCCCCTAAATTGAAGTAAGTATAGAAAATTCAGGAGATGATCATAGACTGAAGTAAGAAGTAGCATATTTCATAAATTTGCCATGATCATATACAAAACAAGTTTTGTGCATATCACCGGATTTGAGTTATCTTGACTCTTGTCAACCTCTAAGACTTAGGATTGATTCCTATAAGTGTCATATGCCATTCTGGACTCCTAACTCCAAATTCACTTCTCTGGATTTCTGATAATTTGATCTGTCTATATCTCACTTTCAGAACCCAAACCTTATAAGCTAAGTCTCTGTTAAGGTCATACTCAAGGGTTAATGGATCCTAAGGGCTTTAGCCTCAGCTCGTGCGCTGTGCCCCTTACTCAAGTATTGCCCCTTATTTCAGGAAGGCAAGACTAACATGTCCAGAGGGTTGGACAGGTAGTGTAGTGGATCCGGATGACTTCTGGATGAGGGATATGTATTGTAAGACTAATACAGACGAGTCCAGACTAGAAACTAGCGGTAATGGCTGTCATAGACAGAGGCAGATGCGGATAGACTATAGGAATCAATCCTAAGTCTTGGAGGGTGATGAGAGTAGTGGTGTTACAGAGAGTTACAGGAGGTTATATACTATAGGTATCTAATGGAATGATCAATCAGCAGAGTCTGAGGCTATGTACAAAGCATATGGATAATCTATTGGTAAGTAGAAATGGATCACAAATCATGAAACAGAAATGAAGCATAGGTAACAGATCAGGGAGCAGGACGGATATACAGATAACCAAAATACTGGAGTTAGGGGATTACTGAAAGGAGACAAGTGCTGGTTGTGGATTCAGATAAATTGTGGACCAGACCGGACAAGTGAACAGATTGGATGACGAGATGTTGGAGGGAGATAAGATGTGGATAGGATTGGAAATCAGATGTGGATCGGATCTGGGATGGGATAAGGATTGGATCTGAGATCTGGATATGCAGATATGACAGTCTCTTGTCATATCTGAGTCTTAGGATTGCATCTCAGACTATATCTCCAGCTCTACCTTAGGGTAGTCTATCCTCTGTCAGTTTCTAGTTTAGACTTCATCCAGATTAGCCTTATCCACTCATCCAGTCAGTATCCAGATGTCTACTGGATTTATCTCACATTTCAGATCTGGACATCCAATGTCCATCCCTGTCAAATGTAGAAACTCTGGACAACTCTCCTAGCACTCAGAAATTA